CGCGCGGTGTTGCCAAGATGTGCGTCACAGTCCCGACCCTCTAGAAAGCGCGCGAACGTCTCCCTTTGGACTGATTTAGGCTTATAAGTTTGCACAATTCTCCCGTTTGAAACGGTAGATTTCCTTCAAATTGCGCATATTGATTCTTCGAGATGCTAGCTATCAAAAGAAATGTTTTAAAAAGCATGTTCAACTGTTAATTTTCTCACAATTTTAATATTTCAGATCAGACCTGTCAGGTCACCATAAAAACCCGTGTTAAAAAGCAAACTTTACTTTCTCGTTACCCAACCACTGGACGATAAAATCGATTCAAACTCTACCAGAACATAGAAGAACCTCCCATCTTTCGATCAATACAATAAAAAAGGCATACGTTAAACATAACACTTCTCTCGCTCTAAGCACCTTAAGTTAGAATTTATATATTATTGCGTATTTCTTTGTTCGTTTCTTGCTTTCGAGATTTTGCTAAATTTTTACAAATTAACATTTTAGAAATTATTTAAAACCTATTTTAATCGAGTTAAATGTGAAAACGAATAGATTATTTAGCTTTGCCTAATACGATGTGGGAATGAAGAATAATGCATGTGAAACCGAGTAATTTTGATGAATATAAAAATGTATATAATTATTACAATATTTTCTGTCCATTTTCATTTTCTTGCTAGCGGTATCAACAATGCTAATTAGAAAAATGAGTATCTCATAAGAAATAGCGGTCTTTGTTGCTTGTAACACATTGTTGTGAGACCCGCACTGATAACAAGGCGATAATGACGGCTGATTTTTTCTCGCGTTAATATAATCAATAATTTCATTTACGGCTAAAATACGCAGCGTGCATCGTTGGTACATTTATGTAGTTACGTTAATATACTGAATCCAATGGGAGAATTGTATTTTCTTTCAAGCATTATAATTAAAAAATATATAATACATATTTTTCACGCTTCGTTTGTTTAAGAATGTATCAAAGGGTAGTAGAAGTGTAAGACAGAAATTGTCATATTATATTCTTACATAGCCATTAACAATATCTTGAGAGAGTACGTGCTGCTGTGGCACTACTAATTAATATTGCACTCATTTTACTTAATATTGCACGGAAACTATTAAAATTTTCAACAAAAAAATCTACATAACCTTTATGAAAGATCTATTTATGGAAAATCATGTCGATCAGGTTTTCGTCCAATTTCCCTGATTCTCGAGCAAATGCTGAGAAGGCCCCTTGTTTTGCTTCTGGACATAAATGTAACTTCAAATTAACTTCTTCCCATAGCACGTCACACAGTTTTTAACTAAAAAAATTTAAATAAATATCCCAAGAGAACAAGTTTAATTTGAAAGAAAAATCTCAATCTTCAATTTTCTAGTTCTAGGAAGACGCCGAAAATGTTTCAAACTTTTGCAATTTTAGAAAATTTAAAGTTAACAGTGAAAATCAGATCAATGTCACCTTTAAAAGTGAATTTTCTCTCTATACTTAAAAAAATTTAAAGAATTTTTTTAGCCATTTTGAGAAAATTTTGAAAATGTCCCTGAGGCTTCATGTAAAGAACCCCCCTATCCCCCCTCATATTAAACTATCGGTTTCAAATTCAAGGGGTTGCGACTTCAGCCAGATCGCTGGGGGGGGGGGATACATTTTGGAGAAAAATAGTTGAACGGTTTAGGTGCTAGCATTATGCTGAGACCGATGGACGAACGAACGAACGAACGAACGAACGAACGGACGGACGAACATACGGACAGACATACGCTTTGCCTTCAATCGATTTTTCTGCATCGTGGCCCCACAAAACATGCATTGTTACTACAAAAGGTGTTAGACGAAGCCTTTTTCTTCAAGCATTAGCCCGGCTGGTCCGTTGCAACTCCTTGGTTGATCTATCTTCTGTTGGGTCTACCAATATTCCTTTTCCCTCTGCGTGTGTAGTATGGTATTTTGGAATGAGTTTAGTTCATAATCCATTCTTAATATTGTGATAGGTCAAAATACCTGTAGGTCATTTTGTAATAAAACATAAATATGTTGACGGAATACAATAGGAAGGGAAACAACGAAGAAATATAAACAGAAATAAGACATGGGGCACATAAGACGTCATTAAACAGCAAGAAGATGAGTTCACATAAATATTTTAAATATTAAAAAAGTATTTTTATAAATGTTATTTAATAAAAGCAGCATTGTTAAGATAGACAAGAGAATTCAGATAGCTTAGTTACAAGGGACAAACTAGCATCGGATTAAGGCAATGACAATTAGAACAGGTGAAAGTAGAAACAAGCTGGGTAGATGAAAATGTATCATTAGAAATCGTCTCGATGTTGTAGAGAGGACATATGACCGTGACAGTCATAAATGATTGGAGAAAAATTTAGGTTTGAATTTGTCTCAATGGGAGGATGTATATCAGCGAGCTGAATAAAGTTGAACAGTAAAAACGGAACATGATTTAAGATGCGAAAAGTTAGTTGCGAATGTAGACAAATAATGGTATAAAGGGCAAGTCAAGTAGGACGCTTACGGTGGAAAAACGAATGCAGATACGAACTTTGAGTGGAAATTCAAGAAATGCTGGAAGGATGACGCTTAATGGACGAATGATGTTTCCCATCGCCAACAGAGCAGTGTTTCCTCAGCTACAGGAAAGTTTAGTAATTACGTTTAAGAAGCCCTTTCAGTAATAAATTATTCAAGGCCAAGAATGCCTTAGCAGTGACACTTCATGTTACTGAAACAATTCAGTAAATAAGTGTTATTATTTCCAAAAATCAATTTGCCAGTAAATTAAAAATTCATAACGTAAATAGAGATATTCGCCAACCGAATTCTTCGGAGGTAGCCAACCCAATTAAATACGAGTAAGAATAAATAAAGAAGGGAAGTGGGAACAGCCACAATATAGTATCTTTTCATTCTTCCAATATTCTTCTATTCCATTATCCAGGTAGTAAATGCCGAGGGTTCTCCTGATGCATTCGTTTTCTAATCTGGCTCTTCTTGTTACTCCTCCCCTTGTTAGAAGAAGTAATTGACTATATATGGGAACAAGATTTATTTTTCATTACAGGGGGCGGTAATGAGATGTTTTGTGTCGAAAATTCGCCGGTTTTTCCTGCAGCATTACAATACTTTCTCTATAATGCATAAGCAGTACGTAAGTTCGCCCCGTCCTCACGCATGGCAGTACTTTTGTAAGAAGGGAAAGCAATTTAATTTTTAGTTTCTCGCTACGGAGTAGAAAGAAAGTTGTGAAATTTTACGCGAAAAAGCGATGAATTTTCGGCAGAAAAACTTATTACAGGGCCCTGGTAACGAAAAAGTGGATAAATCCAATTGCTAAATTTAGAAATAAAATCCTCTAACATGTGGTGTAGCCAGATTCCATGTTTTGTGGGTCCGTCAGAAAGTTTGCTATGTATGAGATAAAACCCGAATGAGCGCTCCGTCCGTAAACCGTGTTCCGTGTCCTCCTCGACCGTCGTCCGTCCGTCGCCGTCCGTCGCTCCGCCCGTACTCGCGTCCCGTCCGTAGACACGTCCCGTAACCGTCCCGTATCCGCCGACCGACGAACCGAACCGACCGAGCCGACCGACCGGACCGACCGAACCCCGACCGAGCGGTCGTCCGCCCCCGTCGCCGCCGCGTCCGTTAGCCGACGTGCGTCGTCCGCCCGTCCGTCCCGGCCCGTCGTCCGACCGTCGTCGCGCACGTCGTACGCCGCCCGCCGCCCCGCCCGCCCGCCGTCCGTCCGTCCGTCCGTCCGTCCGTCCGTCCTTTTGTCTGTGAAAAACGCTAACGGTTAAACCGTTTAGTCGATTATCTCCAAAATTTATATTCCCCAATCGATCAGACTAAAGTCGCGGCCCGTTGAATTTGAAACCAATATTTTAATTTTTGGAGGTACTTTACATAAGGCCTCTGGGGCATTTTCAAAATTTTCAAATAAGTGGCTGCATTGTTTTTGATTATTTTTCTTGGAAAGTGTGAAGGACGTTTAAGAGACTTTTTTCTTGGATAGTGTGAAGGACGTTTAAGACGATGGTGCAGGTCTCACGTTCGTTCAATACCCTGATTTTTCGAAAATTACAAAAGTTCATGTTTTTTCTCAGCCTTTGTACAACTAAAATATTGAAGATAAAGATATTTTCCCTTCATGAAACCTGTTCCTATACGATAAATTTTGAAATAGTCATGTACAATTTTTAGAAAATTTGAGTACTTTTCGCTTAATTTTGCGTGAGAGAACGGGCGAGAAAGTAGTACTTGCTGTTTTAGCACCACACATGTTCTACTGTCTACTTCCTACTGTTTAGCAACACTAGCTACTATTTATAAAATGTTTATAAATATTCGTGTGCATAAAAAACATTGGAAATATGAATTAATGGGCGTATAATGGCAAGCGCCCGAGTTCTTAATGAACTATTGGTAAATTCATCTAAACCAGCGGAATATTTATTTTAGTTTGCCGCCTATTGTGATTATTTCACTTGATATTTCAGAAACAAACATTGCCTCGAAAATAATTTGGAAACGTAAAGTGTTTCCGTTCGTGATATCAACCGCAATTTTGGAAAAGAGTTTGTTGAAGAGCCTTGCAACATATTCCGGATCGCTCTCTGTCATTATCCTTTACAACATTACAAAGCTTCGAGATGAATTTGTGAATATTTGACGATATTTCACATTGTTTTAGTTTTTTATAAGCCTTTAAACATACCAGACATTGAACAAAGCAAATTATTTTCAGGATTCATACATCTTTGAGTCCGTCTCTCTGGCTTTCGGTGTAACTTCGTATAGGAATTATACGAGTTTTTGAGGTAATATTGAGTGAGAATTCACTTGGAATGTATGATAAGTTTTATCTTCTCCTTATCTTAAGGTGTATTCAACAGGAAGCCTAGGGAATATTTTGGTAGTAGGTACTTGATAAGATTCAACAGCAACCTGGATGCATTTTAACCTGTCAATAATACAGGAGAAGAGAAAATGGAAAAAAACAATGAATACTGGAAAAATTGTGTCAACTGGCTTGTGAGATGTGAAGTTTTAAGGCCAGACCACCAAACGCTGCAAAATGGAGCACATGTAGAAGATTTGGCATATACATTGAGAGATGGTGTACTTTTATGCTGTCTGATTAATATTTTGGAACCGGACTGCATTGAGATGCAAAACGTCAATTTGAATCCACAGACAACAAGAGTGAGTTAATGTTTTAAATCTGTATTGTGTTACTATTTCACACTAGTATATTATGTATATACTGTGTAAGAGGTTTGTATAACAAAAAATGGGTCCACCCATTATAAGGTAGTACTACTAAAGAATTTTAATTTTATTATTTATATATTTTTTACAGTGTTTGTGCCTTCAGAATATTGATATATTTTTAAAAGCCTGTCATGATATTTTTGCCATGAGGACTCAAGATCTGTTTGAATCTTCAATGCTCTTTGACTTGACAGGGTTTCATCAAGTACTTGTCACATTGTCAATACTTTCTAATACTCCTAAAGCACGTGAAAGGACATCTTAGTAAGTAGTACCTGTTCCAAATAATTAGTTTACTGAAACATTGTTTTTCTTAAATTATTCCAAAATAATTTAACACATCTAGGTGGTGCTTATTTACATTAAAAAGTGAAATATTGTCTTTTGATTTTAATAAAATATGTAAACTTATTTTTATTACTTTTTTAGTGGGTTCAACATTCCTCAACCTGATGCATTCAATAAGTTGAAAATAGGGTAAGATAATTTAATACATTTTTTGTGCTCTAATTTTTTGTTTTTCTTAAAGGACATAGGAAAATAAAAGAATTAAGCTATGATCAAATGAAACGGATTCAGTATTTTTGTTTTTAGTGTTAGTGGCCCCAATATTCATAATTTGTTACCTTATACATGCATTTACTCGAATATTTGCTCAAACTATAAGATGACAGGATCTGATATAGTATTTTGAAAGAGAAGGCAAAAATTGAATTGCATGGGCACTTAGTGTATAAAAGAATATCTTTTAATTAAAAAATTATCATATTTTCATACTGCATCTAGGCCTACTATTTATTATCTCTTGAGAATCATTTAATACAAAATGATCAACATTTTAAAAGAATTTTAATCTTTCTTGGCCAGACACAACTCTCTTTTCTTGTAGCTAGAAAATCATTATGATGTTTTGTTTTGGGACACTCCAATTCAATGTATTGCACTGGAGAAATCTTAACTTAATCTTTTCTACACATCTAAAATATTTCTAAAATATTTTTCGTTTCAGAGAAGTTGACATTAGGCGTTCTATTGAGTTAAGTGAAAATGCATCTCTAAGTACACAAAGGGAATCTATTCGCCAAGATGCAATATATGAAAAGCTTGTTACTGTGAAGCAAGAGGTACATTGACAGGAGAATGATATTCCAAATTTTTCTTTAAACAGTAATATCTTCAGATTATTAAGAGCTAAAATCACTAATTGCAGAAGTCAGCACTTGTAAACAAAAAAAAAGAAAAAAGAGATTTTATTATTGAAGAAATTATTTCAAATGAAAAATCCTATCTTCAAGGTGTTTTGAAAACAGTTTTGGAATCATATATGAAGCCTTTAAAAACAATATTAAATCCTTATGATACGAAAGCAATTTTTGGTGATTTGGAGGTGGGTATCATCGTAATTATCTTTAATTTTGATAAGTGTTTGTAGCTGATATTTATTCACAATAATACACAAACGATCTAGTCTTGCACAACTCATTGATGCAGACTGAACAAAACTTTACTTTTCATGCAGTTTGTACTTTATTTTTCATGTAGTGTTTCTATTTTGAAAAGTTTATTTCAGTGGATTAAACTTGTCTCTGTTGCCCAAATTCTTTTGAATTGAATTTTTGAAGCACTAGGAAGGTCATAGTTTACCAATTTTGAGATAATTATATGTAACTGTAATAAAGTCTAAATTCTTTAGAGTAACAATAAAATATCATGGTAAATATAATACCTCAAAGAATGAATATTTAGCATCATCATTGAACCTTTGAAATGTTATTCCTTGTTTTTAATTTAAATAATTATAGTTTAATGTATAAGACAGTAGTATCTTAATTTTTTGTTTCATTTCCAGAAGCTAACTGAACTTCATGAAGATTTGTATAAAGATTTACTTGATGCTTTGTTACCAGAAAGTGAATTATTTGTGAGTGAAGTGTTTCTAAAGGGCTACCATCGATTCCTTATATATGGAGAGTATTGTGCTAATTTACCAAGAGCACTAGAATTGTTGAAAAGTATTTCCAGTAACAAGGTGGACGTCAAAGATATGCTAAATGTGAGTTAACACTCTCATGTGAGTAATTTTGAATATCACAATATTCACAAGCATTTCTGCGTTACCAATAAACTTCTCCTTGTCTAGAAAAGATTTTCAAGTAAAATTTTTATGACAGTTTTATTGTGTTAATTGTTCAACAACACAACACATTTGCCTTTCTTCTACTTGTTATCTTACAGTTCTTTTAATTTGTTTATTTTTTGGAGATCATGTCTATCCAATAATTTTGTCTATCCAAGGCTGATGGCAACTTGTGATTAGAAATTCACCTCTCTTCCATCAATCTTGTGTTTGTAAATATCTAGAAATATATTTTTTAATAAACAGACATAATTAGTTTCCGATTTGCATATAATTCTGTGCTATGAGTGATATAATCTTGTTAGCATAACATAATATTTGATCAGTAATACCAAAATCTAAAGACTTTAGTTTTGAAATTTTATAATTATGCTGCAATTCATGTAATAAAATAGGTTCTCTGTTGTAACGGATCATCCGAACATGTCAACCATATAATTTTAATATGTAAATTTGTAATTCTGAAAGGGACAATATGACTGATAAACAGTTGAGTGAGAGATGAAACAAAATGTTTTGTAGTTAAATCTGAGAGATGAGACAATGAGAAATGTGATGGATGCAAATTATGAAAAAGAGCATGTGAATTCCATAAATGTTAGTGTACATATTTTATTTTGGGGAAAAAAAAAAAAAAAGGATTAAGGGAAAAACAAACAAGAAAAGAAAAGAAAATTAAAGAAAGGAACGGAAGAAAGAAAAAAACAACAAATTTAATAAATTTGTAATTAATAACATTAAAAACATTTGATTTAATAACATTAAAAACATTTCGGATGAGAATGAAATTACTGACATATAACATTAATGAAATAAATAATAAAGAAAATTCTGCAGAAGAGTCGACAATGTGGAGGTGATAGGAGATTGTTTTAGTTTTCATTTGATCTAGCAGTGAAAAAAGACAACACAAAATTGTGTTATACAGCAAGGGGAACAGTAGTGGACAGCGAAGTGAATAGGTTGCTGAATTGCAGATTTTTTTTAAATTTTGATTTTCGTTGAAAGTTTGAATGTGATGATTGGAAAGGTTTATGGAGTGAAGGTGGAAAACATGGACTAATGGAGAGAAGTGAAGATTCTGTGAGTGTACATAAGAATATAATTTCTTCATTTAAGAAATTTCAGAATTTTTAGAGATTATTTTCGTTTGAGTATAATCTATACATGAACATTTTAGAATGACATGACAGAAGGAAATTGAACATGTTTTCTTACAGACCTGTCAGGCCCAGCTGAAAAAAGGAAGATTCTTCTTAAATGACATGTTGGTTGTTCCAATGCAACATGTTTTGAAATATCGCCTCCTTCTTGAAAGACTTAGCAGGGAAACTCCAGATGTAAGTTTCTATTGAATGAAGTTATAATATCCTGATTTCGTATCATTGAACATAAGCAATACTTTTTCCCGTTTAAATATATTTATTATTGATTGATTGGTTGATTGATATATCCTGTGACTTCTAAGTTGTGATTATATGTTCCTTTCTCCATTGAACTAATTCTTTCTTGGCATTAACTATTGTCTCTCATAGTCAATAATTGTTCTTTGATATCAGAGTTTCTAGTTTAGAGCATAGTTATTTTTAACTTATGTTTCACTTTGCTTTCCGATAAACAGAATTTTACAGTATGACAAATTTTAATTCATTATGAGGAGATTTTTGCTTATTCTAGAAGATTTACTTATACACTGACAAAGTCAGATACCCATGATTTTAACATAAATGTTTGCAACCATGGTCATAGCGTCAACAATGGAGGGTCAGCCTTTTAGGGTTTTACATTCATTACACAATTCTATTTAATTTCTGAGTTAGTTTCATTGAAAAGCTTTTTGAATTGAAGATAAGATGCTTTTATGAAGCAAGTCTGTGTGGATCTTCGTGGTAACTGTTAGCAGTTCATTTCATAATACAATTAAGAATCGGAATCTGTGCTAACCTGAACATACTTCTTTTCATTAGAGGTCTAAGTAAATGGGCCCTTTAAATATTAAGCCGATATAGTTCTTGGAGAGTATTTCGCTCTGCAAGCTTTTGACAGTAGGTTTTTTAAATAAAATCAGATGGAGTTAATTGTGAGGCTCGTCTTTCTGAAGGTGATTTTTAGAAATGGCACTTAGTCTATTTGCTCAGACTGTATGTCATTGAATTATGAAATTATTTTAAATTTAAATCAACCATATCCTTATGTTGGCAGATTTCTTATATTTTTTCTACATTTGCAACACATAATTATAAAGAAGGCATTCTGAAATATTTCTAGAAAGCGATGTCATTTAATTTTTCTGCGTATGCCAATAAGTATGTTAAATTTTAAGAAACATAATAATTTAGAAGTTTGCTTCTTCACACCTTTATTTTTAAAGATAAATTTGAGCCAATTATTCTCTTTTCAACAGAATCATCCTGAAGCAGGTATTCTCCAAAAAGCATACGAAGCAATGGTTGATGTAAATAATTACGTGAATGATGTCAAACGTGACCGAGAAGCTCTACAGACTATTGAAAAAATTGAGGTGAGTAGAAGAAAAAAAAAAATGTAAATATACAGATGTCTCAGAGTAAATGTTACAAACTTATAGAGGGGTGTCAAAGATAATATTTTTCTTACTCTTCCTCCTTACATTGTGCAAGGAGTATAGTGAAGGAAAGAGTTGGAATTGCCCCAACAATACAATTCTGAATTTTTTGTCGTGAAATACGCGTTTAAGGTTCTTTACGGCCACACGTCTTGATTAAGTTCTATGAGTGCTATTCCAAAAAATGGTTAAGATTTAAGATTCGTTTATGTTTGTTCATATGTATGTAAATATGTCAATCATAACTCTATCGTATTAAAACCTTTTGAGGTGAAACTTGATAAAATTGCCAGGAGGTAATATTTATTTGTGCTTTTATGAAGATTATGAGATTTCAATTTTTAGAAGTATTTTACTTGAAGACATTTCCAAACTTGTTCCAGAAAATGGCTGCAGTTTTTTCTGGGATAAAAACAAGTTCATTTATTTAAATGGTGTAGTTTCTATTTACATTAAAACCTAAAATTCTTTGAAAATTGGAAAGTTTAAATTTATTTTCAAAGATGTCCTATATTAATGTCAGACATTTATTTCTTGATGCGATTTACCGCATAATTTTAGATCTGTAAACGTTATTGACTTTTGAAACTAGTGGTGCTAAAAACAGCACATACTGTCTCACCATTAGTAAAGGTTATGAAATCCTATCTACACTACAATTTCTCTCCGAATTATTTTTTGTAAAACTCATTTGATATCGTAGAATATTTGGTGCGAAAAATAAGCAGAGGGCGAGAAAGTAAATTAATAAAAGTTAATAAATAATACGATAATGATATTGTTGGCCAAAAAATAGATTGAAAAATATATAATGGTATACATTAAACACGGTGGTATTGTAACACTACAAATAGGTAAAGGGTTTTGTTTTTATTATCGCGAATGTAAAGTAGATGTCTTTATTGCCTTTTGTTACATGTATGGCGTTATAACAATGGGTTACAATAACAAACAATGACTGCTAATCTATTCGTTTTCATATTTAACACAATCGAAGGACACTATTTAAAATGAATTAAGAAATATAATATAAATAACAATATTAAAATGAAATATGAAATAATATATACATTTTAACTCGCGTAGCATTCAACTTTGTAAACTGGGTGCAAGCGATTCAAAGCTAGCAATTCTTATTTTATATTTATTCCAAATAGGTTTTAAATAACATTCAAAGGATTAATTTGTAAACAAATAAAAAAAGCTCCAATGTAAAAAACGAACAAAGAAATACGAAATATTACACACATTTTAACTTGTAGTATCCATCTGCCTCAAATCACCCAAAATTTGCGATAAGGAAGCGCAGGATTTTCAGAGTGAGTGAGTGACTGACTTTGACGCCCAATTACTGCAAAAATGGTAATATTTTCGAAACATTCAACGTGACCTTATTTTAAAATCTGTTCTTGATGAACCCATTTCATTAAGAAAATGTATCTTTATAATTGTAGTTGTTTGAAGATAACGAAAAAAATTTGATTTTATTCAATTTTCAAAAAGACCAGAGTTTTTAATCTATATGAGACCTGCACCATTGTTTTAAAAGTCCTTCCGACTATCCACCATGAAACTTTTTTCGAGATCGATGGAGCCGTTTTTGAGAAAAAAATGTTTCAACATAAATTAAAAATACCTATATTTCACGCAAAACCACGAGAAAATCGCGAAAAATACCCAAATGTTCGAAAAATTGTTCATGACCTTACTTGAAAATCTATCTTTAGTAACAGATTTTATTTAGGGAAAAAAGCTATATCTTTCATATTTTAGTTAAAGGAAGACGCTGAAAAAATGTTGAATGTCTGTAGTTTTCGATAAATCAGAGGGCTTAACCAACATGAGACCTGAGCCATTTTCTTAAACGACCTTCAGATAATTTAGCAACAAAATTTAAACAAAATCGATGGCTCCATTTTTTGAAAATTTTGAAAACATCCTATGTAAAGTACCCCAAAGATTAAAATATCGGTTTTAAATTCAACGGGCCTCGACTTTAGTCCTATCGATTGGGGGAATATAAATTTTGGAGAAAATCGGCTGAATTGTTTAACCGTTAGCGTTGTTTACATACACGTTTTGCCGTCAATCGATTTTTCGTTATCAAGGTCCGACAAAACAGGGATTCTGGCTACACCACATGTTAGAGGAATTTTTTTGCCTAAATTTACGAACTGTATTTATCCACTTTTTCATCACTATGGCCCTGTAATAAGTGTTTTTCTGCTTAAAATTTGTTTGTTTTGCCAGCATTACATTACTTTCTCTTCTTAAGAAGTTCCTTCTGAAGCGCGAGAAAGTAATAATATGAGTAATGGCTTGAGTCATACTAAGAGGAGGATAACATTTTCTTCATGCCGAGCATTGACACTACTTCCAATGAACTTGTGGTTGGAAAAGTCTTATAACGAAATTAAACATGTGACATTTGCCCTTGATGGATAGGCAACTATTCGTACATCAGTGTTTTGCATATCATCAGTGCAGGTTGAACCGTTGTACTGATCCTACGTTTTTTGGTAGTGTAGTACTCATACAATGGGGTTTACAGTCAAAGCGATTTCGTGAACCGACGAAAACGTGCTATAGTAAAAAAAATGTGATAGAGTTATGAGTGACACATTTTCACATATATCAGTATATACGGAGTTTCTGCTACAAAATTGCATGTGTCTCCCAGCCATGTGTACCAGTCTTAAGAATCTTTGTATCAGCAATTATTTGTGTAACTTCATTGACACTTTCAACCATATTTTCGTTAGCAAATATGATCATTTATGGCCTGAGAAGTTTGTAGCATTTATTCTGAGCCATATTGCTTTATTTCAGATGTCATTTGCAAACGTCATATTTCGTTTGTTCACTCCTTATGCCCTTTTAATTGGATGATTCTGTCACTTTTGCTGTATTCTATATTTACAAACCGTAAATAATTTGATGTTTTTGATGAACTAATATGTAGGTGCTTGTTAATCTCATGGCTGCTTCTTAATGAAGGGGCCAAAGAAGACAAATTGATGTGGTGATATAGTGGTCCCTTTATAATATTTCTTGATTCTCAGGAGAGACTTAAGAAATGAAATTTAAAATGAACACCAAATAATTCCAAAATTTCCTTATTGACGTAAAATTCCATTTTCCTGTAATTCCTGTTTCCTGACCAATCAATCCATTTCCTGATATACAAATAATCATGGATAGAAATTTAAATCTGAGATCTAAGTTCAGACCCAGTTAACTTTGTATTCACTCACTGGAAACTTTTAAAAAAACAATTTATTGCTGGTTCTGGTCCCAGAAGTAGAAAGCAATGCAATCAGACCAATGAAACATGGTTGATTTTACTTGTGGAATAGAATAAATAAAAAAAATAACAAAACACAATACTATCAAATTAATATTTTAAGTTATATTGTGTAAATATATACACACATGCCCTGAAACATACAGGATGTGTGATATCATCCAAAATAAAACCACCACCGTATTCTTCTCGATTCGATGAACAAATGGTTCCATTGTCATTTTGCTGACCTACGCTTCGTTTCTGCACAGCAGTTTGTTAACGATTTCTCTTCTTTTATAACGAACAGAAATGTGTGTTTACAATTGTAGTTCTAAGTTGTCGAAGAAAACATGTTCTTCTTTAGGAGACAAAGGAAGACTTCGTGAATTTACGGAATTAGGGAGAAAATACGACTTCCCTGTATCACACGTGGCTCTGCAGTCGTGTCCAATTTTAGGTCTTTAAAATTGCCAGAATCCTCCAGCCGGTCGACAGAATTACAGTGGTTGTCTAGGACCACGTGGACATACATCTGCATTTACTATGTGACTCCTTTTTGGGGAGATTAGCATGATCCTGAATCCAATTTTTATTCCACGGGGTTGCTAGTCCCGGGGGAATGGAATAAGGAATAATGATGATAATGAAGGATGAATGGACGACACACAGCATACACAAACACACCCATAGCCATTGTTGTTGTTATTATTTATTAAACAACCGTGAGGTGGGTAAAAATATGGCGGCCGTGAGCCCATAGGCTCAGTCCCCTCCCATTGTGCCGGGTGCCGCGGGGTGCGACCTGATGAACCGGAAAGGGCGAAAGGGGCGAGCGGAGTGAGGGGGGCGGAAGGAGCAGAATGAAGCGAAATGAGCGGAAGCATGGACATAACAGGAGGAGCAGAAGAATGGAGTGGTGCGCAAGGAATGGGCGTAGCAGTAAGAACAGAGGGAACGGGCTGTGCATAATGAGCGGGAGGAACCGATAGCAGTGTCGAAGCTAGAGTCATGCAGTTGGGTATTTTGAAACTCTTGTCTTACACGGTTACCTTCATGGAATTTCTTAAGAATGCCTTCACTCTCTTTAGTGTAATCATATTCCTTTCACATTATATTGTAGATGCAGGGAAAGTTACACTCAGTTGCATCAGACCAATTTGCCCAACAAATACTTCAGCACCAAGTCTGCAGGCATGTCAAATCTGCAATCTTATGCATTATCAACGTATACATTTGTCAGTTCATTTCGAAGATGTTCACTGACAAAGAATGGATATTGTTTTATTGCAAACGATAACTTTTCTGGAGGACAAGTAGCTTTATAGGTGGAAAACTGCTTTTCGCTAAGAAATTCAATAAAATGAAAGATTTCAAAATCTTCAAACCGATACTGAGACATTTCGCGAATGTTCATTCCCGCCTGAGATATGGCACAATATTCTGGGGAAATACATCTTATACCTCCTAGACTTTTAGATTACAAAAAAAAAAAAAAGTTTGAATAATAAACTAATACAGTGGCTTATTATTTAAACGTGATTATTCCAAGCCTTTCTTTATTATTCTAGGTATTTTACCATTACCTTGCCTATATGAATCAGTGGTATTTGTAAAAAAAAAATGACTTAAGGACGGGAATATATTTTCAGCAAACACTGATGTCTATAAATGTAACCCTCGACGTTATTATCATATTCAGCTGGTGACAGTATCAACAATTCACCACAAAAAATTCGCATACATGTAAATTATTTTCAACACCTTGCCAGATGACATTAATCGATTAAATTCGATACAAAAGTTTAAGTCCCAAGTAAAATCGTTTCTGCTGCGTAACTGTTTCTATACAATTAGAGACTTTACCGAGATTCCAAAAGGAAAGTAATATTAATTTTAACAATGAACGTTAATGTATTATTTACTATTTGGGTTGTATAATTCTAAAGAACCTGTGACAAGTATTGTACTTCAGCTTCTGGGTCAATGACCCCCATCTCAATCAGGCTTTCGTCCAGTTTCCCGACCCTTGAGCAAATGTTGAGATGGACCCTTGTTTTGCTCCTGGACGTAAATGTAACTTCAAATTAACTTCTCCCAATAGCACGTCACACAAAGTTGTTACTGTTTTTGACGTAAATAAATAAAATGAATAAAAATGCACTACCGTATTAATAATTTTAAACAAAATAATTTTGTGTCTTTCAAATAATTCTGATCCTGAAAGTTCGTTCATTGCCATGTCTGCTGTGATGCAGATTTCAGTACTCTCTTCATATCTAACACGGCATATTACTTGCTTCATGATTCCGCATTGTCGAGCAAAAACTGCTTTTGGATATCGTGAAGCGTTTAGAAGTTCCGGGAGCGGCCCATCGTCGGTGGGACATTCTGTATGACGTGTGAGTTTGCCTGCCCGGGACGAGACGTGCAGCGCGGGGCGAGCCTACGCAGGCTGAGCCCAGGCTCAGGGCCTGCAGGTGTCACTCCACTCGCAGGCTCACCGCTCAGCTAAAGCCTGCAGATTCCCTCGCGCGGAAGAGGGGCACAGGGAGTCGAAAAAACTTAATTTTCTTTAACGACTCAGAAAACAAAACAAAATATTGAAAAAATGGCTCACATAACGGCAGCTTTTGGCGAAAAATAATTTGGCTACTCTGAGGCACCCAGAGGACCCTTGCGCTTCGCCCCTGAGCAGAGGGGGCTGGATGGCCGGTCGGTGAGCTTCATTTTGTGTCAAATTCTCGAGTAATGCAGGGTAATCTGCAAGTTTATGATAAATTACTTTTGCCTAAGACCATTTCTTTGTCTTTTTCAGAGTAGGATTATTGATCTTCGAATGCCTGGAAGTAAGACCCTTAAAGATTTTGGCCGTCTCCACAAGGATGATGAATTACGAATAAAGTTTCCAGATCAAAAAGTTGGAAACAGGTGAGATGAAGTAGAAATACGAAGTATAATTGTGTATGAACGAAGTTAAATAAAATTCAAATAATATTTGATATTTTTTTCATTTTCAGGTACATTTTTATCTTTGACCAAGTTCTGCTTATATGTAAAACTCTAAAGGTAAAAATGTCACAACTTAACTGATTCATTGCCCATTCAAATGATAAAAAGACACGAAGAATAAAATTATCAATCTAATTACTTTTCAATGTTTTAAATTTCAGAATGGCACCTATGCCTGTCAGGAAGCTCTAAATTTAGCTTCATACAAAGTTAAAGATATGCAAGTTAACTCTCGCTGGGGTCATCACTGGAGGCTTATACACAAAAATGAAAGGATTGAATATGTCATTCATGCTCGAAATGAAGAACATAAACGTTCCTGGATGCAAGCTATTTTAGAAGCATTGTAAGCAAAAGTAATAATAATGTTGTATGATAAAACCGTCATTAATTACATTGAATACTGAAAAAAATTTAAATATTGCTTTCTAAACTTAATCAGGTTAATAAGTGTAATAAGTCATATTCTCGAGGTCTGTTAACATTTTGAACATTGGTATTTAGAGAAAGGTGGAAGTATAAATAGGAAATTCAAAGTTTGTGGTATGTTCAATTCTCATTGAAGTTCTGCTTCAGAAATGTTTATATTAAGGTGAAGAAGTATATTTGTGTATTATAGATCTTTAAAAGGCGTTTGACAATGTCAAGCTTCTTCACATTCAGTAAAATATTGATATTGATCAAACGATATATGAATTATAAAGAATATGTATTGGGACATACAACTTGAATACAAATTGAAGGATATCTTACAGAAGACATTGCAGCGAGAAAAAAACTGGCAGCGGTGAATTTTCTCTCATCTCTATTTACCTTGTACTCACAACATATTTTTTAGGGTTTTAAGGTTTGGATGAGTATTATCTTGAAGTAAAAGTAAATAGCATTCCAATTTGTAATATTTGTTATGGTGATGATGTACTGTCAGCCAACCCTGAAAATCTTCAAGAACTTATTTGCAGAAAAAAGTGGTAGTTTTAAATTATGGAAACTAATTTGGAGACGTTATTGAGAAAATAATCGTTTAAAAATTGTCTATATCTCACGCAAACACTACTAATTTATTCGGAACATTTAATATGGCGTTATTTTAAGATTCGTCTCTTAAGAATGGATTTTATTAAAGAAAACATTTCTGTTTTCAGTCATGTCATAGAAAAACGTGGAAAATTTTGTTGACCTTCATATTCGAAAAATCCGTTTTCCGAAATCGGGGATCTACGTTTTTGGCACTAGCGTTGATAACAGACGTATAAACAGACGTTTTGCCGTCGATCTATTTTTCGGCATCAAGGATCAACGAAACATGGATTCTAGCTGCACGTGTTAGAGGAAGTAATTTTCTACTCACTTGAAGAAACCACATTTAACCACTTTTCCGTTACCAGGGCTCGGCAATAAGAGTGTTTCTATCAAAATATATCAGTTTGCAGTGTACGATTGCAACACTTTCTCGTCTTACAAAGTAAGGCGAGAAAGTAAAAGGAGCAAATCCATTCCAACTTTCATGAAAATCAACATATCGAAGAGATTATAAAGCTCTAGTTCTCACGGCCAGTAGTAAACAATTCAAAACCTTCAGACCTGCAAGTAAAGATAAGAATCAAAAGAGCAGGATCCACATTTAATGAAACGCGGAATTCCATATGTAATAGATACAGCTTCTGGTCAGGTTAAAGAATTATGGAAGGATTAGAAATTCTCACATTATAAGTACTTAATATCATCAGACAACCTAAACTATCACAGTCTTCAATTGATGCCTTGTGTCAGCTTCCATTTTATTCAGTTCCTAATTCATTTTAAATCATTGGAATACTTTTTTTCCACCCAGTGTTCTTTAAATTGTTTCGCAAAAATATTTATGACGTCTCTTCTTTACAATACCTACTCGTACTAATGGTAGTTTTGGGGCTAAGTCTTGGCGTTGAATCCTCCAAGCCAGAAGCTTGTCTTTGTTATCCACGTTTTCCTATTGTCCTTGCTACTTTCATATCTAATAGTTCAATAGAATTTCATTTTGTTTTGCTTGAAAATTGAGTGTAATGCAATTGTCTGGTTGAAAGTATCTCTACTTCAGGAGTCTTCTTAGTAAAATAAATAGATGATCCTGGACATGTGTTCATTTGAATAAAAATGACTTGTTTGCCCTTTCAAATAGGACACATGATTTTAAAATGTTTCTCAGGGAGGATCGTTGTTAATAAACATTCTGACTCAAAATTTAACGAAGCAATTTAGCAAAGCTGGACGTGCGACAAATCGTTCTGAACCTCCACAATTATCATCTCTTTACCTAACTATTGGAAATAGTATGAAAAAATCTGTGTCATGGTGTAGTTTCATTATTTTTCTATTATTTTATGCAAGAAATTCATTATTTAAAAAGTTTGTTTATGTTGCAGAGACAATATAGATCCCGTTGGAGCAAAAAATAATGACCACAGTTTTGTGATGTGTACATTCGAAAAACCAACAATGTGTCATTTATGTGAAAAATGTTTGAAAGGGCTAATAATGCAGGTAGGGATTTCTAGCCGTTGTTGGCATAATATTATGATTGTGTTTTATGATAATTGTTACATATTATTATTATTTTGGTTGTTAGGGTTATTCTTGTCATTACTGCAAGCTGGTTGTGCATAAATCTTGTATAAAAGATGTAGATACTTGCACTGCTTCTCTTTCACCTTGTATACTTCGAAGTGAGCTTCCTTCGCCGCCGTACGGTGTAGACACGAACTGGAATGACTACAGATTCCTTGGACAGTATCCATGGTAAGAATAGCAGTTTTTCTACTTCCGTTGTGTAATTCTGTCATTTGATGGCTGAAATCCGTTGCATAATGATACTCTGTACGATACAGATTTCATTCTGATAAAGAATCTTGACCAAACACAGAGAAGTTTACAAACCAAGTATTAGCACTTAATCATCGAGAAACTTTCTAGTACATGTTTCGTTCGATTGCGCCCATTAAAATGGCATTCAATATTTTATTATGCTTGTCAGTTTAAATTTATTTTATTAGTAGTATTTTTGCGTGGAATATTATTTAAGATAAATTGGATGGTAATTTCACTTTCAGCCTTTTTGACCAGCTGAGTGGTAAACCAAAGCCCCCTGTGCAGAATAGTGAGAGCGGTGTCTGCTAGGTGGCCTTGCTGAATCCTCCATGTCAACTGACCCCAAACGATTCAATGTAAAAGTTTAACTTGTAAACGTTACCATAAGCCGTGGAAAAAGTACCGTACAAAACTCGATGTAACGGGTTTTAATACACCCGTGTGAAGTTTACGATACTTGCTCGTTTCTCGCTCTTTTAGTAATATCACACTCCTGTATTAACTCATTATTACATCATCGCGTCATAATGTACTATTATTAAAATTTGTGATACACACAAGCATATTGCCATATTTACCCGGATGTAAGACGACCCTCCAGTGTTGAAGAGGTCTCCTGAGTTTTAACACATTTAGATCGTAGCGTCTGCCCAACTTTTTTCCACCACAGGTCGTAAAGTTTTGGAGTATATATTTTGAAGGGTCACATCTTCTAAACCAAGGTTTAAGAAGCAAGGTTCTATTTTTTATTTTAAAGCAACAGACTTGTACTTTTATATAAAGTTCCAACTGTTATGTTTAGATGAATAATTAAAAAAGCAATACAAATAACACAAAAAATTGAGTCCCCAAGAACGTTTGACGTGTTTATTTCAATTAAATTCTTACAATTTGGGTTAATATTAGAACATTAAACATAAATAACATTACATTACTATCTATTACAATTATAAAGAAAACATTACTTTTTATTCCCAATAATTGGTGTGGTCATTTTGAACACCGCTCCTCAGGAATCACTGCAGGGGGCATGCACATCAATGCATTTCAAAGCTATTTATAACCAAATACACGGCAGAGAGCGAAATTAGTGCTGTACTTAGGTACTTCATTGGTGTAGAAACCTCCATGGATAGTCAGCGATCGAAAAAGGCCGTATATAAGTAAATATGCGGTATGAATCGTGCGCCGTAGATTCTCCCGGCGTCGTAATTTAAGGGGACCGTAGTTTCTACGGGCGGAGACCTGAAGGTGTTTACTAATTCCTCCTAGTTAGTCAAAATTTCAAATTTTGTTAAGACAATTGTGTTGATGATAGTGCTAAAACGTAGTATTGCTTGAGATATCACTATTTTCATGTAAAATAAAATCACTTTATTCATGTTTTTCTTCCAACATCTTTATATTTATCATTTTGTTTTTTCGTCTACTTCTTGTCAGCTGGGCTGAATTCAGTTGCTTTCTGAGGGAGAATTCTAGTGGCCCGATGCTCTGATCGGTAGCTTTCCGTGGTTTCTCCGATCATTCTTAAACGAATTTAGGAGCAGTATTGTAATAAACGGGCCACGGACCGCGCGCAATCTTTCTTTCTTTTTCCTTGTCGAATCCTCACCCTCCCATGCCCTACACTACCACATTGCTAGGAAACCGGTCGGGAAGTTAGAGCTTGTCCCGGCTGGGGTGGTGCCCCGCTGGTGGGAAATTGCTGGTTCGGGGAACCCAGATGTCGACATCCAGCTGGGGAAGATCACCGCCCCTTCCAGAAGAAAATGACTAATGACAGCAGTTGACACACCTGGAACCACTAGCAATCAATCAATTCTTGTTGGTGCTTCTCCTCACTGCCGCGTCATCCCACGTTCCAGCTCCCCCTGAAAGTTAGGCGTTGAATTTGCGTTCGCCTTTCACCTGTCGCAACCTAAGAGTCAGAACTTTGCCTTCCGTGTCAGCCGATTTTCTTCCCGTGGCGCTCTTGTTCGTGCCCTGTGATTCTTTCGCAGAATGTACTGGAAATTTGTGTTTAGTGTTCGCGTGATCGAGCTGTGAACTGTACTCTACATCTCCAGTCCTCCGCTTCGCCAGTAACGCGGGCGGGAGCGGCAAGCTTCCAGTTCGAGACGTTTTGCAAAGCGCAATTTTTGTGTTATTCTGTCTGTAGAGTAATTCTTTTATGAGTGCGTTTCATCTCTTGCAAAACGTAGATTCTCTCTCGCCGTGCGTCGAACTAAGAATTTGCGCGACCTCGTCGGTTGTATCTTGTAGCAAACTCTGTAACGAATTATATCCATTTTCACGTTGCGATTCATTTGCTATAATGATAATAATACAACGCAATACTATGAAAATGCTTACTACAAGAATACAATGCCATTCGTTTCGGAGTCTCTCTTTCCCGAAACAATTATTAGTCTGTATAGCCCACCAAATTCGCAGTAAATGCCAAAAATACGTTCGTGAATGTAATTGTAGTTATGTATTATTCATTGAAGAGCCAAAATACTGGTACAGCCATGCGTATTGAAATAAAGAGATCTGGAATTAATTAGAATGCGGCGCTCTGATCGGCAACATTATACATGACAACGATAGTCTGCCACAGTTGTTAAATTAGTTACTGCTACTACAATGGCAGGTTATCACGATTTAAGTGAGTTTGATCGTAGTGTTGAATTCAGCGCAAGAATGATGGAGGATAGCATCTCCCAGGTCATGCTGATATTTGGATTTTCCCGAAGGACCATTTGACGAGTGTACCGTGAATATCGGGAATTCGGTAAAACAGCGAACTGCCGGCATCGCCGCAAGACCGGGACCGACGCCGCCTGGGGAGAAGTGCAACTGGGCCACCATTGGTGTCCGCGTGCAGCCATTCAGCGAGACGTGATCGATTCGGAGCCGAAGGCACACTCGTGTAGCCTTGACGAGTGCACGACACCTTGCCTCTCGTTCCACGTTGTTCCGAGCGGATAGGCGTGACGACAATCTCACGAATGCATGGACACTGCGTGTCTACGGGGACTGTCGAAGCTGCTGGAGGCTTGTGATGGTGTGCTGGACCCCTGATGCGTCTAGATTCGTCTCGCCATGTGACACGTACGTAAGCACCCTGAAGCAAACTGAAACCCCGCTATGCATCCCGAAGGACTTGTGCGATTCCGCTGCCCTCACGGCTAGAATTGCCACAGAGGCTCCACGAACACTCTTCTGAATTTAAACACTTCCACTGGCCATCAAAATTCTCAGACGTGATCATTATTCAGCATGTCTGGGATGTCTTTCAACAGTGCTGCGTGCACGATAATGGGGAGGTGTACCAGTTTTTTTGTCTCTTCGGTGTAGGTACAGGTGATATTTATTGCCTTTGCAGCTTATCGTTTCGTCAGAATCGGAGTTTCTTCTTCGCAAGGAAAGACAGTAAAAATATATATCCTAATCGACTACGCTTCATCTGCAAATACACGAGAAATGTGGGGAAAAATCGTCTTATATTCAGGTAAATATAAGACGAGTACATATTAAATTATATAAAAGTATAAGTATATTGAAACACATGTTTCAAAAATCTCATTTTTGTTAAGACATTCAAATTTAGTTTGGCTATAAATGAAATTTCACCTACATAGTTTTGAAAAGGGGAACTTAAGTATTTTTAAATAATGCTTGAAAATGAAACATATCATAAGAACCTATGGCTGTATATGCCGGACTGCCGACTCAGGGGCTTCGGGCCTTCCCAAGTACGAATTATCCAAGACTAGGTTTGAATTACATGAAAGGCTTGAAGGTCTTCAGCCTATCTATGTCCAGTTTATGTTGTTGTTTTTTCTATCCACGGTAAATACTAGGCTGTCGAGGAGTCGCCGCTGAGGCAGGCCGCAGAATGGCGAACCTCAAAGAAGACTTTGTGTTTGTTCGCAGGTTCGCTGGCGTCGTCCACAGAAAAGACGCCGACGACGTTCTTCAAGTGAGGAGGCGCGGGACGTTCATGCTGCGGATACGCCCCAAACATCTAAACAATGCAACAGCCCCCGAGCGAACGGAATTCGCTATTAGTTTGAAGTATGTATTGTATGTTAGTTTGAAATTAATACGAAGAAGACCTTTTTCGCTTTTATAGCACAATCCTGAGAATGCCCTTGGGAAAGTTATCTTTTCCAGTATTTTTTTATTTGAACATTTGTGGAAATCGTAAATGAGGCACCTACAAATAGAATAATTTTCACCCACTAATAACAAAGATATTTTACATTGTACTTTATCGACTACTTTACGAACTGAGGGTCATCACACTCTCTGAGAGGGTGACAATCTCCAGCATCTCCTATCAGATCACGTCATGGCTGCATGTATTCACTTTCAGGACTACAAAGCCAACAAAAACGTCCTCTGAAGAGAAATCTGAAGAAAAATATTGATAACCCTATTAGTGATGACTTTTACCATAATTTTCAGAATCACCATAATTTTGAACATATTCAAATCTGTATCAGAAGATTTCAATGTAATTTAATAAAAATTCGTGGGACTTGCTGATAGTGTTCTTAATTATTTAAATGATTTCATAGGATAAATATTCATAAATGATAAAAAGGAAGTTTGTTATGTTGTGAATCAAAAACTTGTTGGTTTTGTAAGAAGCATTAGACAGAACTACATTTTGTCTAATCATATTTGGAATATATTAAAAAACTAGTTTCTTTTCCAGAACTGTAACATCTGTTGCTCATATGCTTATCTTCAAGAAGATGGCTCAAGGTGTACCTTTCTATTATTTGTCTGAAGCAAGATCCTTTCCTACAATTGTAGAGCTGATCGACTTCTACAAACATTGGCCACTACAAGAAAACTATGAGGAGTAAGATTCAGACATGTTTATTAGTATTTATTTTACTGCAAAGATGAAAAAGTTTTAAACTAGTGTTTCATCTAAAAGGTAACTCTAACAGGGCTCAGATTTTTAAACAAATATCTATTTTGACCTTTTTGACACAAAAAATGTTTGTAAGGATGTTAGAAGAAGTAACAATTTCAAAACAACTTTTTTTGAAGTGAATAAAATTCCTATTTTTCAGCTCTAGAACCCCCCAAAATATGCTGGTTTCTTACCTTAGGTTTTCCGAGTTATCTTCTGTAAAAATCAAGTTAATTTTCATATTTTATTTAATATACCATGGCAAAAATCTGGTATATCAATTAAGGGTCAAAAAAGGTATATCAATTAAAGGCCAATATTTAGGCCATATATCACTTTTATAAGGTCATTTTTTAATCAGAGAGAGCATCCAACTTTACCGGCCATACCAGCTTGGAGTTTTATGGAGTTTTTTTGTTTCCATTATTATTATTATTATTATTATTATTATTATTATTATTATTATTATTATTATTATTATTATTTTCATCATCATCATCAGGAATGCGAATTCGAATTATTAATCAACCATAACGCAAATGTATTAAATGAAATGTATTCGCTTGATATATTGGTGCAATAAGAATGAACGTGCAACCAATTCCACGCAACGCTATGTTTTAATTCTTGGTAAGCTCTTTGCCAAGACGTCCGCAGCTTGATCGTTTGTAGAAACATGGGGTTGTCGAATATTCTTATCTTTCCCGAGGTGTTGCCGAATGGCCAGACACTTACTTCTGGCATGAAAAGTCGGTCTTTCTCCTAATGTAATAGCACTTCGCTAATCGCAGAAAATAATTAATTTGCTTGATTAATTGAAATCTCGCTCCAAAAGAAAACTCTTCAAAAAATTGTTTCTTTGACACTCTCAGAAAGTGCTATGAATTGAGCCCGCGTCGTTAAAGCGATGGAGTCGCAAGATGTCGGTCCACCACTCAATAAGAATGTGTAGTCGAGCCGTAAGTCAATCCTTTGGCGCTCATTTGGCGTTTTTCCAGAAATCTCAAGCAGGTGTTAAATTGTCCCAGGAAGATTACAGTATTCTAAATATTGAGCTATTTCGTTGAATCTAGGTAAGTTAAAGCTCCCACCAACTCGCGAAACGGATTTCAATTCTTTACGCAGCATATTTTTTTCTTAACTCGAAATTGTTTGTTAAATCGCAATAGTAGTTATTCACTTTCGTTGTGCAATATGAAATCGCAAACGTAAGTCCCAAATATGGCCTCGGTGCCGCATACACACTTATTCTCCCTTTGTTCGCTCTTGTTGCCGAGACAATATTTTACAGTACCCAAATTCTTGATTTCATAATTATCAGCCAATTTACTCTGCAAGCAATTATCTTCGATCAGCTATGTCTTCTCAGTTATGTCTCCTCTTCAACCGATAAAGAAAAGAGGAGTCGGATTGGCACAGATAGTGGCACTCAAATTATTTTGGAAATTTTCAATTTTGAAATCCATCCCCTTCCACCGTAATACAAGCAGGGATTTGTACAATGATTTGGGATTTTGTAATAAAGTAATATATTGTTGTTTCTATATATTGAATGGGCTTTTGTTCTGGATGTTCAATTTATTTGTGAAATTTTGCTTGCTTGTATGACATGCTGGAAATAATGCGAGAAATTACAAATAGCACAGGTCTGTGAAATTGCATTTTTTAAAAAATACGAGTGAAGTTTTCGCTGATATTTGTTACTTGATGTGCTGATATCGATCATCTACTTTTTCACGTCAGAATTTTTGTCAAATCGATATCGATATTTTTGCTAAAACCCTTTTTGAAAAGGAATTTTCTCGAACAAGCTTGCATATACTATTTGGCAACAGTGGCCTTTATCTATGAAAATCTATGTAAAATATACGGTTGCGCGGAAAGAATAGTCTCATTTGAGTCACGTAGTACAGTCGCACTGTTCGTGCTTGCACGAAATACGTATGTGGAATAAAGTGGGAAAACATAACCACATGCAATGCAATTAGGCTAGGGTGTGCTAGAGAGCACCGCTCTTTGGGTGTGGAAACTTAATTTAAAAACGAGACTCCCATTAGTGTGCAAAAGAAATATTTCACAGCCATGTTAGGTTGATACGTGACGACAAAGTTCCTGATCACTGAAATGGGTTCGCCCACTGTAGGGTGTGTGAACCAATTTCGTATGAATGCATGTAGCCTGCAGTTGAAACATCCGTGACGTCCAAAGTCTTAACGCGTCGATAGAGGCAGCCCGTCGAGCACCAATCCGAAGTGCTCGGCGTCCCGCTGTCAGACGCCTTACAGCTAAGGATGTAGCTTATGCAACAGTTGAAAAGGTCGTCAAGATACCCGAAGGAGTTTGCAATGGATTAGATGGTCGATGGCCGTTTAGCAGCCGAATCGCAGATCTTCAACGACAGGCCAGCGCGGTCGCGAGATTTGTCTATCCCTTCTTACGGGGATACTTACAGAGTCGGGCATACACTACACGCCCTCATAAATGGGCACATCTTAAGCGACGGATATAAGAAGCTTTGCAGGAAATCTCCGTGGGCATGGCACATCGTGTGATGCAAGCTTTTCGTTCGCCGCTTGTAGGAATGTGAATAATGTAATGGTGGCCAATTGTCGAGTGTAATATTCAAGAAACAGTGACTGTCAATAGACTATCAATAATGACTACAAGGCATATTTTGCCTGTGTTCTCAATGTATTTTCAACTACCTGATTGTACTATTTACAGTATGCTGGTTTGTTTAAACACTACTATTATTTCTGCGCAACCGTTCATAATCAGTTCCTGTTGACGCAAATTAATCAGCAATTTTATTTTGTATAGGTTTAAATGGATGAAAACCACCGTTGCCGGATCGCAAGAGCCTCTTCTTGTCACGAGAAAAACAAAAAGTTCCCTTGAGTTTAAACTTCTACATCCACTTATGGTGCCTTTTGTAGGAGAAAATCACTGTCATACTATTTTAAGTTGTTTTTATTAAAGTAACAAACGCAGTGAGGCCATTCACAGTGCCTGGACGTGACCGTAGACATTCACATGCACCAAGCTTTTGCGTTAAGTTATTTTGGAACTCTACCGACGTCCAATCAGAGAGCAGCATGAAACACACATGGGTATTTCATCCAAGTTGGAATCTGATTGGTTACGTTCGTCATTGCCAACTCGTGCACCCTGAGGTGTCCCTCTGCTCTCGCCCAGCTGGCTTTTGCGCCGCCCTTCGTCGCTGCCTGGCTGCCAACTGATGGCGTTACGCTTGGTATTTGCACTCCACATCTTTCACGTTTTGGGGGAACCATTCACCCTGTTCTTCGCTGACCAAGCATACATTTTCGGGAATGAAGACCACTTGTGAGTGAAGTAAATTTATTTTGACACTCGTGGAGCAACTGAACACTTGAAATTTGTCGTATTCATAACAATTGCTTTATAGTCAGGCTCCTTGAAATTACCCAGAATTTTACTGACCACATCTTTGAAGGCAATCCAAGCTTCTTTTTCTTTTGCTATCATGCTAGTTTCAAATTCTTTATCCTTCATAAGCTTGCGGATATCTGAACTAGCAAAGATTCCCTGTTTCAACTTGGCTTCCGATAAACCCGGAAACATTTTCACAGGTATTTGAAACAATCGCTCTATTTTGGAATAGCTTTCACAAACTGCCTTATTACACCCAATTTCATATGCAGAGGGGGTTTTAACTATGCTGTTCCGACTCATGTTCTTGCTGCCCGGTTCAAGATTTTGTCTTTTCGGCCATTCTTTTTTGATCCAATGTTGTGTCTTATCACAGCTGTCCACCTCACAAATGAAACATAGTAACTTTGTAGATCCGCTTTGTTCACCACGAAACTTTCACATAACGTTCAAATCACCACAAATTTTTCAACAGGGGTCGGAACATTTTACTTTGTTGAGGACAAAAGCCAGGTATTCATAGCTTTCTTTTAAATGCACCGAGTGTCCAACTGGTACTTATGTCAGAAGCATACTGCCGTCCGTGATGATTCAGAACAGCTTTAACGCTCCTTTTCGGTGAATCTGTAAACGTATCGTAGGAGACATTAAAATTGCCCATCAATCCGGGATCATCGGAACAATAGACCAGGCCCTCCTCTTCCTACTTAACAAATCCATTATCTTGGTTCCTGTACCATGAAAAGAGGTTCCTTTGACTATTCTTTTTATTTTAATCTGGAACTCAGGTCCGGACAAATTTTCATAAAAATCCAAGAACAATGGATTTTTTCATGGCAACATGACATTATAGAAAACTCGTTTTTTAAAAGTCAGCATAAAAATACTTATAAAGTTCAGTTGTGACTTCCCTTGTGCGTCGGTGGGTGAGGGGTTAGCTTGCTGGACCCTATTGCGCGGTCGAGGTGCCCGGAAGGCCCAAGTGTCACTCTTGTGGCATGTATAAGAACTCTGGCGGTATGCCCGACAAAATTAAATGCGATCGATAACATTCGCCATTACGAGCTCTCACTTTCCTCCAGATAGTTCGGTTATAGTATCTGAGACTGACATCTGGCGGAGAAAACGGAAATCAAATTCCAGACGCACTAGGGGACTGCCCGCATGTCGCGTGCTCGATGACGCCCCAGACCCGCGTCGGAGGCAGGCTTCCAAGGGGCGGAACAACTGCCTGAGGGCAGTCTCCCCTCAGTAAAACCCGTACGATAAATAAATCAATTCCCTCGTCGCAGGTCTGCGTAAAGCGAGAAAGTCTTTGCTGTTGTAGCCCACTAGTTTTGAAAGTCTATTTCAAGCACTCGTGCATTTTAGAGCTGAAAAATATAAGGTGCAGATATCTATGTAATCTAAGCATTGTATATAAAAATATATGAGTCCATGTAGATAGCAAGGATTGTGTATTAATGAATAAATTACACCTTTTATAGGTTGGATGAAGTATTGATTTTGCCATACAACATCAATTCTGAGGCTGGAATTTCTTCAGAGAACTTCAACACTGCAGGAGAGGTACAAACTTGAGGTTTTTCTAATTACTAATTAATTTACTATTGTTTCCCTAATTCTGTCCCCTCTGTAATCATCTTTTTGATTGAAAGATAATTTGAAGATTCAAAATTAAATTCACATACAAAAATATTTTTCCTAACATTACCACCCTTTTCCATAACCTGAAATGCCATTAATTTTCCCCATTAATTTAATCAAATTTTTTGTGTTCTTTATCAACCTTTTTATTTTTCACCCTGAAGTTGCCTCCTTCAAACCATTAGTTCAATAACTCTTTGGGTCCGAATTAGACTTTTTTCTCTTAAGGAGAATATTTCGTTTGAGGCTTAAATTGATCTAGCAAATAGAGTAATTAAGGTATGAGTTATTTGTTTGACACAAATGTTTTTAATTTTTTGATTTTATGATGTTGACAAATCAACAGAAAATGTAATGAGAGCAGAATTGAATTATTTCCTGAAAATTTAATTTTAAATCATCTTATGCAAATCATAGGTTTATTTATTTCTAATTAAATGACTTCACAACTGGGTCTTAAATAAATTGTTTGTATATGTTAAAAAAAATTAGAATATTTAAACAAAATTTAGGACAAAACATGGAATTAGACCAATTTTTTAAATTTATTTTCCAACTCTTTGCATTTTCCTTTGAAACGATTAATAAAATTTGCTAAACATATTATTTTTGAGACAATGATAATCTACTGCATTGAGTTAAATGAGAAAAGATAAACACTAAAAACAAATGCTGTTCAGGGGATATCTTTATGGCATGCAATATTTTTTAACGTGTTGCAGGAAACAGAAGATGAAAATGCTGACTATTTAGATATGCATGGAGCTCACGAAAAAATTGAGACACAGCATGATTCAAGACATGTTTTTAATTTTCAGTGTGGTACTTCTGTACTAGAATTAGAAAATAATATGGGGATTCAGAGTCCTGGACAGAAGAAAAGTGCTACATTTGGATATGAAACAGAGGATGACTCCAATACTTCAGTTTCTTGTCATCAGGATTTTGTATTGTATTCACCGACTACTCTAAATTCACATTGTTCTCGTGAATACAGTGAACGATCAACACAGACTGAGAACAGTACTGTGAATGAAATATGCGAAGAAGACATTGAGAAATTTGGAGAATATGTAGTTGCAGCTTTGAAACTTTTCAAGAATTCACATTCTCTTCGAGAACTTACAAATGAAATTCGGAAGTCTATTAATAACAGGCTTGATAGTGAACTTGATAGAGTGTAGAAAAAAAATTACTATTCTGTGAGGGAAATTTCTATTATATTGAAAATGAAATTGGTAAATAATTATATTGCATTTATATTATTGGAAGACATTCTAAGAGTGATGAAAATGAGAGTCAAATAAAGAGTATAAGCAGCCTTACAGTAACTTGAGTGACAATTCTTCATCAATGTTTGTGCTACTTAAACCAGTTGTAGAATTGAAAGAATTATTTTTTCTTTTGTTTTGTATATATCTAAATTGATATTATTTATAATTGTGTAATTTAATGTGTTATTCATAAATAAACTAAAAGTATGAGAAACATATAATCTCAAAAGAATGGGGAACTTGAATTATTTTCCAGGTCAAAAGTTCTTCTTCTTTGTGATTTGTCAACATTTGCAAACATAAAACAGTAGGGGTGGTACTCTGAACATATTATTGCCTTGGATTGGACCTGTATAGTGATGTACCCTTCATCTGTTGGAATACTAGTTAAAAACCAATCTCAGTAGTTGGTAGATTTGTCAGTAGAGACACAAGGGGGGTGGGGTGAGGGGGGCCACTGCCCCCTCCCCCAATCTTGGGATAAATTTAAAAACATTAGAGTTAGACATTTCATTTTGCGGATCTTCAAATTTATGTATAAAATATTAACTTTCTTCTATATTTTGAGGAGAAATAATATTAATAATAATAATAATATTAATAATAATAATAAAAGTAATTAAGCAAACAATTTTAATGAACTTAACTAATAACATACATTATTAAATTGGAGAACTTTAGTTAAGTATTATAAAATGTGTGGGATGTTGAACGTTATTGTGAATTCTCTTATTAATAAATCTTCTTTCTATTATATTTTGCTTTTAAACATTATTTACTTAAAATTAAACAGTTTTGACCCTAAAAGTCATAAAACTCAAATTTTAAGTCAAAAAGAAATAATATTTTCTGTATATATAAGTACATAGGTATGTATTGTACGTAGTACATAGATAAAGTGGTAATAAGAGGCCATTTATATAAAATGAGCTCCCTTGGTCCCATCACAAACCTTCTAGCAGAAACGATTTTAACAGCTAATTTAATAACTCCTTTTGCCATCATAGCTCTGTGGTTCAGTTGTAAATGAAAGCTGATGTGAAAAAGAGGTGTTCATGTTTTCTCGGTTCTAAAAGCTTTGAAAGGTAAGTCTTTGGCATTTAATTATAGTTCGAGTTCGCTTTGACCGATTCTAATCCTCAATGAGTGAATTGCAATATGTTATAAACATTGTTTTATCGAAATATCTGCGACAGAAACTTTCGCTATGTTTAACAGGAATTATGATGATGTTGCTATGAAGCACACGGCATGTTTCAAATGGAAGAACGTTTTAAAGGTGGTCGACATTCCAACGAATAGAGGATCGATCTGGACATCCTTCCAGGCAACTGACGACCCACAGATCAACAAAATCACTACCCTGGTGCAGAAAATCGACATCTGGCTGTATGGCGCTTGCTGAAGAGTGCGGGAGGTCAGTTGGATCTTGTCACGAGGTTTTAACTGAGAAATTGAGATGCAAAGTGCCCAACGGGTCCAGCTTTGCCAGGATCTGCTCGATCGTTCAGAAGAAGATAAAACTTATTTAACTTATTTTCAAGGATCATAACCGGTAATAAATCAAGTGGGTATGGTTATGACATTGAAAGAAAGGTCCAATCGTCTCAGTGAATGGGTGAAACGTCTTCCAGTACCAAGAAATGATCGCCAGGTTTGGTACAAGATTCAAGGTGATGCTGAGAGTTCACCACTACTATCTCTCCGAAGGCTCCACAGTGAACCAAAATTACACACATTGAAGTTCTGGAACATCCGTGGGACGCCATCCGTCGCAAGATGTGTGGGGGGAGTGACGACTGATTTTTCCACCATGACAACTCTCCAGCCCGTTCAGTGAGAAAGTATGTGCTGTTGTAACACCACTAGTTGCTTTGAATTTCTTGTAAGAATAGAGTGAAATCCACGTATAAAGATGACATAGATCCAATTTTCACTGTTGATTGAATTTTCGAAAATTACGAAAGTTTAAATTGTTTCGGCGCTTTCCTATAAGTTTGGTATTGAAGATAACATTTTTTTCTTCCAATGAAATTTGTTCTCCTTAATTAGTTCTTTAATTAATGTTATGTTCATTGTTTTGAAAGTATTATATTTTTTACGTAATTTGCACTAAAATATGGGCATTATGAAAAAACAATGAAACAAGATTTTTTCAAAAACTACTCCAAATCTTTTCTTCAACTTTTTGTACGGATGCACTCTACAAGATGAAATGAAGGCCATTTTGCTGCATTCTTTTGTTGTTTCAAAAAGTAATGTACTTTCTGGCATCTCTCTCACATCGTTAGTATGAGGCAATTTGTATACAATGTGACATATGTAAGAATGTACCTGCTTCAAATTGTCTTGTAAAGTAAGATTGCTGTTAGAGAAGCTTTGGTGAGTCTTATAAGTTCAAAGAGTGTTTATAAATACAGATATTTGTAGGTTTATGTAAACGCATTGTCTTCCAATCGTCTGACACAATGTGTCCTTTCACACACACACACATACATAAAATAATAAAGAAATCATAGGTTATAATTATATTGTGAATAACGTTTTTAAAGTAAGGTGGTCAGCAGTACTTCTTTTGTCATATTTTCCAGAGAGATTTTGAATTGTGAGCATACAGTGAATTGTGATTGTATTGTTCAAGAATGTGTAAACCCCCTTTATTTTCATTAGTCTTCAAGACAATATTGAATGGCATGAAACTATGTTTCTTGAATTTTCGATTTTCGTACAGTGAATCGGTAGAATTTTTCGACAGCCACATCCCACTCTTACCGAATTTTCAGCGTACATTCGTGCTGCTTGAAAATTTATTAGTTTTCATGTCAAATTTGTGAAATGATTGTTTTTGCTCGATCGGGATAGAGCGCTCATTACCGAGACCGTGTCAAAAGCAATCATTTTGCCCACGTAATATAAATATTTTTCTACGATCGAATAAAATTACTTCTATTATGGGTAAAGACCGGATTTTCGTGCAGTAAAACTTTCTAAAACGTGCAGTAAAAACATGAAATCATGCAAAAACATGCAGTAACAAGATCGACATTTCTCAAAACTGTTTTATTTAGCTTAAAATTCCAGCTAGCCCACTTATCTACTTATTTTATATTTTAAATGTGATATTTAAGTTAATTTAAATATAATGATTTTAGTACTGTTAATATAATTAAGTTTCTACATAGCGTTTAAACGAACCGTATTTGACTTTTTAAATATTATTCGCACACAAAATTAAATTAGCATAAAAAAGTAAATACAAATATACCTTCACAAATAAAAAAAATGATTAAGTTACATAAGAAATGTTCTTGTTTTCATTATAATTTATAAGTTTGTAAATTTCCAGATTATTTTCTGAGAAATTATTTTATTCTCTATTATATGTTCAATTTGTACACTAGTCTGTCTTCAGGGCATCACTCTGTTGGAGCTAAAAGCGATCAAAACTGCGTTCATTCCCTCTTGTACCTCTCAGGGCAACGTCTATTTCGAGAAATCCGATGAATTTGAAATGCAGTGCGCTTGACATTAAGCTTGGCGCCTGGGCATCAGGTCAAATGTGGCTCGTATTGGTAAGTTCAGCGAAGACTGACAAAATGGATATATGATCTGATTGGGGCGATAGACCTCGAATATAGCGATGGCTGAACGTCAGCAACCAGCGACCGCGGACTTGATTCGTGATAACACTTCATATCCCTATTGCAATAACTCAGAAATTTTAATTAAAAGTCAGCAGTCACCATGAAAGTTACGTAGACGTTCAGTTTATAGAGCAACAAAACGCAGAATTGATACATATTAAAAGTCACTCGGGTTTCTCAGACCACCCGAATGCACTGCTGGGTTATAACATAAAAGCTTTTTTCTAACATGAAACCTTTAAAAAGATAAATTAAGACACGTTGGTAAAACGTAACACAATATCTAGTAGTGCTACAGAATGGCTACGTTTTGTATTTCCGTAGGTCTCGGCTAGCCATTTGGACTTGCCACATACTCTTGCCAGCTGTCATCTATCGTCACACAAAGTACATTTTTTTGGCATTTTCTTATTTTTTCAGTTTCCTAATAGTAGAACGGAAATATTATTTTAAGAATATTAAAGAACAGTAAAATCTCATTCTAAATGGCAATTTCCTTTGAAAAATTTGGAGCCGTTTTTAAGAAATGGTGTTTAAGCACTCATGTGAATTCGAAATTTGAATCTTTTTTTTTTTTTTTTTTGCAAGCAATATGCATTTATGTCATCTCGAAGAGGACAATTAGCACAATCCCAACCAAACGTTTAAAGAAAAAATTGGGAGCCGTTTTCGAGAAAATATTGTTTTTGTTTTTTTAATATCTCATTTCCAACAATATTGCTCGAAAACTACTAAAATTTTGAAAGAAATTACATGATGTTAATGAAGAAACTCGTTATGGACAACAAATTTTATTTGAAGGAAAAATCTCTATCTTCAATTTTGTAGTTATAGAAATTCGTGTTCGTCCTTTTTAAGTGTATTTTACTCCATTCATACAAGAAATTTAAAGAAAAAATTTGCAGCCACTTTTGACAAACTTTTGAAAAGTTCCATGGGATCCGTGTAAAGTACCCGCAAAAATTAAGGAAAATGTTTTTCAAAATCGTCGAGCTTCGATTCAGTCCAAATGGATATGGGTTTATTCAGTTCGCAAAAATGGAAATATATTTTAGTTAGTTATTCACATACACTAGACAGACGGATGGACGTTTTGCCGTCAATCGATTTTCCGGTATCAAGGATTCTGGCTCCATCACATGTTAGAGGATTTTTTTCTTAATTTAGCAACTGGATTTATGCTTTTTTTCGTCACTGTGGCCGGCAATGAATTTTTTTCTGCTGAAGGTCTGCCGATTTCCCGCGCAGCATTACATGACTTTCCCTAGACCAAGTACATTGCGCGAATACGGGAAAAGCAAAATAATAGAGCAACATGGCGTTTATGTTATCTCGTATAGTACATTTAGCACTATCCCTAATAAACGTTTCAAGCAAAAATTTGGAGCCGCTTTTGAGAAAATCTTGTTTTTGTTGTTTTAAAATTGCACTTAATACTGCGCGAAAAGTATTAAATTTTTCAAACAAATGTAAATGACCTTAATGAAAGAACTCACTATGGAGATCAAACTTTATTTGAAAGAAAAATATCTCTTCATTTTTGTTGTAGAAAGATGCCTCAAAAATAAACATTTTGCATTTTTCCAAATTTAGTGTTAACCGTGAAAATGTGACCTATGCCACCTTTATAATATTTCATTCTATTCTTAGAAGAAATTTAAAGAAAAAATTTGCACCCTTTTTGAGAAAATTTTGAAAGTGCCCGGGGGTCTTCATGTAAAGTACCCCCAAATTTTTAAGAAAGTTTTTCAAAATTGCGACGTTTCGAGTGAAGAGAGATTGACCGTGGAATATTCGTTGTGGAAAAAACTGTACGTATAGTTGCGCTAGTGGTGTTCACAGACCGACGCGTGGACGGACGAACGGGCGTTCAGACGTTTTACCGTCACTTGGTTTCTCGTCATCAGGGACCCAGAAAACTGAGATTCTGGCTACATCACGTATTAGAGGATTTTCTTTCTTAATTTAGAAACGGGATTTATCCACTTTTTCGTTATGAGGGCCTCGCAATGAATTTTTTTTCTGCCGAAAACCCGTCGTTTTTTGCACAGCATTTCATAACTTTCCCTATATTACGTATGTTACTCCGTATGTACTACATATATATACAAGAAAGTAAAATATATATTTTTATGCAATAAATGTATGAATCTTGCAAAATCGTCCATTACAATCCCAAAATTCGCAATTTTCAGGCAGCTTTACCCAAAACGTGAAATATTGTGCAGTAACACCCAAAACGTGCTATTTCATGCAAAATAAAAGAAGTACTGAAATAACGTTCGTTAAGTAGGTTTTATGTGATTACTGTAATGTGTTAAAATGTTTGAAAGACAATATATACTTTTATTGTATTTTTTTTTAATTCAACTCCCTCCCCCTTGGCCGCTATTTTCTGGAAGCAGAGCGGGCAACCCTAAGAACATCTTCATCATTCGTTCGCATGGAGTTTCGAGTACTCATAGCTCCGCGTTCGTTCGTTGCAGGGTTCTTTGTATGGTTCGTTGTTATCGTTGTTTGCTGTTGTTTTTTAACATAAATTTCCCTCGTCCAGATGCAGCGAAAATAAGGAATAACCTTAGTTAAATAAGGAACGATCTTAATTAAATATTGAACGTATGACCTTATTTCAGTATGTCTTAGAACAATATATTTCATCAAGAAAAGAAAAGCATCTCTAACTTCACAATGTTGTAAACCTAATTGTAGGAATACACCGAAACAAAGGAACTTTTTCTATTTTCTAAAATTCAAAGTGGTTCGTGTTTTTATTCCAAATTGTATTGCACTCAAACGTTTTGGTCGCGACTAATGCTGGGTCTCTCAATCTACAAAAATCTGATTTTGATCATTGTCAAGCATAGGATTTCATTGAAGCAGTTCGCTAAGATCTAAAATTATTTTAGAGGTACTTTGAGAAAGTCAAATCTGATGCAATAGTCGGCTTCACCTTGGGGTATAGAATTAGCGTTTTGTGAGAAACGTAAAAAAAAGAAGAAAAAAAGAACGCCATTTCGATTAATTGTGCGAAGATCAGCGTTTATCTGACTGCGAAAAACAATTCAAAGTTAATGTTTACTTCACTTTTTTAGATATTGTCAGGGGGACTCTTGCGCATCGTATCCAACTTCAGCCAATGAGCTTCAGGCACTAATTTGCGTCACAATATTAGAGGGAATTTTAAATGCAGTCAAATACCAAATCACCTTGTTACAAGTCATTGATACAGATATATGAGGCATTTATTTAAAATATTGCACCTTTTACATCTTCGTCGTTTTATATTTGGTTGGTTACCGTTGAAAATTGTCACTTTATGACATTTTCAAGATGTTTCTCAACACTTCTCGCTTTCTACCGTGGATATTGGGATTAATGTGCCTTCGATTTATTGGTTTAAATCATATAATCAATACGTTTACGATAATTCAGGCACAAATTTCGTTGGACCTTTCAGACGAAGAATTTGCGAATAAATGCGAAATATTCAGCAAGAAATACTATGACGACATAACTGATCAACTGTTCACCCAGCTATTATCTTTGCGTAGTTGTCTGAGGTGTGGAATTTCGAAGATTCATTCAATCAGAGACTTGGCTAAATTAGTGCTGATTGAGTACGTAACTCTTTCAGTTAACTCTGCAGGCGTCTGCTCAGTAATATCTCTGTTTCTAATGTTTCTCCTGGCAGTTGCGACTGCAGAGCGATCTTTCCAAACGTGAAAAGTATATTAAAAAATCATAAGTAATACCGCAAGCGCTTTGGAAATTGTCAATAAATTCCCTACTCGCAAAGGAAGTGATTTATCTGAGAATGTCCAAAGTACGAGTGGTATTTCTTATTTCCACCTCTTAATAGGACTATTCTACAAATGTGTTTTTATCCAAAGGTCCTAAAATGTGCCAAATATTAAAAATAACTTAGAGCATGTTAAAATCAAAGAGGTTGTTATAATACATACGCGGTCCATTGACATCAACACAGCGATCGATACACACTGCCTCTTAGGATAGATGAGTCGCAGCCCGTAGGGAGCGGCAATAAGAAAAATTGGATGAAAAAAGTGATCATTTTTTTAGACTCACCGCCCTGTTTGGGGAATTTTGTCTGTAAAGGTAAACGCTATTGATTTTAATTTCGCGAGTGGAATGGCCTGCGGCGGGCGCTGTGTGGTTCGAGTAGCCCAGCAGCCGCCGTTGCCGGTCCAAGGATGAAGGAAATTATTCTAGAGGCCAAGGTTTAAGTTGGACTGCAGAGCCATTGAAGAAGAAGAAGGAGGAGGAGAAGAAGAAGGAGGAGAAGAAGAAGGAGGAGGAGAAGAAGAAGAAGAAGGAGGAGGAGGAGAAGGAGAAGGAGGAGGAGAAGAAGAAGAAGAAGGAGGAGGAGAAGAAGAAGGAGAAGAAGAAGAAGGAGGAGAAGAAGAAGGAGAAGAAGAAGGAGGAGGAGAAGAAGAAGGAGAAGAAGAAGAAGGAGGAGGAGGAGGAGAAGAAGGAGAAGAAGAAGAAGGAGGAGGAGGAGAAGAAGAAGAAGAAGAAGGAGGAGGAGGAGAAGGAGAAGGAGGAGGAGAAGAAGAAGAAGGAGGGGGAGAAGAAGGAGGAGGAGGAGGAGGAGGAGAAGAAGAAGAAGAAGGAGGAGGAGGAGGAGAAGGAGAAGGAGGGGGAGAAGAAGGAGGAGGGGAAGAAGAAGAAGAAGGAGGAGGAGAAGGAGAAGGAGAAGGAGGAGAAGGAGAAGGAGAAGGAGAAGGAGAAGGAGAAGGAGAAGGAGGAGGATATGCGAAATTCGATGGGACAGGAGACACTGGCGGACCTTGGCGTTTTCCAGGGAGAAAAGTAACGAACTCATTAAAAATGAACCTGGGCGGCAGTATAAACACGTTCGTCAAAGCGAAAGTCTTCAGGGTTCGATTTTGAATTTTGTGATTGATTATGATTAATAAAGATTTTTTCAATTAGTTTTCAGCACACTTTTTTTAGGGCAAAACATTTTGAGAGGGGTTCCAACTTAGTTTTTGAACCGGGGCCTCGGAAGGTCCAGTTCCGTCACTAGTCTTATCGAGTGTGGCTTTCGAGGTCAGTCGAAGTGCAGAATGATGTGCAGGCAAGTTCTATGCTATTACAGCGTGGATACGGACAGATAAGCGAGCTAGAATATACTACACAGAGTGGATAACCCAATTGTTTCAGTGCTCTTAGTCGACGCTCGACACTGCCATGTTTTTGCAGTAAAAACATGAGAGGCGCCAGAAGGTGGCGTGTTGTTTGCATCAGATCTTATTTCTACATTGTTGTCTATTCGTTTGTCTGAATTTAAATTATATTGATGGTTAGAATAATTAATATTCGGCATATAACTGTAAAAATAGAAGTCATCAAACCACAAATGATCATTTTTCATATTTGACGGCAACGTTCGGGCACACAATACTCGCAGGTGCGGGTAAAAGAGGGCCAATTTTTATTAATTAAGATTCTTACACTACTTGTGTTTGCAATACACTTGTATAAAGGAGACCCAAATAAAAGATTGCGGGATCATTTTGTTACGCTACCATCCTAATTATCCTTAGCGGAAAGAAAACCTCACATAATACAGTAAATCTTTCTCAATGCGGAACCTAATATACCAGTTTTTCTCTCTTTTTCTTTATTAAAGAAGATTGCGCATTATGCATGTAATACTGTAGAATTAATGTTTGGCATTACAAGCGTAGTGCTGTACAATTAAGATTTGCCAGGATCGCAGTGTATGTTCACATTATTCAGATTTTCGCACATTATATACGTTCCGCACTGTGCAAATTTTTCGGTGTAATAAGCGTTCATGTTGACATTGTTTTTGTTTGTATTGGCAAGTAATTTTCCCAGCACAATGTTTCCCATACTGCTAAACGTCACTCCAGAAGCACGTGCATTCCAGGACCATACTGTCTGGTTGCACACGCCCCTCTCGCTTGCTATATATCGCGCTTGTGGAAGACTTGTCAAAGCCAAAGCCTTGCGATAGTGCATAGGAAATGTACTAGCAGTGTGCGCTTAGTTGATTAAGCGTTACACATTTTCTGTGGGACATTTCGTAATTAATTTAACTAGTTGTACGTCGAGTTTTAAACATAGAATCGCATTATGTAATAATTTTATGTAATCGTTTTGTTCGTGGTTCAGTTTCTTTTTGTATCGAAACGAAATAAGGACATCTTAGACTTCGAGCATTGACTTTATCACACTTCTGCGAATAATTAGATGTTCCTCTTTTGTATTTGTGCAATTATCTACCGAGATGAGTACTGTATATAGTAAAGTGGTTTTGTTCTCTAGAAAATATCCCTTAATAAGAGGTATGGCATCGTATGCAATAATTTGGCCAACGTCAAACCTAACCCAACAAGTGATTTTGGGGAAAGAACATTTAGATTACGCGCAAGCTCTTCGATTTTGTTTGTTTGGGACTTTGTTTGTTGCTCCAACATTGCACACATGGCTAAAAATTGCTAATGCTATGTGGCCTGATATGACAATAAAAAATGCCATGAAAAAGGTGTGTTTGAAAATGAAAGTTTTGTTTAGTTTAAGAACAGTTTGAACAATATAGTTACATTAACTGTTTTTTTAATGACAGGCTTGTATGGAACAGTTCAGTTATGGGCCTGCAGCATGTGTATGTTTCTTTTTTGGAATGAGCTTGCTAGAGGGAAAGTCTGTTGAAGAAGCTGGACATGAAGTCTCAACAAAATTTATACCAACATATAGAGTAAGTTTCTGAAGTGTCATTCATATTAATAAGTTTAAATTATCCTTTGAAAAAGTAGAGAAGTTGAAAAGTGCCAGAATTTTGAAGAAAAATGTAAAATATTAGTGTTCTGAAAAAGTCAGCCCTGTTAATGATTCTGTAGTATATTGTAAGCTTGATTTATGTTTTATTCACCTAGGATGTAAAACAAGTGTGTTTTTGGGGTGATTCAACATGTAAGATACAGATTATCAGGAGTCCATTTCAATGTACCCCACATGTCAAAAAATCCTCTCCCATCATCACCCCCCCCCCTCACACACACACACTTCTGACAGTAATGTTTATGGTACTATCCTTGTGTCCGTTTCTGAACTTCTCATTTTACCAGAGGTAGAGGAGGGGGGATTCAGTAATTTTAGTTATTTTGCTGATTATGCTATAACATAAAATCAGAATTAATTTATTGCTAAGCATGAACAAATTAATTATTTCTATTAAACATTATCAAAATATTTATTTTTATGAAATGTTGCCAATATCACTCGTGCTGTCCTTTCCTTATAAATCAACAATGTGTTGTTAAAGAGAGAGCAAAGGAATTCGTCTACTCAAGAAATTGTGCAATGGTAGTACAGTAAAGTTGTTTGTTTCAATAATAGTAAAATTTACACGAATTTCAGTCTCTCTTATGTACTGCACTACAGATAATCATTGCTTGTAATGTTCATTTAAATTAGTATAGATTTTCTTTCATAAATAAAATATTTAGAAAATGGAATGTCTTTGTGCCAAACGACTTTAATGCAATTTTCAGTGGCTATTTTTTTAATTACACACTGTATCAAATGTAAACTAAATATTGTATTTAAAAGTTTTGATTGACTAGTTATTTTCTCTTTGAACCATAAATGTGATTAGATGTGCGAACCGTGCATAGTCTGAAATGGAAATGTTACAACAATATTTTTCATATGTTTATAATCCTTTTTATAATTGGTAATAAATTAACTTTTTCTTAAATACATGATTATTAGGTTTTTGCATTTAACATCACACATGAGTATATGGTTTGTGGTATTTTGGGGGGTTCACTCCCAAAAATTTCCTGAATCCTGATGGTTCTATGAGGAAATAGTTGTTGTTTACAGACAAAAAGGATCTTGATTTTGTGGCTTTCCTTCAAACATTCTTTTAACAGCAACATTCAATATTTTATGGGGCACAAGAATTGTCATTGGACCGATTCTTTGACCCCAGTGGATAAGCTTATAAGTCATGAAAACTTAATTTTACAGGAAAGCAAATAACAACTGATATTGTAAGGATTTCGTAATATTCAAAGGAAACCTGCACACAAATTGTTTTGTAGGGAATTGGCAGGGCCTACCCTCTTTCCTCTTCTCTCCTCTTTTTTACTGTTCTTCTTTCAGGGAGCTTACCCTTAATCATTTTGCCACAGACATTCAAGACTTCTCCTTGATGCCTCGACCATTGTGCATTTTTTCAATAGTTTCCGTTCTTACCAATACCTTTTTTCAAAATTTTAAATCTATGTTGACATGGATCATCAGTTGGTCTGCTGACAATTCTTTTGCCTATTTTATTATTTACTGAGTGAGTTTCTCTGTGTTGTGCCTCGTACTTGTTTTCAATAGTGTTTTACTTTTTTTTTATCTATATCAATTTTGTCTTCCACTACATAATTTTATATACATTGTTTCTCGTCAAGTGTTCATAATACCATGAAATGGTATTTATGTTCGTTTTTTCCTTTGTAGTTTTGAACTTTGCAAACTGATTTTGAAACCTGAAATGAAAAAAGATAAGTTAACGAAACATTTTTCAAGAAATTGTAATGGTTGAACTGCACCTTCTTCAACTTAATTAAAGACCTGTGTTTAATGTATTTTAATAGCCTTTATGTACTTGATTGTTTAAAAAGAAAAAAAGGATACCCTAATATAACAAAATTTTAAACACAGTCAATGAAGATAACAAATTGAGCTGCCTGAGATTAGATAACTAATACGTTAAGTGAGATTAGATAACTTACTTAGATTAAAATAAATTAATAAAGTGGTAAGCCACCTTAAGTGACATTTGAAAGCCAACTGAACGATCAAAAGAAATATGTAAATCAGTCTATCAATATAATATATACATTTTTTTCCTGGATACATTACTGTATTGTACAAAACTACTCTGCTAATGATGTGTGAACCTCTAGCAGAAACGGAAAAGGCACATATTTCAATTTCTGTTGTTGTGTGTCTTCCCATTTCTTGTCCCCATTGCTTTAATTAGGTAAAGTTAAAATTTACTAGTTAAAATAACATTACATGCAAGAAAACTATTTACAGTTCAAAGAAAGGTTTACATTGAAGAATAAATCAACAGTTCCTCAAAAACTTGTCAATGGAACAGTACATTACTCTCGCCTTCTCCCCCCTCTAACACTATGCATCCAACTTAGTCATTTCTTCTGAAAATCTATGTTACATTTTCTTTGATTTATGAATGATCTGTTGGATATTCTAAAAAGCAGTTCAAAGCATCCATTTTGATTTCTACATTGACTCAGTTTACTTCAAAATTGAATATTTGAAAATTTGACGAAAGTGTGCTTGTGCTTCAGTTAATATCCTCTGAAGATTTTCATCTAGAAGTTATAACCTTTTTTTTTAATTGCTCAGTATCTTCATAGTAATACCACAAAATCTTCAAACTGAAGTAAACCAAAACAAACAGGTGTTGTAACAAAAAATGGTGGTCTGAATGTTTGTAATTTTTTTTTTTTTTTTTTATTAAATGGGAAATGTTGCATTTAATAATTTTATGAATTTTTGAGCATTTGCATTTATTTCTATCATTTTTTAACTTGTTTGGGTTTTTAGAATTTGTTGTTTATATATTGTTTTAGAACTGTTATTTATATGTGAGAAATAATACATTTCTTGGTATGTACAAAGTAATACAAAATCAACATTTTGCCTCAAGACTTATGCTGTAAGTAAATAAATTATTTTGATAATTGCATTTTGATAATTGAACCAAATTTGATTACAGGTAGGTTTTTGTGTTTGGCCTGTACTGCAAACCATTAATTTTGCCTTCATACCTGAGAGAAATCGCGTGCCTTTTGTAAGTATTTGTAGCTTTTTATGGTCATCATTTTTGGCTTATATGAAACAGTTAGAAGCAAAAGATCTTGGCAAAATGGAACATATAGCCAAGTAATTCTTAGGAAGTACTATTTGTGAAATGAAATTAGTTAATTTATTGTAGGGACCACAGAATTTCAGAAAATTTATGGCATAGATACTAGCTGGTCTATGTGTCTGTGCAAATATTTGATAATTTTGTATGCAATATTTTTTAAAGTAAATTTTTTGTACAAAGAGATGTAAATTGTCTCTTTATGTTGTAAACTTGGACCCAATGTATAAAATGTTATTTCATGTTGTGTTTTGTAAAGTTGTAATAGCGTAAAATTGTAAATAAAATGAGTAGTGATAAAACTTAATAAATTGCCACAAAAGTTGCCAATGAAGCTGGGATTTAACCACAGCACAATGTTTTGAACTCCTGTTGTCTTTTCTTTATAAAACTCTAGATATAATTAAAGTTCTGTGGATTTTCTAAGAAATTGATATATTTTGATATTTTTTTTGTTGAATAAAATGTATTATAGGAAGACCTATGTAAAGTGAAATCATAAGTTTCATTAAACTTAAATTCTAAAAAAATTTGTTGAAGTATGTTTTTGCATGAAATTTTCTGTAAATAACCCCAGTTTAGAGTTGGTTGAAGATAGAAAAAGATCACTACATGAAATATGTACTTGATATTTTAAATAATTCAATGCCATCAAGATAAATATTGTAAAGGTTTCCATGTAGTTGTACGTCAGAACAAAGATAATCATTGTTCCATAAAAGTTTGTTTTTAAAACCCAAAGTGATGCACTAGAGAGGTTAAAAGTTAACAGAAGTGCAAGTTGCCTTACAACGTTAATGGAGGCAAGCTTTTAACAAAAACATAGTTTGGAAGCACTTCCAAAAGAAGTGATACTGTTGTTATCACAAATATTAATGAGCGCACTTTGTTAAATAGTCATGAGTTGGAGAGACCTGTCCAAAAAGAAAAAATACTGAAACAGTTCCATTATTGAATTATATAAATCTAGGAACACTTGGGTCTGTTCATGTTTCAATTGAATAGGAGAGGTTTGTTGACTACTCAGGGGAGAAAAGGCAGAGGCACCTGGTACGGCAAGGCCAGAAGAGGGGGAGGGGGAGAGGAAGATTGGGTGGGAAAGTGACTTTTAAGATATATTGATGTGAATCAACAATTGATCAAATTATGGGTTACAGCTAATGTTTCAAGATGACGTTTTGCCCCGTTTCCACCTGACAAAAGTTACCCTCCTCCCTCCCGATGTTCTCCCTACCTCTTCTGGCCTTCATCCTCTGACCAGTCACCTACAGTCCCTTTCATAATGGAAACGTTGACGGGATCAGATGTTCCTACATTAATACTATTCAATAATGAAACTGTTTTAGTATTTTTATTTTCTTTTTGTCATGAAAATGAGAATGTACCAAACAGAAGAATAGTGTGAGGTTTAAAATTTAAATATCCTAAAAAAGATGTATATAAAACATGTGATCAATTAAACATACAGATAAATATTGTAAAGAGCATAGGTGAACAAGAAGAATTGAAGAAACTTTCGAATAACCAAGAGTTAGGCCAGAGGCGCAACGTAATTTCTTCTGACCTTGAAAAGACATTTCCACTTCCAAAATTATAAACTAACATAGCAATCAACAACTTACAGTATTTAACTTATGAATCTATGTCTTGGCAAACTAGCAAGCATATATCTACATTTGGCATGAGGGTATAGTTTCTAAAGACTTACATGAGAGAAGTTCCTGTATCATGAAATATGTAAAAGAACATGTGCAATCATTGACAATGTTTGCTTGATCCGATGCATATGATGGACAAAAGAGGAATGTAAAAACTGGTGTAGATGCATATGTTTGCGCAAAGTGATTGTCCTGTTGATAAGATTATCACGAATTATGTATTTGTGGCCACATGATATATTTCAGCCAAAGTGAAAACAACATACCAAAAAAGGAAAATATTTATTGTGTAGTGAGATCCTGGAAATTGTTAAGTCTTGCTATCAAAACAAGCATACATTTGATTTTATACAAATGTCATGACATTTTTACCACAAAAGCGTTAGAACCTAGGATCACCAAATTAAAGAATGATTGAATTTTCGGGAAATACAGTTTGAGAAATTGAATCTGAGAATAATGAAAAATAAATGCACATTCCATTCCTACTATCAATTAAATTTGAAAAAGATACTCAAGGATTCACCACCCAAATTGCATGATCCTGTTTTGGGACTCTTGAATCCCCATAGGGCATGTAGTATTGAAAAGCGAAAGAAATGGCAACTGTCACTTATAGAAGTTAGTGCCTCCAATTCATCATTAGGTTTATGAAAATATCACAACAATTGAAGATGATCCAATAAAGGGTGATTATGGAAACCACTTCAAGAACAGTGATTGTGAAAAATTTGAATGAGTTTTCTGGTACAATTTAAAAATAAAATCAATCTCGCTTTAAGAGAAAAGCAAAAAGTAGTAGTTGCAAATGAGAAGACACTGTAATTCTGAATGTCTTGTTTATTTTAGTCTGTTCATATTATTGTTTTTCTTGCAAAAATAATATCAGGGAATATGTGAAGCATCAAAATTATCAAGAAACTGTAGAAATGTCCTCCTTCAGATCTATAGCACGCAATCAAGTTTTGTATGATAGTACGTCTAAACATTTTTTATTTTATACAGTTTGTGTTGGTTATAATCCAGGATATTTCAAAAACATTAATAATTTGTGTTCATTCGTAGATAATGTTTCGGTATTGTTTATAAATAAATTTTGACATTTGCAATATAGTTCCCTTATGCCTAGAACATTTTCTCTATCCATTCATGGGGGAAAAAAGAAGTTAATATTGAGCAAGAGTGAACTAGGAAACTAATGCCGTACAGTGTTCAGAATGAATTAAATACTTGCCTAGTTGAAAATAAAGTGTGACTTCAATTTAAAAAACTCAAAAATTAAAGCCAGATGACTAGTATTTTATTTAATAAATACTAATTCTTTCATGTTCAGTTGTTTCTTATACACATTTTACTAATACTAAATGATTATAATCAAAATTTGTCAGTTCACTCTGGTTGGACTCGCACCATATTGAGAATGATCCAAAGTTTCTATGCATATAAGTAGTAAATTGATGTTCATATAAATACATATTTTTACAGGAAAAAGGTACCTGCATCCAATAAAATTCTGCAAAGTTTATAAGATATCCTGAATGAATTGTATTTTATTTTATTTGTAATTATTAATAGTTTTATGTTTCTGTATTCTGACACCAGTCAACATTGACCTAATTGTAGAATAAAGCCTTTACCTAATTAGAACCATTTTTGTTTTACATATTTTTGTATAATTATGTATTTTTACATATTTTACCTATTTCTACATATCAGAGATGGCAACAGAAATGTAACTATGAAAAATTAGGCATCTCGTTACTGTTTCTTGTGCTCAGAAGAAAGGTACTTCACAAAATTGAAGTGTGAAGCACTCCAAAGAAATCTACTGACTAGCAACAAAATTGGCTCTGGAATAAAACTTTTCTGGCACTGGGAATTAAGTTTTGTTCCAAGTACAAACTATATTATCAAGTGAATTTCGTTTCATATATATTTTATTCAACATTCAGTTCACGAAATTTAGTGTTCAATTAATTTATTTGGACGTTCCATTTAAGGTTTGACTGAATTGAAAGACCTAAAAAATGTTACCTTAACAACAGTCAATGGCACACCGTTCATTTTCAATGGAGTACATAGCTGTTAATTTGAAATGGAAAATTGAAATTTGTTATTACGGAACCAAATTGAAATATCTGATATACTAATTATGGTTCTTTTGTTGCAAAGAATGTTCGTATCATCCGCAAAGAGAACTGTTCTTCCGTTTCTAATTGTCGAGGACATATCGTTTACGTATTGTAGGAAGAGAATATGCCCTAAAATCGATCCCTGCAACTCCACATGCAATTGGCAAAGAATCGGAAAGGTGTGTATATTATGTTCCTTCGTTCCAGTAAGCTATTTCTACTCTCTCAGATAGTTGTTTAAGATACCACGAGTTTCATACGAACGTAATTTTGAAAGTAAAATGTTATGATCAATGACGTCTATAACTCTAAAAAGTAGCCCAGAAGAGTTAAAAATATTCCAATATATGCTTCGTTTTGATCAATGTATGAGACGACATCTTTCAGAAAAGAAAATATGGCTATTTCCGAAGGTTTTGATTTTTGAAACCCATGTTGGCAATCTGAAAACGCATCGTGTTTACTAAGAAAGGTTTTCACTCGTAAGTAAAAAAAAGTCTAATATTTTTGATAAAACTAACAAAATAAAAATTGGTCGATAATTTTGAATTCCATTTCTGTTGCCTTCTGTCGTTAATCTTAGCTGTTTTAAAAATATGTGGAAAATTTTCTGTGCATATTATGGCGGGCGCGCAAATCTTTAACAAACAATCCGGAAATTCATCTAAACCGGGCGAATATTGATTTTGTATCTCTACCGATTATTTTGAGAATTTCATCGGAAGTTTCGTAAACGAACATCCGTGTCTGCACAGCAAAACAGTGCAGATGACTTTCCGAAAAGAAGGAAAAATAGCAGCAAGTGAGAAAATAAAATTCAAGAACAAATATCTCGAAATAGCTCAATATTACAGATATTTCGGAATAACACTTCAAACAATAGGCAAAAGTTGAAATTCATATCAGGGAAAAAGCACTAGGTTGCAGGTTCCACCCATCTTGGTAATTCGCAATCACACTTCTTTCCTGCCATTCTCAGACGTTTCATGTGAAATAGTATGCAGATTTTCTACATTTTTGCAATAATATAAACAGACCACTAAAGAACATGGCTCTCAATAAATAAGCTGACATTCACTTGCATATCCCGAAAGTGTACAAACCTAGCATCATAATATGGACTAAAATTTTGTAGTTCTTCAATACTTTGTGTAAAAGCTAAGCCCAAATATTTCGTAGGGTCACTAAAAATCATTTTTTTCTTCTGCCGCTAGGGCTACATGACGTATCTTAATTGTATTGCAAGAAATGGCATCAAATGTTCATTGAAACTTTATCAGCAAAATATATTGAAAATACTTTTCATAAAATATATTAACATCAAAATCGTTGAGGATAACAAATGCCTTAACAAAAGCAAAGACACAGAGATACGTTTTCTTTTTCACAAGGACTGATTACGATAATACCCGGGCAAAGACGGGTATTTTGCTAGTATCCATATATTTATGACAATTAATACATTGAAAAATTAATAGTCAAATTATATTAAATTCTGGTTAACTTAGTGCTGAAAATTCTATTCTGTGAAAAATTACGAATATTTTTGGAACTGTATTTATGAACTTCTGTAGTTTTTCCAAACGATTATCAAAGTTTAATATGGGTAATATTTTTTCAATGACAATAGTTAATACACATTTTTAACAATATTTAAAAAAGCCGACATTTTATGAAAATATACGGCAGGAGTTACTTTTACTCGAAAAGCACAGAGACTCGATATTCGATGACACGTTTTATTACCGATGAAAGCGCACGTGTAACCAAATGTTTTCATACATTTCATTTTATTATAAAGTAGCGCCTTAGCTACATTGCTAAGTTCATGATAATATTTACTTCGAACTATTTTCTAAAAGAAAAGGTGTCGACTTGACGTGTGTTGATATTCTTTTTAAATCCGATTTGTCGACGAAATTTGCAGCCAAAATATAAATAAACCGAAAGAAAGTAAATATCATTGTAAATAGGGAATGTGATAAGACGCATGCGCCGTGGTAACCGTATAAGACATCCAAGAACTTAGTAATTTTCTAGGACTTGCTTACGCACACAGCAGATGTTGCCACCCAACACTTTCCCGCCAGAGTGACGTCATTCTGGACATCTCTATTGACGAAAACTGGAATGGTTCGTCCATTGATCGCGTGGTGTCGCTAAAGGTAAGTGAGTCCGAATAGCACGCTGTTTTATACCCTCGCCATAGAAGATGAGGCACCTTCTTACGGAGCTCGTGATCTGCGTGGCTGAATAGCGTGATCCACGCCATATTATCACAGTATACTTTGATATTATGCTCTCCAAAGAGTATATACTATGATACTCTCGTGCTTATTCCCAGAGTAAACGCGCTGTTTACTCCCAGCAAGTTGGTGGTGGCTTCTTCCGAAGCTTCCGAAGGTTGTCCGTGCTCGGGTTGATTATTCATTATTCGTTGTAGTCCATAGTTGAAGATGTCAAAGAAATGTAAAATTGTAATTCATATTATGAAGTAATTTGTTGTTCAAATATTTCATCGTTTATTCATCGAGTGAATTGGTAATTTATACTTAAGATCGTATGAGATTAAAGATTCGCTTCAGGACGAACTTTTATAGGTTATTGCTCAGAGTTTGGTTTGTTTGGTTTTCTATAATGTATTTATAATTATTTTATTGATTGTAAGCTGCTGAAGGACAATGGATTCGCGTTAAATACCAGTTAAATTGTAGTTCTAGCAAAGTACATTACATAACTTGAAAACAAAAAAAAACATTGCTGTTGTTTTTAAAATTAAGTATCATTTTAGTTAAAGTGTATTTTATGGAACGAGACCGTTGAGTTTGATAGAATTGGCAAGTAGTAAAGTTATTTTATAAGTTTACTGTATTAGACAATTTAATTTCATGTGGTTTCATTATTATTAAATCTACTTGTGTATTTTAGAATTTTGATTAACAGTGTTGACCACACTAAAATTTTTATTGTTGTTGCTTTGAATCTAAATTTTTGAAGTTAGTAATGTTCTGTTTCAGTTAAGCCAACATGGATTTTCAAAACAGACCTGGAGGAAAAACAGGTGGAGGAGGGCAGGCATCATGGTCAGAAAGCAATAGAGATCGCAGAGAACGTCTTCGTCAATTGGCTTTGGAAACAATTGACCTTAACAAAGATCCCTATTTTATGAAAAATCATCTTGGTAAATAGAGTTGACACATTATTTGTTTGTTTTGGCATGTTTGTTAGACTGTTATTTAATGGACATTTTGTTAATACAGGTTCTTATGAATGTAAGCTTTGTTTGACTCTTCACAATAATGAGGGAAGTTATCTGGCTCACACTCAAGGAAAAAAACATCAAGCAAATCTGGCTCGAAGAGCTGCCAAAGAAGCAAAAGAATCGCCTCAACAGGTTTGTGTTTTAAGTGTTAATATTCCAATGTTAAAAGTTTTTTTAATTAAATGGGTTTTCATAAAGGCAAACATTCAAATGAAGGTACTCAAAAATTAAGAAATGTATTTCGTCGTTTCTTAGCTACGTTGAATTGTGGATTTTAAAGGTTGCCTTAAAAGGTGAGAATGGTTTTTATTATAGAAATGTATAAAATATAGTTTCACAGGACCCTAAGTAAGGATGTCCAAAGGGTTTTAACAAATTTAATTATTTAAACACAAATACAAAATTGTTATTAAGATTGGTTGGTGAGAATAGCTTAGTATAATTTAAGAAGTAAAAGAAAAGTTTGCTTTAGAAGCAGTAGACTTTAACAATATTCTTTATTTCATGAACAATCATCTTGATAAATAGAGTTAGCATATTGTTTCTGATTGGTGTTGGTAAGTTTATTCTAATTTTGTCTTTTTGTTGATACATATTATTCGGCTAAAGTAGGGTACATGGTACACCCTCAGAGAAATGTGGTGGCGAGGGGAGGGGTCTCCTTAGCCCTCCCTCAAATTACCCTACGTGCTCTGATAGAAATTAATGAAACTTACCGATGCATGGTTTTCATGGCTTGTCCTTCATACACTTCGTCCGCGTGGCATTGTAATACCAATTTACTTTCAACGACAAGTTTTGCTCGCTTGCCCGGATCCAAGTCACAGTGAATCTTGGGCCTTCAGCCCAAGTTCACTATAAACATTCTTGCGTCAATCCACAGCATAATTTGCAATTCATCTTTATAAGAAAGAACTTTCCAAGAAAGACTCCAGAATTCAAACTGCAGTTGCCACTGGAGCGGCATGAAGTGCTGGTTTAGACGTCGGCTATTCTTTTTCTCTCTGGCTTTGTTGAGGGTTGGCTCTTCACAACATCATAATCTTCAAAAGATTTTAAACATCTGGTTTAATCTCTCTGTTAGCACCTGACAGAGACTTGCCATCAGTTGTATCATTCCATTTTCTTTTTACCTATAGGGAACCTTAACCTTAGTCTCCACTCCATACAACTGCTGTAGCTCATGCAGTTGAGAACTGTGCTCGGTGGCATTTGAAGCTTGATATGGTTAGAGAGGTTTGTGACAGCTAAGTCTCTCTCATGTGGTGGTCCATAGGCCCATTAAGTAGCTCACTCCCTCGACACACAGAATTACTCTCATTCCTCACACACACACACACACACACATATTCATGCAGGGAGGAGCCTGGTAGTGAATGCTTATACTCCAATTAAAACAGAAAGTCCCTTCTAGGTCACGAGCTGGCTGATGAGGGGGACACTGTCATCAAATTGCAAAATTCGTTTCAACTAAATTTTTAGTATTGAAGCTCCTGATTGGATGACAGTGTTCTCTTTTCAGCCCTTATCCTTGAAGTGTCTTTTAGTTGTAATTGAAATATAATGGTGAGTGGGATAAGTCTAATCGTGCCACGATGCTAAAGCAAACACCAATGCTAATGGTGTGATTTGAACTTCTGGACCCCATAGCTTGTGGCTGTCACTATAACTGCTACGACCCACTGGTTCTTAACAATTATGAGGATAGTTACCAGCCTCTGTAGTTGGTTCAAGAATACTGGATGAAGATTGGAATCTTTTACTTGGAAGCCAGTTACAACATTTGTTAGACTGAAATACTGTGAAATTAATTGTTTAAAGTAACTGGAAATAATTACTTCATAGGTGCTTTGTTCAAAAATCGTTTTTAAAATAGATTTTTTTTAGTAAGAACTTTTTCTAGATCTATATGTAGCTTGTGTTTCAGCTGTTATTTTCAAAAAATGAAGTGCACTGCAATTCAAAACGGCTCTAAAACATTACTGTACTGAACAATGTAACTGCACTGAAGATACAAATGAATGAAATTAAATGCAAGGAGAGAAGTGAATTTATTAGCAGGTTATTTTGAATTGTGCAATGTTGAATATAATTGTAATAGAGCAAATTCAGATTCTTTCATTAATAACAATGTGCCGGGTGTGGTCGTGATACAGTGATGTCTTAGTGTGATTTGCAAAAGTTTATGAAATTAAAAAGAGAGAAAATGTTGTCTACACAAAAATATTGAAATAAATGACGTGAAATCTCTGATCAGTGCCTTCAACTCTCAGTGGATGAGAAATGTTCTGACGCATTATTTCTTATGTTTTGCATATTTTTTTAAGTACTAGAATGTCATTATGTTGAAAATTTGTTTCAGCCTGCACCAGAAAAGCCACGTGTAGAACCCAAAAAATTTGTGAAAATTGGAAGGCCTGGTTACAGAGTGACTAAGCAACGAGATCCTGATAACGGGCAGCAAAGTCTGCTTTTTCAGATTGATTATCCAGGTATTTATTTGTTTTCAGATTATGTCTGGAAAAGAATATTTGAAGAATTTTATATTCATGGTATTTTCACATAAACAGATTGAAAATCGGAAATCTTTGGTAAACAATCATTATTTCCAAATTATTTTGAAATATCACTGCAAATGTCCACAAATTAGAATATTTGTTTGAATTGTCATTATTTGTTCCTCTTTTAAACCTGTTATATTCATCATCATGGAACAATTAGTGTAGGTCAGTATGACTTCTTTCCTTTCTGCAGAGTTCTGATCTTGCCATCTTTCTGTCTTCCACATGCTCTTCATCACTTACTTGTAATTAATGTTACAGAAATTGCTGAAGGTATTTTACCTCGTCATCGATTTATGTCAGCCTATGAACAAAAAGTTGAACCTCCTGACAGGAAATGGCAGTATTTGCTTTTTGCTGCAGAACCCTATGAGACAATTGCATTCAAGGTAAGAAGTTATTGAGAATGATCAATAACAGTTGAAAAAACAGTATTCCTGGACAAAATATTGTGTTAAAATTTTCCCATCTCCCTTAAATTGATTATATTATTTTCTTAATAGAATTGAAAAGTTGTAAATGTTCTAGAGTTGCAGTGAAGTATTGTGAAATGATCTAAAGGTTTGTTTACTTTTCCTTTCCAGAAATACAAATAAATTTGTGGCATTTGAGTTACATTTTATGTAAATGGTTCTGTAAAATTAAAAAAAAAACGTTTTGAGAACCTCCAAGAAAAGCGTAAAAAAATCAAACCTTAATAATCTTGCATTTATTACATTTTTATGTGTAGTTTGTAGGCATGCCTTAGATTTTTATTAATTTAGAGTGGGGAATATATATATGACACTTTTGGCATTCATTGAGCAGGGAGATACTGCTTGTCCAATCTGGAACAGCTGATGTGTTTTGCAAATGTTTGCTCCCTCTGATGTGTCTTAAATGACTGACACATGGCGAATACCAAATGTTCAGCCTTCGGCGGATCGTAATTAACCCGTCCACACTTCTCGGGATTTGTTGAATGCTGCATGTGTCGAGCCACCTTAAAAATGTTACAAAAAATCTATTTTCTCAAATCTTTTCTATTTCAATTTTATGATTTACACTATTGTGTGAATTAAATTATAGGTGATGTTAAACAACTATTTATATTTTCAATTTTTTAGGGCTTGAATTTCTTATTCTTAACATGTTATATTATTTGAAAAGATACTCATTGTTTGATTACTTACTGAATTTAAGAAAATATGAAATCTACATGTGTTAGTGTGATATTGTTTACATTTTGTATCCAGAAAGTAATATTGTTTGTGTGATAATGTTTTAGGTTCCAAGTCGTGAAGTGGAGAAAACAGAAGGCAAATTTTGGACACACTGGAATAAAGACACCAAACAGTTTTTCTTGCAGTTTGCATTCAAAAATGATCCCAAGATCATTCAAGCTCCTGTGAAACCACCACCTCCACCTACGCCTCCTCTGCGACCTCCAGGACCTCCTCCAAATTTACCCCCTCCTCCGATGCCGCCTCCTTCCATGCTTCATCCCCCCCCTCCGCCAAAGCCACTGGTTCCTCCTGGTGTGCCTCCCCCACCCCCAATGTTCAATCCAGTCCCTCCAAGTGGCCGTTCTATGCCTATTCCCCCCCTCCACCCAAAAGCTGTCATAAGTGCATGGTTTAATTAATATTAAAAATGAAGTGAGATTGATAGTTTGCCTTATTGAGTTATAATTGTCAATGGAAAGTGTAATGTCGTAACAATAAAATTCATTTCAATTTTGAATACATTATGTTTTTATTAATTTTTAAGGTGTCTGTTAATTTAAAATTTTTATTTTATATTTCTCCTTTTCTTGATTTCATCAAAACACGAGTATAAAAGGGTGTGAAAATTTTGTAGAAGAATTAAATAACTTTTGCTTTATTATCCCTAAGAATAGGATTTAATACTGATTTTACTTGGTAAGAAATGTTGATTGGAATTAGATATTTTAATAATTTAAAACTGGAAAGTTAGTTGGAAATTTTGATTTTCTCAGAAAGAAGGTTAAGGCCTAGAGGACAGTTCCTTTGATCTTGGGTGTTATTGGTCCTTCCAACTATTCTTTTGCCTACTGATTTTGTTTTTTCCTCTTGGTCTGTATTTAAGGTTTTGTTTGGTTTAATTCTTATGACCTTGCCATATCTTTCTATTTCGTTTGCTCTGTTTTATTTTTCAAACTTTTTCTTTTCTTGACACTTCAATTAGTGGCCTTGGGTACTTCATTTTCACTGCTTCTAATTTACTTTTCTCTTTTGATTTAAGATTGCATTTCACTATCCTATAACTGAGTTGATTTTACTGCAATGTAGTGGAGTGAAATTTTTTCTTTGATTATGTTTAGAAATTAACTTTTTGTTCTTCCATTGATTTTATTGTATCTTTGCAATTTCATGTCTGGGTTCTTCCCCCTAAAGCTGTGTTTTCTGCTAGATAAGTAAAGATTATAATTGGTCTCTTGTCATTTTGGTTCTGCCGTGTTCTTTTATACCCATTGGTTTTTGCAATTCTCGTGTAATCAGGGTGACCACTTTCTGAAAAACACTGGGAATTTCAATTTCAGAAAAAATCCCGGGAAATTTTGATACTTCTAAGAATCCTTATTTAAATTACTATTTTAAGTCCTAAAGTAACAAATTTCACAATACTCCATAAAACATTGTCTAATACAGGGCTGTCAAACAGAGCACACGGGCGCTCGGCAAGGGCACGCAGTGCCTGAGCTCCGATATCTCAGGGATGCACAAATAGGCGGCCACGGCGGGACGCAAGAAGGCGAAAAAGAAATTTGCGTCCGAATGCGCTCTTGATTTCTTCTGTAGCGAGCGTGGAGGTGCGCTTTGTTTAATATGCAGAAAGTATTTAATAAAAACAAGATAAGTGTTAAAAGGCATTACGAAATTTTTCATGGAGACTACAAAAGTTTTGTCGGATAATTTTACATATTTCGCTATTTTCACAAAATATGTTTTTCTTTTATTGCTTTTTTATGTTGTACGGATTTTTTTAGGAAAGGCATTTTCTAAAATTCAGAAATTTTCCCTCCATTATTACTGTGTGCGGTAGACAGTGATGTAGTGCTGCGCGAAAAAACGGCGAATTTTCGGCAGAAAAACTCAAACAAGGCCCTCGCAACGAAAATGTGAATAAATCTAGATGCTACATTTAGAAGAAAAAATCCTCCAACACGTAGTGTATCAAGAATCCATGTTTTGTGGGCGATACCGAAAAAATTATTGACGGCAAAATATCCGTCTGTCTGTGAACAACGCTAAAGGCTAAACCATACAGCCGATTTTCTCCGTGTTTTATATTCTCCAAACGATGTGGTGATGGCACGGGTTCATGAATTTGAAATCGATATTTTAAATTTTAAGGAGTACTTTATATGAAACTCACATTTTCAAAATAAAAACAATCGGCTCCATGATTTTTGATGAAATTTTGTTATTGGATAGTCTGAAGGACGTTTAAGAAATTGGTTCAGGTATCATGCTAGTTAAAAACCCTGAATTTTCGAAAATTACAAAAATTACAAAATTTTCGACATCTTACAACTACAATTATGGAGATACACATGTTTTAATGAAATATATTTATGGAAATCTAAAAATTCAGGTTTTCGAAAGCATGAGCATTTTGGGGGAAATTTTGTGTCAAACATAAGCAATTTTTATTTTTTCTGAACAATTTTTGCTTAAAAACCACAGATTTTTCTATTAAATTGAGATCATAGATAGCGTAAAGAACGCTTAAGAGAATGGTGTAGGCCTCATGTTCAGTGAAATGATAGTTACGCGATCGCTGAAAATGTTTTTCAGAAAATCGAATCTCGAAAATTACTGTCGTTTTTTATTTAATTTTGCTATTGGATATTCTGATGGGCGGTTAAGAGAATGGTGCATTACTTGTGTTTGTTAAAAAATCCTGATTTTCCGAAAACTGAAAAAATCAACATTTTTTAGCGTCTTCCTACAACTACAATTATAAAGACTATTCCATTTGTGAAATTAAAACCAATAGTGTTTAACTGTACATACATAATGCCGCAATCAGGGCGGTGCATGTCAAAAAGTCTCCATCTGCTATCCGATTTTTCTTACAGCTTCTACCATCTGGACAATCATAAACTGTGACTCATCTATCTTACTAGGCGGTATACATCGATCGCTATGTCGATGTCTAATAAACAGCGCAGGTATTGAAACATAACCTCTGATTTTAACATACGCTTTCAGTTATTTTCCATATTTGGAGCATTTTGGAACTCTGTTGAACATAATTTCACTCGTGGAATAGTCCTACTAAATACCACTCATGCTTTGGGAATTCTCAGATTAATTCCAAAGTTCTCGTGGCATTACTTGTGATAATTTGCTAACAGTTTTTTTGCGCGTTATATAACGTGTCTACTGCGTAAGCGGTAGCGAAAAAGTAAAAGAGGAACCGGCCGCGCGGCAAGCTAGCTCAACACGAAAAGAAAATTAAAAAAACACACACGCGGCGCCCGCCCGCCCGCGCGCACACATATATATATATATATATATATATATATATATATATATATATATATAGTAACTTAACTCGGCTCACAGTCGGCAGACGTTGCTTCTGATCGCTGAAATATTGAGAGGGGACGCATGCATATTTAGAATTTCCTAATCTTACTGCCAAACAGAACATAATTGAAATCATAAATATTTAATTTAATCAGGTTGTAGAAATAAATAACAAAATTACAGTGAATCCTGGCTCACGCAATATTCTCCTTACAAATTATATACCTCGTCTTCTAACACACGAGTCAATTAATGTTCCGCCCTTTTTGGCGATCACAATGCGGCAGTGCGCAGTCGCAGTGACCCAGGAGAGACGCCACGGGTCGTGCGCGGTATCGCCTTAACCGCGATCAACTACCGGTCACACACAGAAATCGGGCTCGTAAACGAAGTTTCTTCGCGGCCCGGCCATGTTCTCGCGGCCTACTGGGCACGCTCGCGAAGAAGCTCAGCCAACAAATATTATACGAGAAGCTTGACAAACATTTTTAAGGAGGAGTACAGGTCTCTCACGGCGCTGACGCGGTGGCCCTGTTGACAATCACGTACGCGATGGAGGGTCCCGTGACCTTGGTCCCTGCCCTCCCGGTTGCTGACGCTACCCGACGGCGCCCTCCTGAAATGGCCCACGACGCGACACCATGACTGCTCTGGTCGCCCACCGCCCCGGTGCCACGACGTCACGGCCCCGACGTCCCTTCAGTGCCTGCACACAAAGGAGACGTCCGAACTAGCAGCTCGGCAACGCAAAAGTTTCCGTATCACGGTGCAATTCCTGACAGCGATGTTCCTCGGTGTTTCGCATAGCGATGCGTCAATTTAAAAATAATTATTACTGGCTCTGTGCTGGTAATATATTTTCTCTAATTATTTAGAATTATAATAAATTAGAGCAATTATATAAATAATGCAATGGTGCATGTGGAACAGGGGAAAATCATAATAATTCAGGGGAAACGAATTGGGTCACCCTGGTCATATTCCTTGCTAATGCTCAGTTTGAAGGCTGCTCTTTGTAAGTCATCTTTCATTGTTGGAAGAATTACTTGGACGTATGTGTTATTGTGTATGGTTGGACGTATATGGTTTTTATTTCTTTGCATATTGGAAATTTGTATGCTTATTTTATTACTTGTATTCTATTTCCTGACGATAAGGTTCATGTAGAGCTTAGTGGCAATATATTACATCCTTGTTGAAGAGCAATATTTCTGGGTATTGCTGAAGTGATTCTTCCATCTGCGTTTCAGATTTCGATTTCGGAATGTTTTTTTTTATTTTATTAATTTAAGGTCGCAATGACATCTAGATCATTAGCGACCACTATTGCATTTAACGGTATGGTAACTGTGTAGATGACACGATATGGTGGTGATACGAGGTGACAGGACGAACGCAAATACAACCATCCCCGGGACGGATATTATACTCGCGATTCTTAGGTCCGAGATCGCTTCGACACGACTGCCTTAACCTTCTCAGCCATCCGGACGGGCTTCTGAAAGTGTGTATAGGCTCTTGGTAGTCTATTAAGTGGCTTTAAATGATTTTCCTATAAAATAATAATAAAAAAAACACTTCTTTGGTGATTTCCAGTTACGTAAAATATCACGGGGACATCTTGATTGTTTGCTAAAATTAACACTTTCTAGTAAAAACTAATATCGCATTGATCTATTATAGCAAGCGAGCTACAAGCAGAGTTCTACCATTAATAATGCCCGTAATAGTAACGAATTCGTTTTATCTCACATGTAATTAAAAATGCTGTGTTTCAGTTAAAGAAATAGAATTTCTATTAAGAAATGTGCACAAGCCGCCACTGATATATCGTATTTTAACCTTAGATTTAGATTTATTCAGTCAAAAACAACTGAATGTGACGTAGGAGGAAAAATAGCTTCCAGCATCTGACATGACCTGGCACTTGCCACCTACGAAGCCACCTTGCAACTTTCCCTGAATGTAGATATCTATAACCACAGGTTGGTACCTATACTTCGAATTTTTTTAAGTGGTCTATCCAGGGTTCTGACAAAGAAGGGAGAGGGAAAGCTGAGGGTGTTGCAACGTCACTACACGTAGGGGCCTTTAAAGCATTATTTTTGATTATTTTTTTCCCTCTCCGTTTTTCGTAACTGTCCTTGAATGGTCACCGTAAAAATCGAAGTATAGAGACGATAGTGCTGTCCTCAACAGAGATAAGTTCGTTCATTTGCTGAGTGATGTCGCTAGAGTTCAGTTGAGCCGACTACACTTCAGTTTTTATGTTTTTGCAAGTGAGAGTATTCATCACGATGGAATATCTTCGTAATATATTTATCGGAACTTCTCTCAATTTCTCGGTCTTACCGCTAGGTGTCGCATGATCGCCAGCACTGCTTGATAGGTCACGATCATGCAACGTCTAGCGGCATAACCGAGAAAGACGCAAAATGCCGTGAGATATTGCCTACGAAGGCCCCCACGCGCCAAAACATAAAAATCCACGTTTAGCTGCCGACTTATGCCGTAGCGTGCATACCCCCACCATGCCACCAGCCCTAGAGATGCCTTGTTCTTACAATCTTCATGCGTCAAAACAGCGAACGGCAATGTTTCCTACTCTTGCACATGTTATACACATACGAGGCTTTAGTTTATGCTGTTAATGCAAACCGATGTCGATTAAGTTTTTATATAAAATACGGGAAGAAGAAGTGCTGTTTAAATCAATGTATAAGAATGACTACTCAATCAATTGATACTTTCATTTTTGTGAAAATTACATGTAAATTGTTATTTTATTAAATACTTATTCCAGTTTAGATTTTTTGTTTTTAATATCTCAAACAATAATATTAACAATATCAAAGGCTTCGGCTGGAAACAAGCAACAAAATTACATAGATAAGAACGAATCAGTAGTTTGGTTATGTGAGTTGTACACCGTTGTACACCGAGCGTGGCTTGGTTGGCTTGGTTTGTCGTGGTCCTGGAAAGCGTATCCCACACCTTGCCACCATTTAATCTCTGTTGCGGATATTGCAATGTAGTTTTTGATGTACCTGTGAATGTTGCTTTCTTTTAAATTCTCAAAGAAAAAGATTCGTTGTTTCATCCTTGAGAGCCAGTAACTTATTGTCTTAAAAATGAGATCAATAATACAATTGAAAATGAAATAAAATATCAATGGAGAACCTCAGGATAATTAAATTAATACGGGAGCATATTTGAATTGTTTCTTAGCATTCAAGCTTCTCAGTCATGGAACGGCTATTCATTTAAAATATTTTATGTTCATAAATATGAATTTGAAAAAAAAATGAATAACAAGATACCAGAATCGACGAAGCCCGAGGCGATCTTCGCGCTGGGGTTGTGGAAGTTCTATGTGACCGACATGTCTAGCCAGATACGGTTAAGTTTGTGATGCATTCGCTATATTTTGCGTAATTTTCGATGGGTTAGATTTACTTGTATGTAGAAAGTTGTTTAAGATGACGGATTTCTTGTTTAATATATTGGAATAATGATGAAGGCACTCCTTTTCTAGAACTCAGTGGTGTCATTTTGTTGGGAGGTGTCCCCTAGAACTTGTTTGTGAAACGTTTACCCAATAAAAGGTAAGGATGTATACGAGATGTTTACAAAAGTGTATTATTATTGTGGCGCGTTTCTTTTACTGCTATCGTATTAAAATTTACGATTCTGTTTCGAACTCCATTGTTAACACTGAGAATCTTGCAAATGCAGAGTGTCAGACTCGCATTGCCGCATTTTCTGTGTAAGCTAAATTTGAAATGGTGCATCTTCGTAGGGCACTGCTTGCGAAATACAAAGACGACAAAGACTGTATTTGATTCAAAACTTTCCAATATTAATATACCGGGCCAATGCCCCGACCTGCCATATCAGTACTTGTGCCCAGTTTTTGTATTTTAAACGAATTGTTTTGGTTTTTTATTCAGTTTCCAAGTAAGATTGATAGAAATCGTAATGAAATTCTAATTGATTGTGGGTGGAAGGTATAATTTTGAAATTAAGGAGAATGGTGTCTGCAAAGGTTCCTGAGGGGTGACATTTGATTCTTCTGAATAATGTAATTCAAACATGGTTATGCACACTCATCATATGCCTTTTTTTAATTTTATTTTTAGATTTTCATATTGGAAACTGGACGTTGAAAGTGGCAGGATGGCGAGTCCCTCGCCACAATCCTCCCCAATGCCCCCACCCCAAACACCATCTCCTATGGGTCCTCCTCAACAGTCACCATCTCCAATGCCATCTCCTGGTGGAATGGTGCCTCCTTCACAAGCTCCTTCACCTATGGGTCCACCCCAGCATCATTCACACAGTCCTACTGGCTACAGCCAAGGACCACCACCTGGTGTAATGCACATGAACGGCCCTTCTGGATCTCCACAACATTCAATGGGTCCTGGGATGCAGCAAGGAACTCAGACGTTTCAACAGCACACAATGGGAGGAATGGGTCACTCTCAACCAGGTTCCCAGGTAAGATTTTTTAAAATGAGTAATGCAGAATGTTTGATCATAGAGAGGAGTGTAAAGTACCCGTGCATCTGTTAAATCTGACCTGAAGATAAATGGGTTTTTCATTGTATAATTCAACAGACTTCTTAATTATGATTGATGAGTTTAAAAACTTTTCAACATTCCCATTTTTTAATATTTGTTGCTCAAATTATTTTAAAACAAGTTGTTTTTAAATATTTTGATGTGTTGATTTTTTATTTGGCAAAACTAACATTGATACCTTCTGTAGTATGTCATGTTGATTATATTAGAATTAAATGTGTTTTATTCTTTCTTCAATGTGAAATTATACACATTTTCTGAAGCAATTTGCATATTCAATCTTCAAAATCAAATTTATCTGTAACAGATGTCATGTTATGAAGTAATTTCTAACTTTGAAAAGTAGACATTTTTATAGTGTTCTTTTAATCATTTTTCGATAAACAAGATGAATATTGGGTTCAGGATCTTTACACAGACTAAAAAAAAATGTCTGAAAATATTTTATTATGTATTATCAATCTGATAATTTTGGGAGAAATGGAGTACATACGTGATTAATTCTTAATTTTGCATTCTGATGTTGTGTAATCTTGAGGATAGGTATTTTAAAAAAAAATAGCTTCTATTACATTTCTTATAATTCATTTTAATAACTTTTTTCTATAATAAAATAACAACAAATACATTTTTACTTCAAAATTAATTAAAGTTAAAATACTTGATAAAAATTTTATATATCTATATATATAATTATGATTGTAAAGGATGAATTTACAGTCAGCACTTAAAATTAATGTTCCCTATGAGTAGAATAATTTTTTAAATTGTGAATTTTGTGAACAAAATTGCATTTCTCTAATAAGCATATTTTTCTTTCATGTATAGGAAATTTATGCAATTTCTTATGGATCAATGTCAAATGTCAGATCATACAACAAACTTGTTTTTGCACTTTGTGATGCCCTGTTTGTAGGACAACATTGTTTTGGCTTTTAGAGGTGGTTCTAATATTATTCCACAGTTTTGGTGACAAATTAATTGTTGTTTGGTTATGCCATTACATTGCATCAGATTCAGCAATTGTGAATCACCGGTAGTTGATGGAATGAAATATTACATAAATTTTAGAAACTTCTTTAGTCTCTTGAACCCTTCTGACTTCTTTGTTAATTTGAAATCAAATTTTTGATTGCTTTATTTCTTACTTCTGAGACAACACTGCCAAAAAGTATCGGAACCCAAGTCAGTTATGGAATACTTAATATTAAATTTGACCTTTTTTTTTACTCTTGTTGAGTTTCATTATCTTTTTATACAAAAAATAGAAATCAAGATGACCTCTGGATATTTTTCTATAGATTAGTGATCTTATATAATTGTTTGCAGTTATCGCTACGCAGAGAATGAATTATTCTTCTAGCCCCATATCATTCTTTATTTTTGTGCTTTCAAACAAAACACATTTCAGAAATCCAATTTTAGTCATATAACTACTTCAAATTGTATTTCAATATTTGTATATCAGTGTAAGTGAGATGCCTTCTCATCTGCCTCTTTAATTATTGCTATCAACTGATCGGCCAATGGTTGGGTGGATGCAACTAATATTTTTTTTTCTGTTAACTGAAATGGTTTCCCTGAAAATAATAAAAATATGATTAATAAAGTAGTAGTCTAATAAACACAATCCTAGTATTAACAAAGATAATTTTTTCTAGCAATTATTAAGACTATGCTGAAATTATGAATTTGCGATTGGATGATTTACTATATCTCTGAAATATTAAACCCAGTCATAATAGTTGTATTATCTTTTGGAATTATTGGATATAGAGAACCAAAAATGTTTGTTCCCAGAGATTCATTACAATCACAGTTGTCTGTACTTATTTCTGTTCAATAATGACGATGGCTCATTTGTGATTAATGAATGAAGAACAAATGGTGAAGTTATTATTCAATATTTTTTCTGTAATAAAGTAAAATTTTAAAGACAATCTCTTTTCTCTGACTCTTTAAAGTTAACATTGATGATGAAGCAATAATTCAACTTAAATATTAAGTATTTTTTAATCTTTTGACATTAAAATCAATTCAGTTTCATTATTTATTTACATTATTGTGTTTGTGATATTTGCTTGTATATAATTTATTTCTGCTAGAAATCAATTAAGATCAAAATATTTATATTATATATTATTAATATATATATATATATATATATATATATATATATATATATATTAATATATATATTAAGATTTATTATATATATATCTTATTATTATTAATATATATATTAAGATCAATGGAATATCCCAGAGAAATGATTCATTCATTTTAATTTATGGATAAAATGAATTTAATGTGTGAGGCACTTATTGAAAAAGCAAGTAAATTTAAAGACATGCCATTAAAAATTTTGTGAGGAGTTTTATATTTCTAGATCTTGATGGGAAGGTTTAAATTTTGTGTTTTCATGAAATGGGGAAGTTTCCAAAACAGAAATGTAATGATATCTCATTTGAAAATTTATTTTGTGATACAAAGTTTAAATTTCGTATTTTTTTGTGGGAAATCTAACCATACCTGAAACTCACCATTAGTGTTGAGCACAATTCCACCTGCCTCTTTAACAATAATACTTCCTGCAGCTACATCCCAGCAATATAAGCCATCTTGCACATAGGCATCCATACTGCCATTAGCCACGTAACATAATGTCGTTGCAGCACATCCTATTGCTCGAGCTCTAAATACACAATATTGGTCATGTTATTAGTCAACTGAATTTTAAAATGCTTTGCAATAATGTATATTTAAGTATTACTCATATTAACATGATAGTTGTGTGACCTACCCATGTGCTCCTTTAACCAGGCCACGCAGCCTCTCGATAACTTGGTGTTCATACTGTGTCATTCCAGCAAATGATATTTCTGTTGCCACAAGAGATTTTGAATGCTCTAAAACAGAATATGAGAATTAAGAGTCGTCATCCATTTGTGGATCGATTATTTGAAAATTTGAAGCATTGAAAATTTGAAGCAACCTGAGCATGTGGAAACGTGCATTTTTTTCCCATTCTGAAAAGCACCCATTCCTTTGCATGCTGTAAACAAGAGGTTCAATATTGGGTTGTATACAACACCAACTGTTACTTCTTTATTGACTGCAAAGCCCACAGATATAGCAGATTCAGAAACACCATGTATGTAATTACAAGTCCCATCTATGGGATCTATAATCCATGTTGGTTCATTAGTTATTTCAACTTCATTTGGTCCTTCTATGCTCTCTTCACCAATGAACCTGAAATCAATTGGTGTGCTGAGTAGTATTGAACTCTGTAAGGTAGATCCCTGTAAAGTCCATAAAATTTACAGTAGTGGTGTTTTCAAATATTCTGAGTTAGGTATGATGAACAAGATTTGTCACCATGCTGCTACAACACAACCTGTCAAATTTTGAAGAAAAAAAAATGTGGGATAGTCACTAATGTAGAATGTGGTGCTAAATGTTAAATTATCATCATTTTTATTGCAAAACCCTTTTTTATAAAAAAGCTGTTTCACTTAAGTTGAAATGCTCAAGTGAGCAAACTCTTAGTATTGTTTGATAATACACTGTAAAATATGGTTGATGCTGAACACTATTTCTGAATGTTTCTTGATTCTCCATAATATCATCTTGTCATGTGTAAACATTTTATAGCGCTGGTAAAAATTCATATTTGTTGCAGGAAATTAATGTTTCAGAGTCAGAGTAGTGCAACTTCTTTTTATTGATTATTTCTGTTAAATAATGAAATTTCGAAATTTTTGTTTCTAATGTTATTTTATGGACAGTTATCGTTTAATCATGCATATTACCTGTGCGATGGAAATGCCTTTTTCAGTTCAGATATTATTAAATTTTCTGTTTTTTTGTCGTATTCAGTTACAACATCATATGATGCCGTTTTAGTTTCTACTTTCTTGACTGCATAAAATCCTTTTAGCATTAACTGGAAAAAATATGTTGAATTAAGTATTTCAAATATGTATGTAAAAAAACACCTTTTTAATTGTTATTTTTATTATAAGACTACTTAATACTGCTGATCCTTTGGGTCACTCCTTTTTAAGACATAATTTTCAGAGTTTTCTGCACTCCATGCCATTAGCTGTTAATTTTTTCTTCAAAAATATTTCCAAAATGCTTTGTAACCTTGTGCATTGTTTGATACTGAAATTTTCCTAATAATAAATCAAAGTTCAAATAATGTAGGATTACACTGTTATAACTGACTCTTTTTTACCTTGTATGTTTAATATTTTGTATCTGGCAAGTTTTTTTTGAAAACATTTTCCTAACTAATTCATAGTGTAAAACTTATAAGGAAATTTGTGTGATTTGTGGTTAAATCCTTAAATGTACCATCAAATAAAATAAATTAATCACAAATAAATTTGACATTCACCAAGTAAGGAAAAATATATTTTGTGTATTGTAAGTCAATGACATGGTTGAAACAATTTGTATTTCATTCTGAACAAAAAATAACCCTAAGAAGGTAGTATTCTGTAAAGTTTTTATTAGAGTAACTCAACACAGCTGTTATTTACACTATTTATTCATTTTCATTTTATGTTGAATTATTCTATGACAAAGTTAAACTGCATTTTGTGATATTACTCAGCATATAATTAATAAGAAGATACCCATTTGTTGTATGTAGGACACTGATATTTTTATGCAGTATAAAAGGCAAAAATACTGTGTTTAATTGTAAAGAGTTTTTGTATGGAGCAGGATTGTGATGTCATGCTTCCTATCATTATCCATTTCTGTGAGTGTCTTAGTTTTGTTTGTGTAATTGTTTGTTTGCAATACACTGAGTTACATTCCAGGAAGTGAAAGAAAAATGAATAAGTTAAAAAAAAATTATAGTAATTTGATTTTCTCTAATAAGAGTTTCAAATAAGAAGAATGATATGAAAAGAGAAACAATATCAACCCCAAAATATGCAGTTCAGTGCATTATTATTGGTAAAATATGCAGTTAATTCAACTCTACTTTGAAATGTAAATTTCTTATATTTGCTACTTGAAGTCATTTATAAAAAAATCTTTATTTTCAGTCATCACATCCCATTGTGAAATAATTTCTCATTATCATTTCCTTTGCAGAAAAAATGCAGTTTTGAGGGCAATAAAATCAATAAAATTAGGCTTTTGTTGTAATTTTTCATTGGGTACATTCTTAACATATTATACCCCGAGTCGGAACCCTAGTATCGAAGTCTGTTCAAAATTGGAAGGTTGATGGAAGAAAGGAAGATGATTATAGTTCTATTTTGAGGGAAAGTCGGCTAATCTCTTTGATGTAAAAAGCTTGTTTTTGGACTTACTTCTCCAGCCTTTTTCACAATTTCCACTGCCACTTCCAGTATTTCTTGGTTGAATATATCCATTGAATCCTCCGAACTTGAACTTGTTCTCTTTGCGGCAGATCGATTTCGTTTCGTTGCCCTTATCTTTGCAAGTTGCACTTCACGTAAGGCTGTTGATCCTTTTCATACAGGACTTCGTACAACGTACCTCCTGAGAGAAACTGGCATTTACCTACTTGCTTGACGTATGTGAAGACGTTTTCCAAGTTCACGCAGTGTTTATTTTTCACTGGTACCACCACACCAGCACGGGACCGCACCAGAACCAATCAGAACGAGCATATGGGGCGACCCCACATCTCCCTATTACATATTCAGTAACCCCACCCTGCCGCTCGGCGGCACCGTTGTCCTTTTCTATCGATATCTTCCTCGTCACTCGTGATAGATGCTCATCTGCGGAAGGGATACGACATCGCCAACAAAACAGGGGTGTTCAAATTTAAATTATCGATGTTAATAAAACATAACCCCAAAATCATCAATATTTTTATAACCTTACCTACAATTATTATTCACGGTGGATGGTAATTTGACGGTTATCGCGTTTATTAATTTTTAATCGATATTTAACTGACAAAAACAATTAAGAACTGATCAGGACAATTTTTAAAAGTTTTATAATTCGATTCAAAAATAATATAGACTGCTTTTATCGTCGAAAGCTCTATTTTAAAGATTTTGAACCTCGCTCATGTTTTTTGGAACGTCGAACACCAATATCAGGTTTGGCAACAAACATTTTGCACGGAAACGTTTTTTTTTCAAAAACCTGTTAAAAATTACATTTTAAAGTTTTTCAAAATAAATCGAATTTTGACTCACTTTTCGTAAATGATGGTCATATGTGAAATAAAAGGAAATAAAATTGACATTTAATGTCTGTTTCTCCAACCTGCCAATTAGCCGCTAGAGCAACGTGAATTTTGGTTATTTTATGAAGAAAATTTTGAAAACGGGATTAATCCCATTTTATCTCAATGTAACTCAACAGCTACATATTTTTCGTAAATATTTACCTTGTATGAAGTGAAAGATGATACAATTGCAAACATTTTATGACTTTGAGGTTCTTTGTGTTATAAACAGTTGCACAGCTACCGCGCATCGAAACCAACGGCAAAAAATACTCGGATGTCACTATGAAAATTGCACCTCACCTATCTTGCCTCTTTAATTTTCGAGCTCCTGCGCATAATTATAATTAACTACAAGAAATATAGTTGCCTGATACTAAATACGACGCCAGTTGAATCATTCCAAGTGAAAAAAGCAAAGTTGGTAATTAACAAGGCAAAAATAAAAGACAATTAAATATTTTCAAAATCGATGCGTCCTTTTGTACGAACGCCCTGACATTTCAACATCATCTGTTTCATAGAAATAGAGAAATATAATTTTATTATTCTCGGCATTGTATATTGTATTATTTCTTCATATTATGTCAACTTTCTTTCTCTCCAATTTGCCATTTAGCCGCTAGAGTAACGTGTATTCTATTCGCACGGAAATACTAATGTTGGGTTAAGGCCAACAAAACGTTATTGTTGCCGAGTACGACGCAGTTACTATGAGTCTCGTTATCGCATTCCTTAAATAGCCCTGTTTGAATAAAAATCCACTTTGGGTAATTTGTGTTTCCAGCTGAACAGCGAATTTCTCACTTATTGCCAAGCCATTGTATTGATTGTACTCGATATTTAGTGATCGTCTCTGGAGTGACAGACGTGATGTCCGAATGTTTTATTTGCGATTCTTTATTGGGGAGGGGGGAGAGATGAATCTTCGGTATCAACTGTTAAAAGTCGTAGAATTGCATTATTTATCACAGCCAGTACGAAAAGAAAGGATGAAAAGGTGGTTACTTTTAAGGGGGAAAATCAGTTAATGTGAATGAAAGATGTAGAAAATCCTACTTGAGTGAACAGATGCGTACCTGAAAGAAGACGAGAAACAAACAGGTACGACACCTCAAGTAGCACGGGCATCAACTCTTGTGCTTAATTTTCGATCTCGTTGCTTTCTGTGTGGGCTGCGCATTAGTGACGAGTACATTGCTGCATAATCGATAAATGCAGCAGGAGGGGGCAATACAGTATTCACTGTTCGACACATAGGAGTGAGAGACAATCCTCCACGTAGCGATAGTTCGCAACGATGATTATGGACGAGCAATAATTCAGCACGTTGAGTCAGTTGTTGATTTGATTGCAGCTGATGCTCAGTACATCACGTGTTTGAAAGCTATTTATGGTCGGGCAAAGGTCGAGGAATAGAAGAAACGTGGGCAATTTTTTGAATAAATTAATAGGCCAAAGAAATATAATTACAGCTACTTTGAAAAGATCTGTTGAGCGCCAATTCCCCAAAGAAGAGTCGATGGGGCAGATCGCAGGCAATTGTCAATCTGACGTGGAAACTGTGAAGGCGCGACTCGTTGAAAACTATGGAGAAGAAATTATGCCCACAAGCAACGTATAAAAAAATAAAATAAAAAACAACAAACATTGTTTAACGCGTAGCATCAGCAAAAATGTAAATCTGCTCATGAGGAAGTGCTTCGGGAAGAAAGCGCCAACACCCAGCAAATTGAGATATGATTTTTTTAAAAATCAAATCAGTCTATAAGTGCAAGTCAAACATTTCTGCACTACAACCATCTGCACGTGCAGCACAACAAGACTTCATCAGCGTCCCATCGGGTGCAGCAATGACTAATCCTGAGGAGTGGGGATGAAAAAAGCAACTAAACATGGCCTTGCGCCTGTGACATTGTTACCACCGCACCCTCAGCTTTATTGAAACTTGTTTAATGCAAATGTACCAAAAACTGCCAGAAAAATTGTGGCTGCAAGAAGGCAGGGGACGTGTATTGCGGGAAGGGTTGTGATCATATGACACAAGAGGACGAACTAGAATTGGAGAAGGAGATGAAGCCAGATTTTGCAACCTATGGAACTGGCGAAACAGGGGAAGTAGAGCAGGACATTCCACGAGGTATTAAGAAATGCTACAATATACAATGCCGAGAGTAATGAAATTCCATTTCTCTATTTCTATGAAGCAGATGTTGAAATGTCAGGGCGTTCGAACAAAAGGACGCATCGATTTCGAAAATATTTAATTGTCTTTTATTTTTGCCTTGTTAATTACCAACTTTGCTTTTTTCACTTGGAATGATTCAACTGTCGCCGTATTTAGTGTCAGGCAACTATATTTCTTGTAGTTAATTATAATTATGCACAGGAGCTCGAGAATTAAAGAGACAAGATAGGTGAGGCGCAATTTTCATCGTGACATCCGAGTATTTTTTGCCGTTGGTTTCGACGCGCGGTAGCTGTGCAACTGTTTATAACACAAAGAACCTCAAAGTCATAAAATGTTTGCAATTGCATCATCTTTCATTTCATACAAGGTAAATATTTACGAAAAATATGTAGTTGTTGAGTTACATTGAGATAAAATGGGATTAATCCCGTTTTCAAAATTTTCTTCATAAAATCACCAAATCCTTGCCATTCCATTCACCCATCCCATTCACGTTGCTCTAGCTAAATGATAGGTAGGAGAAAAACAACAATATAGCAACATCATTTACGAAAAGTGTATGATTGTTGCGTCAACTTAAGAGGCAACGCGTCGCTAAGCCACTTGGGGGGCGTTGAGCGTTTCGCGCTTTAAGAGAAATCCTCTAACTATTGCGTGGGAGTAATCCTCCATTAATTAATATAGTCTGCCACGTCTCGTCGCAGTCAGCTTGGTTTCCATTCAAGTTCATTTTAAGTTATTTTGAAAGTAACTGAAAAAGGTGGGATTTTGAGCAGGTTTCGTTTTTGCGAAAAAAACGTTTCCGGGCAAAATTTTTGTTGGCGAACCTAATTTTCGTGTAAAGCGACCCCAAAAAGGTATAGGACGCAAATATCAAAATTACACCAAAACTATTTTTTTCTACTATTTGACTGGACTATCAACCGTGAGAAGAATTTTCACCAAAATTGATACTCGTATTCCCGGTCGACGTGACTGATGTCGCGGCTCGGTGAATTTGAAACGGATAATTGATTTTTGGGAGTACTTATATCTCTAACATTTTCTGAAAAACTGCTCCAATTTTTACTTTCGTGCTAAGGATTAGAGAGAAAGTTTTGTAATGCTGCGCGGAAATGAATTTTGGGTAGAAAAAAATTCTTTATTACAGAGCCCTGGTTACGAAAAACGTGGATAAATATAGTTGCTAAATTCAGAAAAACTAGTTGGGCTAGAACAGCACTTACTTTCTCGCTATTAATAATGGTCATATTTATACCACCGTTTCTTTCCAAATTAACACATGTCATGTTTTGTAAACTCTATTTGAAATCGTAAAAGGTTTGGTGCAAAAAATACGCAGTATGCGAGAAAGTAAAATAATTAAAAGTTAATAAATAATTCGATACACATAGCGTTGGAAAACAAATGGAAATAGATCTAAAAATATACAATAGTAATTATTGAACACTGTGGTATTGTAATCTGCAAATATGTAAAAGTATTCGTTGTTATTACCGCGAACCCGCAATTACTATCGGCGTTGCAACAATGGGTTACAAAAACCAACAATCGCCGCTCAACCACCACCAACCATCCACCAACAAAAATTAATAAAACACGATGGAGCCGTTTTTGAGAAAAATTGTTTAAACAAAAATTAAAAATTTCCGAAAAAATGAAGGATTTCTAGGAAAACGAGATTCACACCATTTATATAAGGATTCTTCACATTATTGAAGGACTACGTTGAATCCAAATTGGAGCCATTTTTTCCAGAAAATTTGGAAAATGCAGGGGCTTATGAGTAACTCCAAAAATAAAAATATCCGCTTCCAACACGCAGGCCCTCGAGTTTGTCCAGATCGATAGGGGAATATCAAATTTGGAAGAAAAAAAAAAAAATTTATAGGTATTAGAAGGTTAGACTCTTGACCGAATGTATCGACGGACGATCGAACCACCCACCACCCAACCCGACGGACAGACAGACAGACAGACAGACAGGAAGACAGACAGACGGACGGACGGACAGCCCGATGGACAGACACAAGACAGACAGCCCGACGGACGGACGGACGGACGGACGGACAGACAGCCCGACGGACGGAACGAATGAACGTACGTACGTACATTTTGCCGTTATTCGATTTTTCGGTATCAAGAACCTGCACAGAATACACAACACATTAGAGGAAGTAATTTAGAATCACGTTTAGAATCAATATTTATCCACTTTTTCGTTACTAGAACCTGGCAATAAGACGTTTTCTGCCGAAAATTCGTGTTTTTTTCCCGCAGCTTTACAATATTTTCTCTATACTGCGTAAACAATACATAGAAAGTAAACTCTTCTTTTAGTCCCTTGGCACTAAATGTTTCATCCTGATTTCGGCATTTTTAACTGCTCCATAACGTTGGCGCAGGTTGTCCACAATCAGCGGTCAGGCAGCTGACAAATGTATAGTGACGTTCAAGCTCCCGAATGGGTGAAACTGTCAACAGTTGGTACGTGCCAGAGGCTGCGTTGTGAAAATCACAGTATAGACCTCTGATGGGGACAAGCCAATTGTTGAATCATCTCCCTCTAGCAGGCTGGAGTCAAGAGTCCTTGTGTGCAGATCGTCTCTGTAGTAAATGAGAGAACCCTTGTGCTTGGATTTTCCGACTGACTTATTCGTGTTTCCGAGCGTGGCAACTGCTATGGTCATTAGTCCCTAAAGTGTAGCGGAGTTTGCCGGTGATCGTCTCCCGCTTGATGGTATGATCTGGTGTCGAACTACACGTTGTCTTGCGGGATTTTCCCAACCAGTTATCTCCCACCAACGGAACACCGCCCCAGCCAGGCCAAGCTCTAAGCTTTTGACTGCTCTCCTGTTGTGGTTATAAAATGTCTGTAAGGCTTGGACAAGGAAGAAAAAGGAAAAAATCGCGAGTGGTCTGTAGCCAGTTTGTGTAGCATTGCTCTTTTGTCGATTGGAGAAACCATGAACAATTACTGATCAAAGGATCTGTTCGCTAGAATTCTCCTCCTGGCAGTGGCTGAATTGGACCTAGGACCTCGCAGTCTGAGATGCTGCAGTGACATCACTTGAGCCACCTAAGCTGGTTGGATCATCTGACAGCATTGGCAATCACAGACTTCAATGGTGAACGGACTACCCAGTAGCAGGCTGCAGCTAACGTGCCCTCGCCAATTGGCTCTCGTTATTGTTCTAGGAAGAGGTCGAAATTTTTTGTACTTTTGCTGCAACACCGAATGTAAAAATTATATATAGGAAATTACAGTTATAATAATAAGTTTTCAAATGTATTAGTAGCTATATAGAATGCATTGTTTAAGTTGATAAAAATTAATTGAGTTCCAATGTAGAAAGATTACTAAACTTAATCTAGAGACACCGGCACTGCCAAAGAATTCGAATTGGTCCTGTGAATTTTGCAGCTTCAAGAGCTTAATTGTTTTATTTATTAAAGATAAAGAGTACTGTGCTGTAGCACCGCAGGACTTATGGACAAACCACCACCAAACAACTGCCTCTGAGCACCACAAATTCATGAATTACCCTTGAATTCGCCCCCTGAAGATGTCTATGGTGCCAACTGAACAACATCGTTACCACATTTTTAAGTGTGAAGTGCTATGTAACATGCTGTGTAGAAAATGGTGCAGTCCAAATTCACATTTTGTGGGCCATTGCTTCTGCAAAATTTGTTTTCAGCAAAACATACATCTGTTCATATGTCTGCTCTGCAAATTTCTAATAGGCATTTTAATTCTTGGGGTAGCTTTCAATTATTTTTCAGTTCATTAAATCTTGACTTGATATTTCTAATTGTGAATACTGGAGACACTTGCCCATTCATCTCAGGTTGTGTCTGATTGATTTTATTTAATAATGCATCTATAAATAATTTTAAAAATTGTATAAAGGCAAAATGTCTGAAAATACACATTTGTGTTAATGTCAAAATCTTCAGTTGTATGCTAGTTTCCCTCATCGTATTTTCTTATGATTTTTCTAATTAGTATTGTAAGTATGTGGAAACTAATGTAAATCTAGAACTATCTTATTTGTTGTACTTTATTGAGTAATTGTATTCCAATTAGTATTATAATGTAATGTTTTTATTTAGTTATGTGTTTACTACTTTATTTGTTCTTCATGCACCTTTTTCCTGTCAGATAAAATAAACTTTCTTTTCTTCATCAGGTGGCACCAATGGATAATTTAAATGCACTCCAAAGAGCAATTGATTCTATGGAAGAAAAAGGCCTTCAAGAAGACCCACGTTATTCCCAATTACTTGCTTTAAGGGCAAGAACAGGTTCAATGGATCCTCCACGAACAGTGCAGGTATTGTAAATTTTTTAAAAAAATTTCAAGAAAAGAGAATCAATTTGTTTACACTACTTCATTAATTATCTTAATTAAACTTATTCTACTTGTCTTTTTTTACTAATTGGCACTTGGATTTTCTTTCTTCTTTGATTCATTTTAGTTGCAAAAATTGATAAATGACGAATATTGCCCCTACTTGAGCGCTGAAACAGACCCTAGAGAGAAAATATTTCCTCATTATTATAAGTACAACATACAATAAAGCGATAAACATATTCTGATAACTTGTTTGTAAATTTGAGAGAATATTTCATTTTAAAAATAAAAATGTTTTGGACTGAGTTTATCATTTAACTATTTGTTAAATATTTTAAGTGTTCATGCTAAATTCTTGATTGATTACAGGGTTTTGGTGGACAACAAGAACCTCCTCCAAAGCATACTTTTAGTGCATCTCAGTTACAACAACTTCGTGTGCAAATTATGGCATATCGAGTGCTGGCACGCAACCAACCTTTATCAGCACAGTTGGCATTGGCTGTGCAAGGCAAACCCAGTCAATGTCCCACTCCACCTTTTCCTCAGCAGCAACAGCAACAGCAGCAGCAACAGCAACAACCACCACAACCTCATCCCACACCACCTCCCCAACAACCTCCACAACAAGCTCCTACACCTACTCAAGCTCAGCAGCAAGCCCAGCAGCAAGCTCAGCAACAAGCTCAGCAACAAGCCCAACAGCAAGCCCAACAGCAAGCCCAACAGCAAGCTCAACAGCAAGCCCAACAACAAGCCCAACAGCAAGCCCAGCAACAAGCCCAACAACAAGCTCAGCAACAAGCCCAGCAGCAAGCCCAACAAGCTCAGCAGCAAGCCCAGCAGCAAGCACAACAAGCCCAACAGCAAGCCCAACAGCAAGCACAGCAACAAGCTCAGCAGCAAGCCCAACAACAACCACCTCAGCCACCAACTCAGTCTCAACCACAGGCTTCTCAGCCTCCTCAATCCCAACAGCCTCCACAGCCTCAGCCGACCTCGCAACCACCTCAGCCCCCTCAACCACTACCATCCCAACCTCCTCAACAGCAACAACCACAGCCTCAACAAACTCCTCAGGCTCAACAGTCTCAGCAGCCACCATCTTCCCAGCAGCCTCCTCATTCTCAGCAATCGCAGCAACCCCAGCCTCAACCACCCCAACCATCTCAACAGTCTCAGCCTCCTCAACAACCACCGCAGTCATCATTACCGCCTCCACCACCACCATCTCAGCAGCAACAGCAGCACCCACCACCCCAACACTCCCCTTCCCATATGTCAGGTTGTGCTCCACCATCTGGTGGACCATCCCAAGGCCCTCCGCCACCCCCTCCTCAAAGAAGTATGCAGCAGCAATCTGATTCAGGTTTGTTTATTTCATTTATGAATTCTTATTCATATTTCACATACATATTATTCAGTGTTGGTTAATTCAAACATTAGTTGAAACGGGATTGACTATCAATTCATATTTCTTCAGACTAGTTTAATGCCATCCTTGGTTGTTGCTGTCTATTCTTTTTAAGTATCTTTTCCATTTGTTCTGGCATTCTTTCATTTTTATTCTAGGTTCTCACTTTTATACTATTTTTTAAAATTTTGAAATTTGTGTAATTTGTACTCATAAAGTTGATGAAAACATTTTATCTGAGCTACTTCCACATTCCTGGTTTCCTGTGTGCCTATTATCCCCATATTTGAACCATATTTTAAATTTGCTTGTGATGCAATGTTATGAATTCTCATAATGGGTTCATTTCTCTTCCTTCTGAATTATTTCTTTATTATTGCATTGTTCGAATTATTTTTTTGTGTCTTTACTTCCTCATCGTTTGTTCTAATGCAATTGTGTTATGTAGGTATTTATAGGTTGCAAATTGTTCAGTAGTGTATTAATTTTCTATTAGTGAGACATTGATATTTCTTGTCACTAGTGAAATATTATTTTACCGTGAGAGTAATATTTTGAGAAGTATTTCATTTAAGAAAATTTGTTGTGTAGGTTCATCTACACCACCAGGCATGATGCAGCATCCTATGAGACCTCCTGGGCCTCCTGGTGGGCAGCCACCAACCCAGTCTCCAATGACGGCTCAGATGGCTCCTCCTACTGGCCCCGCCCCTCCTCAGCAGCAACAGCAGCAGCCGCCTCAGCCACCTTCAGGGCCTGTGCCAGGGCCCATCGGACCTCCAATGGGGCCCCAGGGTCCACCGCCCCCTCGGATGATGCAGCAACCTCCGCAGCCTCAGCCTGGCGGCCCTCCTGGGCCGTTGCCCACCCCTCCCCTCATGCCTCCTCAGCAGCAGCCTCCCCTGCAGCCACCTCTCCCCGGCTCTGGCCCCCCGGTAGCGATGCCCCCCGGGGGGGCATCTCCCATTCCCCAGCCACCTCCTGGAGTGCCTATTCCTCCTGCTGGTCAAATGCCACCTGGTATGCCGCATCCTGGCATGCCACCAGGGATGGGCCCTGGCCTTCGGCCTTCCATGCACAACTCTGGTGGGTTGATGCCACCTGCACCAAACCAACAGATGCCACAACCCCCACATCAGCCACAGCAGCAACAACCTTGCCCTCCGTCAGCACAGTCACAGAAGCAGAATCGTGTTACTTCTGTTGCTAGACCCATTGGCATTGACCCTTTGCTTGTTCTTCAGGAACGAGAAAATAGGTAAGAAGAGAGGAGATGCTTTTTGCAATCTTTTATATTTTATTGTACATGATTGATTAATTCTTTTAGGTTTTTTTTTTTAAATTGATGTTACAAAATTCTCATGTGTGACTTTTGTATATTTTAGAGTGGCAGCTCGTATTGCTCTTCGAATAGAAGAACTGACTAATTTGCCAACTACAATGCCTGAGGACCTAAGGATTAAAGCCCAGATAGAACTGAGAGCGTTACGGGTGCTTAATTTTCAAAGGCAACTTCGATGTGAGGTAGGGAGGGAAAATGAAAATTTATTTCCTTTTTTAGTTTTTAAGAAGAGTAATAATTGGCCATAAGTTAATTAATTCTAAAGAAATGTCATTGACTACACTGTTAGTAAAAAGTTTCCAGATTTTATTATATTTTGTTTCATCTGAATGAATATGATTGTGAAATATATCTTTACTTGGAGTTTATGAAATGTTAGCTTTGTTTTATGTAACTTTTGTTGTTAATGATTTTTATACTTGTAATTCCAGGTTCTTTCATGTACACGACGAGACACAACTTTAGAGACCGCTGTAAATGTGAAAGCTTACAAACGTACTAAAAGACAAGGCTTACGTGAAGCACGTGCTACAGAGAAACTGGAGAAACAACAGAAGTTGGAGGCAGAGAGAAAACGACGTCAAAAACATCAAGAATTCTTGGTTTCTGTTTTGCAACATGGAAAAGATTTCAAGGAGTATCATAGAAATAATCTTGCTAAAATTGCTCGTGTCAATAAAGCTGTACTCAATCATCATGCCAATGCTGAACGAGAACAAAAGAAAGAACAAGAACGAATTGAGAAAGAACGAATGCGTCGTCTTATGGCTGAGGATGAAGAAGGTTACAGGAAACTTATTGATCAGAAGAAAGACAAGAGATTGGCTTTCCTACTTTCACAGACAGATGAATATATTGGTAATTTGACTGAGATGGTGAAGCAACATAAGATAGAGCAAAAACGAAAGCAACAGGAAATGAAGCAAAAGAAGGTATGTTTACCAAATATGCAACAAAAAATATATATTTAGCCGATTACCTGGTGTTGCCCAAGGATTTATTTATTACAATCCGCTATGGAGGAGTCCCCCACACAGTGCCTGCTTTACCCCATTTGCCCCGGCCGTCCTGCATGCCTTTGTCCTACCCATCTAGTCCACGCCACATGCTCTGCCATGCCTTGGCCTGTGTCATTTGGTTACAATGAAATGTAGATAAAATGTTAGTTGCACCATTTCTTGTAACATTTTGTGGTGTAACCAAATTTGGAGTAACCGTTTGGGATCACAAACCTTGCTTTGTACCAGCTTCTAAAAAGTGACTCGTAAAATTTAAGAGCTCCAATGGTTCATAAGATTTTGTAGCACAAACACACAAACATACATGCATTTTTATATATTGAAAATTTCAGTTTTGAAGATATAAGGGTTTGCAAGTTCTTGTTGCAATTAGATAATTTTTATAATTAAAACCTTTCTAATTTTCTTCACATTATGAACCTTGTGTTCCTTGAACACTTCAATGAAAATGAGATGTTGCAATTTGAGTGATTGGTAATTTAATTAGGCATTGAATATCTGTTCCGCATTGTGATGTGTGTCACTCGAGTATGTCTTTTTTTAAAAATTTTTTATGGGGTATTTATTTGTAGAAGCGCAAGAAGAAGAAGAAGAAGCAGAATGCTGAAAATGGTGAAGGAGGAGAGGGAATGGAAACGCAAACTGATGAAACTTCTCAAGATGGTGACAAGAGGATTTCAGTAATTGAAATTGCTACAGGTATGATTTGAATTAGTGGAATTAATGCAAATTTTTTAGTGTTTCTGATTCTTCTGTAGTTTCTGGTAGTTGATACACTACTGTAGTCTTTTACAGTGAAGTTTCATTATATAGTACATCATAAAATCATTTTATTTATCCTTTACAGTGAAAAGAACTTTATACTGAAAAATTAATTTTAAATAAACTCGATCCAAACTTGTGTTGCAAATCCAAATTTTTGGATAATTTGAACAAAATTCAGTATGGAAATAAATAAAATGCGTATTTGTAGTGTAAAGAAAGGTTTTTCAGTTCTACAGAGTTTTATAATAACTGAACAACTAATTACTGCAACACAAGTTATCGAAAATGAAACGATTATTGCACTGGTAATTACAGTGTTTATTACATGTTTATGTAGCTGTAATTTTCACTTAGAGGAACTAGGAAAATCTGTAATCTTCTTTTGCTCTAAGGAACTGAATCTTTTTGGTGATGCGATTGCTATGGTACGTTGCCATTTTCTCACATCGCACACTATGTTGCATTGTCGGGTAATTCTATACATGTATTTGTATATGTACGGTAAATTTTTTTGGATAATCCAGACATTTCCAAATCTGAACAGACCACACCCACAATTAGTTCTGTTACCGGGGTTCTACTATAATTTATTTAAATAATTTGCCTAGTATTAAAAAATAACAACTAAAAAAAATTCACATCATTCATGAAAATATTCTCTGATGAAAGTTAGTTGTCTTTTTGAGGAAGTTGCTTTCCTCAAACTGTTCTACTTCAAATAATGATTGTAATGATAATTGTCCCTGGAACATATTTTTTTGATCGTACACTTAACTTTTGACCTTAGAAAATTGAAACCACCACAACACTTGTATTTGCATTCGGAGCGTTTGCTGTCATTAACAGGTCATGAAATCTGGAAGATCATAATATTTGAAATTGTTGTATATATGATGTAATTCATGATGCCTAATTTTCATGTTTTTCACAAGGGAATTTGTGTCAGTTTATTGCAGTATTTTGTTAATTTTACAGGCAAAACTCTGTCGGGAGAGGACGCACCAGTTGCTAGTCAGTTGCAAATCTGGTTGGATGCACATCCTGGATGGGAAGCTATGCCTCAAGATGAAGATGATGAAGATGATGATGATGAAGATGGATCAGAGGATGATTCCGATGATGACGAACAAGACTCACGTAAGTAATTGTGCTCTATTTATCATAAGGATAATGTCTTTTTCTTCTTTTTTCTTCTCCTTGATTAATCTAATCAAACTTGATGTGTGGCAAATTCGAAACAATGTTTTAATTTTTGAGGGTACTTCATATGAAGTACTTGGACAATTTCAAAAATTACTCAAATGCTTCAAATTTTAAAAAAGAATTAGCTTGAATTGAATATTTTGATTAAAACTTTTAACTTTTAAAAATTTAAACATATGTAATTTTTTGAACATCTTGTTTGGTAATATGAACAACACAGATTAATAATTTAATGCATTTATAGATACAGAGGCTTCAAACAATCTCTTAAAAAAATCTCTAAAGTTTATGAAGATATTTCCTCTCTTCTTTGTAGTACTAATAGTGCAGTTAATATGTCATTTTGTCTTGAGAAAGGTGAGGTAGGAGATTTTAGTTTTTTGTTTTGTATATATTGGTATTAGTAAGAAAATCCTAAGTTTTTCACATTAAAATACTTTGGGAAAAGTTGTTTTTTATAACTGGTAATCTTAGGGCAAATATAGTTATGTACAATGGCCATAAAATTCTCTACAAATTAGCTTGATAAATTATTTCTCTCAAGCAAACAGTTACAAAGCTACGAGATTTTAAAATTTCACCAAATTTTCCTTTTTATGTTAAAGTTGCCCAAAATTACTAATGTTCTCTCTAATGTATTTTAATGTATTTTTGAATTCATAACACATTCAATTTTGAGGGATACACCAGGTTGTTAACTTCTGTGTCCTGGGGAATATAGCTGTTACTCAAAATATTGTAAAACAAAAACTTATCATACACATCAGTTGGAAATTGATAAAATCTTGTAGTATTGTCTCTTTTCTTTAAGTCTGTATGTATATTATGTTCATTTGATTATAAGATGGTAGTGAGAATTGAATTCCAAGAAACACATGCTCTCAATTTTATATTTTTGCGTAAAGTAACAATGCTACAAAATATGGGGGAAACACAGTGAACTTCAGGAGTCAACAATACTGGTGTACTACAATTATATTTTGTTAAAGTTCCAATACTGTTCCATTTGCGTATCCATTTATTTCTGCCTTTATTTATAGAAATATACTGTGCTAAAAAAATGATGAAAAATAGTCTAGTTCAGTTGAGTCTTCATTTATGAGAAATTTTATTTCACTGGTTTTCTCAAACACTGGTTATTCAGATTGTTTATCACAACATCTGAAATTTCACAATATTCTAAAGGAAATGAAAACTCATGAATTGAGGAGGTTCACCGATAGAATCATTCACATCATTATTACTTTCCTCGATATAATTTTCAATGTTCGAAACTAAACAACAGTTCAGGAATAAAATCAACTTCATCAGAAGAATCCAGTTCTGATCCATTATTCAAAAATTCTTGAACTTCTAATGTTGAGAGTCATTGTGAATTTTATAACTATGTCTTATACACATTGGTTGCTAAGAGCACTAAGACTTCTTACAAAGAAAGACCTGAATGTAATCTACAGTGCCCGCAAGTAAATATCCAATCGCTTTCTGTAAAAATTTCAAATACTTGCACTTCCTCGATAGAGTATTGTTGTTAACAGATGTTTAGGCATATACAGAGGTCAAATTCACAGGGACTCTCAAAATTAAAAATTCAAGAGTTGTTGAATAATAGGTCGGAACTGTATTCTTCTGATGAGAATGACCATTTTCTTCCAGGACTGTTGACTAGTTTGAAATGATATTGAGAAGAGTCATAATGACGAATGATTCTATTGGCGAGTCTTCTCAAATTCATGAGTTCATCAATTTCAATACAATTCTAAAGGAGATGAACAATCTGAATTACCACTGACAAAACCAGTATAATTATATTTCCTATTAATAAAGACTCATAATACACAAACTAGACTACTTTTCATCAGTTGTTGACCGCAGTGTATCTCTAAAAATAAAGACAAAATTTAATAGAACTTCTGGGCTGCAACAAAATATCATAGTAATAGTGTACAAGTATTGTTGTTGAAAGATGTTCACTGCATTTCTCTCCATATTTTGTAACATTCCTACTTCCTGCAAAAATGAAAAATTGAAATCTTGTGTTGTTTTTTTTATTGCATTTTAATTATTATTTTATAATCAAATAACAATCAAATACATGAAATTCTAAGAGGAAAGACAATACTGCAAGATGTTATCAGTTTCAAACTAATATACATGTTTTGAATAATATTTAAATTGCTCAGAACACGGGGAGTTACCATATAGCATAACTCTCAGGATGAAATGTGTTAAAAGAAGTGTATGTGCAGTTTTTTGAGAAAACAAGAAGTTTTCGCGTAATTTCTGCATGAAATTAATGCAATTTATTTCATGCAGAAAAATTATTTATTTGCAAGAGACATTACTCAAAAATACTACAATTTTTTTCTTTAAATTGTTTTCTCTGCCTAGCAAAGAATGGCAAAGAAAATTGTGTGTCCCATTTTTTGTGAATACTATAAGTTCAAAAAGTTGCAAAAGTACGATATTAATGATAGATTTTTGCTAAGTAAAACCTGTTTTAAAAATCAATTCTTTAAAAACATCTTGTACATAAAAGAGAGTAGTTTAGCATAATTTGTGAATTTCCCACACTTCTTTGGCAGAGTATCACTTTGGAATGCAACAATGTGAATGCCATGACACAGAAGTTCTTAGAAGAACTTCTTGTTGCGTATCTGAGGGTAGGGCTAGGTAAATGAGTGTACGAAAAGGAGTTTGGAATTATTTGATTTTGTGTTGATGTCTTATCTTTAAATTAATTAAATTTTCTTATCAAATGAGCTATGATTGATGACCAGTTTTACAAGTAATGGTTGAGATATGTTAAAACCAGCAGAAAATGCGATATAATAATTTTACATAACCGTTGTTGATGTAGAAAAGTACTTGCTCTTGTAGCACTTCTAGTTAATTTACTGTGCCATGATTGTATTTCAGAAATGAATAAAACAGATGCAATGGATGAGGATAAGACTGAAGAAGACAAAGCTCGTGAGATGATAAAGAAGGCTAAAGTTGAAGATGATGAATATAAGACCTCAACAGAAGAACAGACTTATTATAGGTGAAGAAAATTAATGAATCATTTTATTACTTTTAATATAATTTTTAGAATGTATTTGTAATTTTTTGTTTGTTTTCTAGCATTGCTCATACAATAAATGAAATAGTGACAGAACAAGCAACTATTCTTGTAAATGGTAAACTGAAGGAATATCAAATAAAGGTAAATAATAATTAAAAAAGAAAATGTTCTTGCTAAAATTTTCTCATGTTTGTTTTTAAAAATAATTATATAATGTGATTTACTTTCAATAGGGCTTAGAATGGCTGGTGTCTTTGTACAACAATAATTTGAATGGTATTTTGGCTGATGAAATGGGTTTAGGAAAGACAATTCAAACTATTGCTTTGATTACTTACTTAATGGAAAAAAAGAAAGTGAATGGTCCATTTTTGATCATTGTTCCATTGTCGTAAGTATATTTGTATGATTGTTTTGTTGTTTGAATGTGTTAAAGTTGTTTGCTTGCACAGTATAATTTTTGGCTTGTTGTTTTGTTTTTTTAGAACATTGTCAAATTGGGTTCTTGAATTTGAGAAATGGGCTCCTTCGGTAGTTGTAGTGGCATACAAAGGGTCACCTGCCATGCGTCGACAGATTCAGAGTCAAATGCGTTCAACAAAATTTAATGTGTTGCTCACAACTTATGAATATGTTATTAAAGACAAAGGCATGTTGGCAAAGGTCAGTTTTTACACAAATAATTCCTTGTTGAATTGTTTGCTAAGATAAATTAAAATTTTTGTTATATTAATTAATGGCTTATTATATTTCAGCTTCATTGGAAGTACATGGTAATAGATGAAGGACATCGAATGAAAAATCATCATTGCAAACTTACCCAGGTTCTCAATTCCCACTACATTGCAACACATCGTTTGCTACTGACTGGCACTCCCTTACAAAACAAGCTGCCCGAATTGTGGGCATTGCTGAACTTCCTCTTGCCTTCTATTTTTAAATCTTGCAGCACATTTGAACAGTGGTTTAATGCCCCTTTTGCAACAACTGGAGAAAAGGTAAAAAATATACACAAATTTTCATGAACTATTTTTCATAATTTATACTGAGAAATGTGTTGTCCTTTGCTTGTGAGAAATCTTTTAGATTTAACAAAAATGAATTCTATAGTACATCCAAAGAAAGAGTTCAGTTTCTCGAGCAAGATTAACTACATATAATATGCTTTGGGCCACAGAATCTGTTTAATATTTAGTAAATAACTACATAAAATAATATCCGGTTTTTATGATTCCAGATCTTACAATTTTGTGTCGATTACTCCAATATATTACAGTCCCTTGAATATGTTTACAATTTAAAATTGCTTGCATCTTTAAACTTTTAAAATTAAAATTAATGTTTTTATTCATGTAATTTTGCTTTTCTCTGATTGCACATATGCAAAGAACATATGCTGTGCATTTTGTGTATTGGTACCCAACTAGCACAAAAAAAACTCAGTTTGTGACCAGTTGAATTTAGAATTACTCCTTATTTTCCAGTGAGAGCCCAAGGGTAGGTGTTATTGCTTTTAAAATTTTGAAAACAAAGAAAATAATTGTGTTACTTGTTGCCTACATTTTTAGATTCACATATTGTTGATATTACATTGATATGTGGCTAGATAAAAGAGCATTTCCTTTCCATTTTCTATTCTTACAATCTTGTTGAACTAATTGCAGGTTAGTAAAGCAATTGTAAATTGAAAATATACCATATTTTATTACACAAACAAAACCAATTTCCCTCCATTAATACTTTCCTATAATTTAACAATGTTTTCTTGGTCTATTGACAAGTGTAAAAGAAGGATTGTATTGTAAATGATCTTATTTCCTCTAGGAAGTTGTGGAGTCCTGTGATTTCGTCTTATTTTCTAATTGAAGTTTTTTGCTTCTTTTGGTATTGGTTCATTAAAAACAAATATTTAGATGGAAATATAATTTGTTATACTTTTTTAATCTTACAAACAATCACATTGTTAAATTAAAATTGCAAATTTGAGTTCTTCATTCAAACAATACTATTTTATGAGGGATCATGATATTAAGATGAAGTGAATATACAATTATTTATTGCTTAAATAAGGCATTTAGATGTGAGTTCCTTATAATTACACAAAACCCCAATCTATGCATGACAAGACATATCTGCACACAACAAATTATTGCAACTTGTGGCAATCTGGCTACTGTTGTAACTGTTCAGAAAGGTTGGTGACTGGTCAAGTGATTTATGAGGTTCAACATGGAGTTTTTATGTACCCAAGCTAGCTCAGTGTCGCTCAGAAGTTCGCTTGCCCCTCACCCCTTCCCTTTTTCCCACACTGAGAGATCTCTGTTTGATGCATACAATTCTTTCCTTTTAATTTATGCAACTAGTTTTTAAAGTCGCCTATGAAGAACTTTTTATTTTGATAATCAGCAAGTGAATGTTTCATTCAATTAAGAAAATATATATATTTCTTGTCAATTTTTCTTAGGTTGAACTTAATGAGGAAGAAACTATTCTGATTATTCGTCGGTTGCATAAAGTCCTCCGGCCGTTTTTACTGCGGCGACTGAAAAAAGAAGTGGAATCTCAATTACCAGATAAAGTGGAATACATTGTCAAATGTGATATGTCTGGTTTACAACGAGTTCTTTACAGGTAATGCTTACTAGACCACAATAAAACAGATCACAGATCTCTAAACCACACTTGGCAGAACTCTTTCAAGATACAGTTGAATCAAAAAAATATTTTTTTAAATTTAATTAATTTTATTTATTTATTTGTAAACTCGCATCCAAATAAATTATTTATATATTTTGGATGTATATTTACTCAATATTGTAAGGTTGTGAGAGGTAAAAGATTAAAATATGAATGATACTATATTTTATTATATCTCATATGTTCAAATTTTAATAATACAGTAAAACTTCACTTATGTTTTTCAGGGGACTGAAGGGAAAAAATGTATAAGTGAGAAAAACGCATAACGTAATATGAGCAAAGTAAAAACTATTTTTTGCACTCTTTTTACCAGTTTTTCCAGTTTTTTAGAAATATCTACCCCTTTTTTATTGCCACTCTCCCTAACAACTTTTCAAATTTTTATTTTGTTTGATATTGAAAAGAGTTGTCTTTTCCTACCACTCTTTCACTTTCAAGTGGATACGCAATGGGGACCTTGTGATGTCCTTGTGTGTCAGTTTCACTGAAGGAAAAAAAAAAGGGGGGGGGCTGTGTCCTGCATAGGCTACAACTGGTATTGGTGACCCATTACTGGTTTCAAGCTCGATGTAACTTGACATTTCGCGGGTCAAAGTACGGTGTTGAACATGGGCAATAGGAAGCACATGACTGCCACAGCCCCACAGCCTGGCAACACCTGCCGCGCCGCACGGAAAAGCAATCAGTTTTACTGATAGCTGCTTTGGCTATGCCACTACCGAAGGGATCTTGTATGCTATTATGATGAGCAAAAGGGTCTTTGGAGATTGGGACTGTTAGTGCACAAACTTTCTCACTTCTTGGTTATCTATGGCGTTACTCTCCCGGAGACGCATTTGACCTTCCTTCAGAGCTAGCCGTTGCCTCCTGAGATCCTTGGAGACCCTCCCCCCCCTCCCCTGCACTCTGCTCTGAGATTTTTTAAAGTTACGCTGCTGGAGGTGGCCCGCTACACAACTTTGCACTACCACCCTGCGGGCTCACATGCTCATGGCCCCTTGGCTAGGCTGAATTGGACTTCTGTGTTCCAGTTTCATTAATAGGAAATCACCTCGGAGGATGAGCAACACGTCACTCCAGTGTGCGCTCTAGAGCATTCTGACTTGAGGAACATACAAGTTCCAGGATCTTGGCACAGGCCGCCTTGCGCCTTGTCAAGATCATTTGAACATTATATGGTCTTAAAGGGACTTTTATTATGAACGTATAAGTGTAAAAATGTATTAACGTAAAACGCATAACAAATAATTTAGCATGGGAGTTATATGAATTTATTCTGGACGTATTAAAAGAATGTATTAATGTCAAAAACAAATTAGAGTGAAATGTATAAAGAGAGTTTCACTGTACATACATCACAACCTTATAATATTCAGTAAACTTCAAATCTAATACACGGTAAGGTTGTTAGTTTGCCAGTGAGTTCATCCTACAAAGTAGGTGTGTGCCCTTATATGTATGTTAACATGCACATTAGCAAGAAAATGGTTGCAGATCTTCTGGTTGACTGCACTGGAACTTCAAATTTTTATTGATTGAATGAAAGTGGCAGTAAAACTTTCTGTTACAAACTTTATACAAAAAATATCAAATCACCGAATTTCCTTTGTGTTGGGATTTTGAGGGCTGTTGCTATAGCATAATTATGGTTAATGAATGGATCCCCAAATGAATTGCTTCAATCAGAATGTTGAAGAGAACATGAAAAATTGATCTTACATGCTTTAAATATAGAAATTTCAATGTATTGATAGAGTTAATATTGATTACTGTATGTATAATGAATTCTTACATCTGGTTATCTTTGTAGAGTAATTTGTGATTTGAATATGACATTTTTGAATCAAATGCCTAGATCAGAAATGATTTAACACATTCTATAACAGTTGACCTTAAGATGTAGTTCAGGCAATCTTAAAATGTAGCTCAAGAAAAAGAAAAAAAGCTTTTGACCTAGAAAAGGTGATACTTATACATTTATTAAGATTCAAAGTCAGGTAATTTTGATCACACCATTTGGCAAACTTTATGTGCTTTTGCAATACTATAATGTCACACTAATCTGTTATAACCGTAAACAGTTTAAAGTCATCAGCAAATAGTTGGGTCTAATCATCTAATAATTGGGTATTCATTGTAAAAGCTTGTCTGTTATCCCAAGTTATTGTAATATACTCCCTAGTAGAAAGTGATTGCATCAAGAGCTTTACTAAAGTATGTATATGTGTGTGTGTGTGTGTGTGTATATATATATATATATATATATATATATATGTGAATCCAATACAAAAACTGTGTGTCAAATACAAATATGACAAAACTTTAAATTATTGCCCTGACTATTATAAAGGACTGCTTTACTTATATTCCTATTTTATTTATTTTGTATTATTATATTTTAAAATACTTGTGTGTTTGCAGGCATATGCAGAGCAAAGGTGTTCTACTGACAGATGGCTCTGAGAAGGGAAAACAAGGAAAAGGAGGAGCGAAGGCCCTTATGAATACAATTGTGCAACTTCGAAAGTTGTGCAATCATCCATTCATGTTTCAGAACATAGAAGAGAAGTATTGTGATCACATAGGTAGTCAGAGTGGAGTAGTTACTGGGTAAGATTGTATTTTCTTTAGATTTGTTGTTTTAAGTTTTTCTCTTGTCATGTGCCTGTATATTTCTCTTATATATTTTTTCTTGTATTCATTATGAATCAAATTAATTGTGTGATTTCTGTTCACAGCCCTGACTTGTATCGTGCGTCAGGAAAATTTGAGCTCTTGGATCGTATCTTGCCGAAACTGAAAGCAACAAATCATCGTGTACTGCTCTTTTGTCAAATGACCCAATTAATGACTATTATGGAGGACTATTTAAGTTGGCGTGGTTTCATGTACCTCCGCTTAGATGGTACCACTAAAGCAGAAGACAGAGGAGATTTATTGAAGAAATTTAATAGTCCAGACTCTGAGTATTTTCTTTTTCTTTTGAGTACACGTGCTGGGGGATTAGGTCTCAATCTGCAAGCAGCTGATACGGTCATCATTTTTGATTCAGATTGGAACCCACATCAAGTAAGTTTTTGATTCTAGGAACATTACTATAATTACCCGAATATAAGACCATTATCTGATTTTCAAGATGTCTCCTGAGAACTTTTTAAATTTTTAACTAGTTTGTACTACTTAGTCACCCTAAAATTGCAAATTATCTATTTGTCAAGAAAATTGTCTTAAAAACGTTGAAAAATTTTGATGGAGCTCTCACTATTATCTTGTTTCGTAAGGCCATCATCACAGTCATTTGTGTCTATACCATGAACGTCACATGTATCATTGTTTGTGTGGTCCTCCTTCCATGACATTTCCCTCTGGTATTTAAGCCCCTTCCACACAAGCACATACACCCCCCCCACACACACACACACACACACGCACAGTGCATAGAGCACGTATCTGAAAATTTTGTGCTTTGAATTTATGTTTTTAGTCTTTCATTAAATGCCACCGAAGAACATTCCCTTCCGAGTGTTGTTGGTTTTCCTCCTGCTCTGCATATTCATGATCTCTTAATTCTTTTACAACTATTGACTTTAAATTGCCTTGTTTAAAGTCTCATGATCCAGATGTTAAATGCAAACCAGAACCTCTGATCCAGAAGTGGTGTGGGAAAAAGCAAAATTACGAGTGTTTGGGAGTTTTCATCTTTTGCAAAACATAGATTCACGCTTGCTGGATGTCAGTGCAGTGCAGCTGGGTTTCTTGAACGGAAAGTCTGTGTGGCCTTGTTCAACATCATATAACAAAGTCTTGACAATGCTTTATTTTAATTTTGTTTTTCTTACTACAATGCCTTTTGTTTGAGATTCTCTCTATTGACCCATTAAAAAATATTGGTCAGAATCTCCTGGCAAATCTGTGGTAATTGCCAAAACAATGTCCACAAATATAATTTGAAAGTTCAGACACACATGATATTTATGACGTTTGCGACTTTTTATGTCAGCATCAGTTTCTTCCCAAGGAGAGGCAGTGTAAAAACAAATCCTTACTGACTAGGCTTAATTTGCGAATATAAGATGAACCCTCTATTTTCAAATGAGATATGTAGGAGAAACCATGTCTTATATTTGGATAAATACAATAAAATGCAGATGTACTTTATATTGGGAAGATCACCTCTGCATATCTAATTTAATTTCACTATGTAGGACTTGCAAGCCCAAGACAGAGCTCATCGAATTGGTCAGCAAAATGAAGTCCGTGTTTTACGTCTCATGACAGTTAATTCAGTAGAAGAAAGAATTCTTGCTGCAGCTCGCTACAAGCTTAACATGGATGAAAAAGTTATTCAAGCTGGAATGTTTGACCAAAAGTCAACTGGTTCGGAACGACAACAATTTCTTCAGAGTATACTCCATCAGGATGAAGCTGAGGAAGAGGTAATCAGATTTGTGTGTGCATGTATGTAGGGGAGTTACAGGTTTTCAGGAGTGCATGTGCATTCAAGTGTGAATGGAATCGTTTATTTCCTTCTTGTTTTACTGTTTTACCTTCAAACACTAGCATGGAGAAACGTGCAAGTAAATGTAGTTGGTTTTTCAGGAAGAAAATGAAGTTCCTGATGATGAATCAATAAATCATATGATCGCTCGCAATGCAGATGAACTGGCATTATTTCATCGAATGGACTTGGAGCGCAGACGAGAAGAAGCAAAATTGGGACCTAATCGTAAACCTCGCCTAATGGAGGATTCAGAACTTCCTGATTGGCTTGTAAAAGATGATGATGAGGTAAAGGATGTGAAAAATATTTCTTTGTAACACTGTATGATCATTATTCTTAACTCTTTAAATTCTTAATTCTTCAGCCATGTTTTACTAGTTAACAGCTCCATTATTTAAATCTCACCCATCACTGCAGCAGGCTTGAAATGTAATGGTTTCTAAGTTGTGGAACACTAAATAATTTTGGTGGGGAAATAAAGAAAACCCATCACCACACTTCTAACCAGTTAATATTCTAGTATCTAACAAACCGAAATGCCACAACTCCAAAAATGACACACGTTTTCTTTGTTTGCACACAGTATTCTCTGTTAGATGTGAAGTTGGGTATTGAAGCAAGGTTTATGATTGGTTTTGTTGGCTCTATAATCCCTGAGGTGACAGTAATAAGACAAGGAATATATCTATTTGCTTTATATCAACATAACTTTAACCAATTATTAGTTCAATAAGCTTTTTAAGAAACAGAAATTAATACACTGTCATGCCCCCCTGTCAAACATCAGCCAACTTCAGGACTCAGAAGAAAGGGGGGGGGGGGGAGAAAGAAAATTTAGCACCAAATCTCGGAAAATGTATATTATTGTATCTTGAGAAAATTTTGCCATGTTTCAGCCTTCAATTTTCAGTTCCACTATTAGTTCAATTGATTTTAATTCTAGGTGGAACGCTGGACTTTTGAAGAGGAAGAAGATGATAGGTTCCTAGGTCGTGGGACCCGTCAAAGGAAAGAAGTGGACTATTCAGATAGTCTTACAGAAAAGGAATGGCTGAAGGTAAGAGCTACAAGCAGAAGCCCCTTATCTCACGTTTAATGCTATATCTCGGCAGACTTTTGATTTTTTTATTAAAAAAAGTAATGTAATAACCTCTATTCTTTAGACATTGTTCTATGATATACAGTATTTTATTATCATATTTTTCATACTTAAGATCTATCTAAGGAACTATTTTCACTAAATATTGTACTTTTGCTAATTTTTTTGACTAGGAATCCATTGAAAACAGTCATTTTATTACTAAATCAAGCATTCACCCAGAGAAAACAAAACAAAAGAAAAAAACTTTCATTGTTTTGAATTATTCTTTAAACCCGCAATAAGTATTGAAAGATGAAACGTATGGTGTAGGGTTAGGGAATGTTCTAATTATAAAAGTCCTAAGAGAAGAAACCGTAACTCTTTATCCAACTAGTGATGCTTTCAGCAAGTACTGCCTTGCCGTAAAATTACAATACTACATTTTCTGTCCATTTTAACACATTCTGAGAATTTCAAACTACCACAATATGGCATTCCTATTGTTGTATTGCAACAAAAGACTCTTCATCATTATCAGCATGGATTAAGCTAATTTGTGCTCCAGCCAAGTTGTGTAGAGAAGACCATCTCTAATTTGGAGTTCCTACTTCCCTTTTTACTTTCTTGTATATGTTCGTATGTAGAGTAATATATGTAGTATAGATAATGTTATGTAATGCTGCAGCCAAAACACTCAAATTTTGAAAAACTTGTATTGTATGTCTCTGATACTGAAAAAGTGGATAATCCTGTTCTAATATATTGTAGATTACTCGCTCTAACACGTTATGTAGAGATATTTTCACAAATCTCTTCTTTCTGAAAGAGTGTTTTCATTCAAAACGTCCGCCCCTCATCCCTCTCTCTAGTCTCTGTGAACACCACTAGCACTTAAATCATGCAGAGGATTTTTTCCAAACTGGATTCCTATTCCCCGGTCGATCTCACTCAACTCGGTCTTTAATTTTAAAAAACCTTTTTTAAAATTTGGGGGTACTTTACATGATGCTCAAAATTTTTTCTTTAAATTTCTTGTAAGAATAGAGTGAAATATACATGGAAAGGGTGTATAGGTCCAATTTTCACCGTTTACTATAGATTTTCAAAAATTGCAAAAGATTGAAATTTTTTTTGGCATCTTCCTATTACTACAAAATTGAAGACTGAGATTTTTTCATCAAATGAAGTTAGTTCTTTCATTAATGTAATGTACTTTTCTTGAAAATTTATATATTATTAAATGAACAACATGATTTTAAGAAGAAAAGATCGACAACTACCAATCTATTGAAATTACAAAATTATATTTTTAAAATTTTAATCAAATTCACAAACTGACATTTTATATACAGATTTTGCAAAAGCCTTTGATACCATAAACCACTAAATTTTATTAAAGAAACTTGAATGTGTTGGAATTCATGGATTATTGTTGAAATGGATGAGAAGTTATCTGATTGGTAGAATTCAAAATGTGAAATATAAAGCTTTATGTCAAATGATATTGTAACATCATCAGGAGTTCCTCAAAGCTCACATTTGGGACTATTATTATTTTTACTATTTATAAATAATATTAAATTGGCTCTTCCATCTTGTTCTTTCTTACTTTTTGCAGACATTTTAAAATTATTTTCAGAAATAAAATCATGACACAATTGTAAAATTCGTCAAGAAAACTTAAGTGTGTTACTTCGATGGTGTAAAAATAATAAACTTGTCTTGTATATTCAAAAATGTTAAATAATGAGATATACAATGTCTAGCTGTCCAATTATATCATCTTATTCGATAAATGACCAAGAATAAGAAACTCTCATGAAAATGAAAAATCTGGGTCTGATTTTTTACCAAAACCTAAAATTCAATGAAATTATAGATTTCATTGTTGCAAAAGCATATAGAATGCATGGTTTTCTCAGAATGACGACTACACATTTTTCAAAAACTAGTACCATTAAAACATTATATTATAAATAAATAAATAAGACCAAGTTTTCTATATGCCTTGCCTGTATGGTGTCCTTTATATGGTGATCATTACAATAAATTAGAAACAGTACAATATAAATATTTTTAATTTGTAGCTTGGAAACTTCAATTACCATCACCTAGCGTATCTCATGATTATAGTCAAATCACTATGGTGTTTAATATTAGTAAATTAAAGTCATATAGGAATTATGATACCTTATTTTTATATGTTTATTGAAAAACAATATTGATTGTCCTGATCTTCTATTGAAACTTTAACACATGAATAGAATATAAACAGAAGATAAACATCCAAACAAAATTAGATTATGCATACAGATTTAATTGAAGACTGGCTATTTGCTTCTCTTACAAATTTTGGAGTAATTGGTTCCCATATATTGATATGGTTATTGTTTGCCAATTTACACATTCGAGTCAGTGGATTGTTAAGAGAATAAGCAGAAGTATACAAAAGCAGTGAAAACGTATCATTTCTTCTTGTTGTGGAAATTCAAAGTTATTTTTACCAAAGTAGAAGATCAATCATTGTTAATTAATTTGTTTAGATAAATCACATCATTATATCCCCTCAATGAGAAGAGTGAAGGGATATGTAGGGAAGTTGATATTGCATGATAGTCATTATCACATTAAATGGATCTGGTAAATTAAGGAAAATTGCTGCAATTAAAAAAAAAAAAAGCTTATGTTCTACTGTTTCTAATTTATGGGTTTAAACTTGAAAAAATTGGCACCAGGCTACTGATGAATACATAAAAATGGGGTTAACGATAATTATATATACAGTTTTCAAAAGTATGAATATTATTGAAGTCCTTACACGTTCTCCTAATATACCAAAGCTGATGGTGTGCTTTGTTAATAATATAACAATGTGATGCACAAAAGACATCTTGGAATCAAAAATAACAGTTACTTAAATCATGAATAACAGTTAATTTTTCTAATAAAAAAAAATTGAGTACACAAGTAAGAAAGGAACTTAGAAGCACAAGAAAGTGATAAATTTAAATTTGCCAGGGTTTAAAAGGAGAACATGGTATTCAGACCATTTAACTAAACTATTGAGAGCAAGCAGTAAAGGACTGTTCATAAATTACATAATGTGAATTTGGAGCATTTTGAATACCCACTTTCCCCCTTGTAACGGACCCATAATGCGTAATAAAACCCCTCTAAATAATTAAATAATGCCCGCAAAAGCAAATCCCCCCCCCCCTGCAATGTAGATGCAAGAACTAGAAATAAATAATAGCTCAGTCAGTAAAACATTGTATTCATTATATTTGTGTTGTGTATTAAAATTTATGATATTTAAAGTTGGAATTTGTCATCGATGCTGACTGCACCTAACAATAAGATTGGGGGCAAATTTTGAGTGAAGGAAGGTCGCACTGGTGAGAAAATATTTCTGATCACATGCTGTTTACATGCCTCTTGTGTATGGTTCATGGGAGAGAGTATACTACACCAACTTAATTATATTCTACAAAATACTACAATCGGTTCTGAATATTTTCTTCTTAATCTTATTGATTCAATACAAAATTGAGGAAAATCCCTCAGAGATATTATCATATTTCACAACTGAAGTTCTATTAGTAAGGTAATTAGAGATCTATTTTAATAAGGGACTAGAAAAGCAGAAAGCTTTCAAGTTTTGTGAAAGTAAAGAATGATTCACTGAGTCAAGTGTTTTTCATATGAGTTTCTAAAATCTGTGCAAATACAGTCAACCTTTTATTTATTTTCTATGCTATTTAGGATCCATTGAGTGTAATAAATAAGATTGGATTCAATGTTCTTTTTATTCAATTGGAAGAAAACTACAATGAATTCTGGGAGATGTCTCAAAATTTACTGTCCAATCATTCACCAAATATAAGAAAAAAAGTTTTGACAAATCATGGATCAAACACAAAATCAGAATCAAATGCCAAAAATGGTACAAGTATAGAAGGACTAGAACAGAAGTACATTATAAATAATACAGAATAATCTCCAACAGGTTCACATCAAACATACAAACAAAAAGAGAAGAATATGAATAGCAAGTTGTGAAGAGTGGAGCTAAAAGATTTTACTCTTATATTCAGAAACAGACTGCTTGTAAACCAGGTCCTCCTAGGACCATCCTAAGTAAAGGACTCGCAATATCTGACCCCCTGGAAATTGCAGAACTTTTTGCAAACTGCTTTAAAGAGGTATACACAGTAGAACCTTCAGACTATTTACCAAACACTAGAACAAAATACACTGAAGCAATGGACAATACTGAATTCACAAACTTGAAACAGCTTAAATTATTTTGGGACTGAATATTAGTTTGCTGGGTTGTCCCGATAGAATTCTGACAATATATTTGAAAAACTGTGCAACCCAACTTCCCCCAATGCTTTGTAATAACATTTTCAAACAGTCGTTATGGTGCAACAAAACTACCTTCCACACGGAAAGTGGCTGAAGTTACGCTTATCATCAAAAAAGGTGGTAAACAACTGGTAGAGAATTACAGACCAATAACTTGACTAGCTATGTGAGAAAAGTAATGGAAAGAATAATAGTTCAGAGACTCCGAGACCACGTGTGGAGGAAAAATCTGATATCCATAGAACAACACGGATTTGTCCCTAGATCAACTATTACTAATTTGATTAGCTCACACAATGCATAGACAAAGGCATTGGGCTGAGGACTACCCATAGCCTATGCGAAAGCATTCGACAAAGTTGCCCAAAAGCGACTAATTCACAAATTATAATTGATGGGAGGTCAGTCAAACTACTAATATGGATTCGAGAATTCCTCTCCAACAGAACATTTGAAGTGTGCTTTAGAGAAGAGCTTTCCACATCTCAAACTGTTACAAGTGGAGTAACTCAAAGAGAACCTTAGGACCAATGCTGTTCATCTTATAAACATGTGATCTGGATAATGGAATTATTGCAGGATGGACTTGCTATGCAGATGAATCCAATCTGTTTGCGTACCCAGTGACATATCATCGTACTTTACAGAATGATATTACAACAATGTAAAACTGGTTGAAAACATGCCTACTCCCGCTGAACATTGAGAAATGCAAGTCCTCCACATCGGCAAGAAATCCCTCTGCATATCCTACACCATTACAAATCAAACCGTGGGCACCACAACACAACAAAGAAATGAAAGAGACAATGTTTAGAAAAAGTACAGAAGCGAGTCAGTTGGATTATGTGAGAAAATCACCACAATTATTACCAATAGAGGTGCTAAGAGATGGCAATTCTGACACTGAAACAGAGGAGGAACACAAACAACATAATAGAGACGTAACATTCTCAATGGCGTCTATAATGTTCCATGGCACAATGTCTTCACAAGATCTACAGACACCAGATTGAGAGGACACGTGATGAAACTGAGGAAAGAAACAAGGGGGAAAAAAAATCACACTTCATCATCAATGCTTGGAAAAACTACCAAGACTCTGCATTGATAAAGCTACCTTCAATGCATTCAAAAACACTTTGAACTAACTTAAGTTTGAAAATAATCCGTGACACAATTAATAATGTGATAACTGGGAGGCGGGTTTTAATGAAATGTCCTTTTTATTTATTTATTTATTTTTCCACTTTAGAAAAATGCTGTTTAGTGTAGAAATTCATTTTATGTTATGACAAAAGGAAATGACCCATTTGTATATGTAATTTTTGTGCATTTTTCATCATGTTTAATATTAAACTGTGGAGCCATTTTTGAGGAAATTTAAAAAATATTGAGGCTTCAGGTAAAATGCTCCCAAAAATAAAAATATCCATTTCAAACTTGCAGGGTCTCATGTTTGTTCAGGTTGATAATGAACATCAAATTGGGAGAAAAACAATGGACAGTTTAGGTGCTAGCATTGACCACAGACAGACGGACGGACGGACATTTTGCCATCAAACAATTTTTTGATAAGATTAAGAATAAGAGTTTTCCTGTTGAAAAATTGCCATTTTTACTGCAGCATTACAATACTTTCTCTATACTGCATGAGCAGTATGCATGAAAGTAAAAGAAAGGGGAAAAACTAATCTGGTTTCCATTGTTGATTCTCACATTGGTATGTGATTGTTAACAATATCATCTGTGTAATGAGAGTGTGTTCAGAGAATAGTGATTTCCTTTTTAACATTTTTTTCTATGAAAACATTTATAACTATTCTTGTCATTTGTTTAGGCCATTGATGATGGTGCTGAAGATTTTGAAGAAGATGAAGAGGAGGAGGAAGAAGACGAGAAGAAACTCAGGAAAAAGACACGCAAGAGACGCAAGAAAAATGATGATGATGATGAAGAGGAGGGTAGCCAATCAAAGAAACGCAAGGGGGCAAATGCAACAAGTGTTGATCCACGCTTAAAAAGACAAATGAGGAAGCTTATGAATATTGTAATAAAGTATACTGACAGGTACTAGTAGCTCCTCTAACATTTGCAATGCTTTAATAATCTTGTCAAATTTTCCCTTCTCGAATATGTACACTGGAATGCCCATGTGCTTTTGTCAGATGTACATTCTTCAAAATGCACCAGTCTTATGCTTGGCTAATTTCCATAAAGATTAGTGATCTTAAGCAGGCATGTGAATGTACTCGAGGTCTATTTTAACAAATTTGCTATCATTCCAAATACATCATGAAATAAATTACAGTAAGACTTCATTTATGTTTTCATGGGTAGTGAAGGGAGAAAATGTTCAAGTGAGAAAAACGTTTACTGAAAATGAAAATTTAGGTGCGAAAATAAAAACTCAATATTTTGACAATGGTATTATATTAGAAAATAATATGCATATAATATTCCCCAAGCATGACATTTTCAATGAAAAAAGTTCAAACTTTTAACTAAAAAGTTTTAAAACGAGTCTTATATTAGACCCTTTGCTTTCCTTGCACCTCAAGTATATGATCCATAGTCACCTAAATTTCTTGATACATTTCTTGATTTTGTACAAATATGTCACGTGTTTACTGTGGAATCTTGAAAAATATTTTACTAAGCCATACCAGGCAGCACATAATTAATTTGCAAAGCCACACCGGGCGACATACAAACATTTCGCAAAACCTTAGGGGCACTAGTGTCATTAACCTTACACCCTGTGGTTTTCAGTCTCCACAGTTCCTATCAGTTTCCAATGGAAGGCTGACAGGCCTTGCCTACCGACAAAACAAAACGACCTGAACACTGAGCCAAACAGATTCCATGGGCTTCTCTAGGATGATGTAGTTGTACTCGCTTATTGGTCATCTATATTGGTATATAATTACGATTTATTATGGTTGTAAAAAGCATAACTGAAATAATTTAATAGGAAGTACAGGAATTCAGCTGAGACTTGTAAACAATAATGCATAAATGTAAAAAATCACAAATGGAGTTTTACTGTATCAGGTTTAGGATTTTGTAATGTGCTGCTTATGCAATTAATTGCAACATCCCATTATTAGAGATAGCAAAAAATATTTACATGATCAGGGACATGGTAGCAAAATTGATACCAGACTGTACTGAGCAGTATGTAATTAGTTCTGATCTCTGTGGAGATGTTACAGCAATGTATTTTTGAAAGATGTAGTGATGAAAATAATATTAATTTATGCATAAAGATTTTTCTGGCTTATAACAGTTTTGCATTTACTTGCCTGCTTGAGGGAAAACCCTATTGGTGCAAAGCTCAGACTCTGTTAAAATTACTAAAACGTTTCTACAGCACAATGGGTATAAGTTTAGAATCCTCTCTGTTCTTTGCCCCAGCCTAAGTCTCTTGCATTTATCTTTCAGCTCCTTGCTCCAGGGATTTCATTGCATTTTTGCATTGTGGTACTGTCTTTTCAGTACTTCCTTGGCTTACCCAATGGTCTTTTCTTGTAGATGTTCTGCTGTAGAATCAATGTTAACATTCAGTAATCATTCAGTCAAAGTACATGTACAGTCCATTGCAGTGTTAGTGTTTTGAACTTTGCAGTGTCAAACAGTTAGTAAAATTCTTTATTGTATCATCCACAATCAGTTTTCAAATAAAGGGAAAATATGTTTTCCTTGTTTTTCCTCTCATTGGTTTTTAGAGCATTTAAAAAGTGTTAAGAATTTGAGTTATGAATCTTTTTAGATGATGGATGAAGATTATCAAAGTATGAAGATTACCTTTATTTTCATTTTTAATGCAAATATTTAATGTCCAATCAATAGGAAAACACAATAAAACAAAAACTAATGCAATACTATTGACTAGCTTTTGACCAACATCAAATATTTACTTCAAACAAAAAAAATCAACAATTATGTCATGTATTCTAGTTAAATTCAAGAATTGTGGATTTGTATTTCATAAGCACTTCATTTGTATTGAAGTCATATATATCAATTTTGTGGTCATTTACGAAATTGCACATTCTTGTAGGATTAATCACAGTACATAAAGATGCATGGGTTCTATTTACAATACAAATTTAACAATTTCACTATATGAATTGGATTATTTGTACAGGTGTGCCAACAATTATGACTATGAATGGATGTGTCATTGACCATTTCTCATCTCCTGTTGTCTCTAATATTAACTTGATACATTTTTGGGTATGTTTGTCAAGTACAAATTCCAGAATGAATTTTCCATCAAATCAAGTGATAATTGCTAAAACGGTAGCCATCCGAAGAGGTGATTCAATTGTAGTTCACTCATAGTTCACCTACCTATTTCTAGTGATGGGAGAGTGCTGAGTGATCCGTTTATGAAACTTCCATCGCGTCGTGAACTGCCAGATTACTATGAAATCATAAAGAAACCTTTGGACATTAAAAAGATACTTCAGAGGATAGATGAAAATAAGGTAATTTCCAAGACATTTTATTTTGGTTTGTTTATATTGATAGGTTGTATTCCAGTACTCAACAGTTCACAAAATTGTTTTCTCTTCATTGAAATGTTGTTGTAGTTCCCTGATTTTGATGATCTTGAAAGAGATTTTATGCAACTTTGTAAAAATGCTCAAACATACAATGAAGAAGCATCTTTAATTCATGAAGATTCCATTGTTCTTCAGTCAGTATTTACTAATGCTCGGCAGCGTTTAGAACAAGAAGGAGAAGATGACACAGTTGTTGATGAGGATGAGAAATCTAAAGGTACTGATCAGAGTAAAATAATAGTTTGTTATATTTCATGATTTCTAATCTTTATATTAAATAGAAGACTTGTTGTAGGTGAAGGTGTAGAGGAAGAAGTGACTTCTGATGGAGATTCTGCTGTTAAAATGAAAATAAAAATAAAATCAGCAGGAAGAAACAAAGGTGAACCACGAGTTTCAAGGAGTCGTAAACGCAATTCTCGTAAATATATCAGTGATGAGGAGGACGAGGAAGAACCCTTGCAACCTAATTAACTATGTCTCTTCAAATTGTTGGACAATGTAGATCTGGTATGCTGTGTTTTTCTTTTCTATGGGTTTATAAATATGGTTCAGTAAAATATACTCGAGGAACTACAATATATAGTGACTATACTACATCTCAAAACAATTTTGTTCTGTGCATGTTAGATCTTGATGTAAATGTTTTCATCCTTTTAATTTAGTGAATCTTCTTAAGTAGAATATACGATTTTGATTTAAAAATCATTTAAATGTGTATAAGACAAATTGTTACATTTCTGCTTCAAGATTCTGTGTGTATAAATATTTTCTCATGATGTCTTATTGGTCCCCCAATTGTAAATTATTTATGCCAAGATATTTTTTGTGTACGCTTGCACGCTAGAATTTTTTAAATGTTGATTCAAAAATTGTGAAACCTACATTTTTCAGTTCACATATTTCTGTAATTTTTTTAAATTATTGTGCAGGTGCACAGTTATTGTTTGTGTACCTTTAAAACTCAAGAGAAGCATTAGCGTTTCTGATGTATTTAAAGTTAGGACACCTGTGTAGTGAAATGTTAAAAGATTATTTTCAGTTTACTTTTCAGTTATTTTTATAGAAGATAAGCCCCTTTGGTGTAATCAGTACATTATCACTGTATCAACTTGAAATATCTGGTTTTAACTTGTATTTAATAATGGATGGTTGTTTTTAGAAAATCAATGTTGTGACACATTTTGGCTTGTCATTCAATTTTTGGGAAGTGATAAGAATTTAAAAAGGAGCATCAGTTGTACTTACCTTCTGTTTATCACTATGGAAGGATAATCCAATAGCAAAATTGTTAGGTTTGGTGTAAGAATTAAGAAATTATAGCTGTGTGATTCAAGAAATGATCAGAAATATTTTGGGTTTATTTTAAGTATTTTTGAACTGAACACCCTTTAATTGACCTACATATGATCATCGTATCTTCTTTACACTATTCACATGATTGCATGTGCTTGTGTATTCTTTTTAAGTATGTGCTTTCTTTACTACTAATTTTCTTTCTTTTTTTAAATTTTTTTCTTCTTTTTTTCTTTTCTTTTCTCCCTGAAAGAATGCTCATGATAATTGATCAGAATTGTAGGACAGGTCTGGTGGAGGTATGTTCTCAAGTATTTATGAGGTGTTTTTGTATTCTTCTTTCCACCTTTAATTAACACAGAAAATGTCAGAAACACTATAAGCTAGTTGTGACAGAAGTTAAGTATATTTGAGTTTCATTTGGCTGTTGAATCCAGAGAGATACATTGACTTAATGAGCATTTGTTCTTGTCATGATTTTCCCTTTTTTTGTTCCTTGGTTTATTAATTAGTATGACAACATATTCTCAACTGAAGAATAAAAACTTGGGAGGAAAAGATAAAACACAAGAAAATAGCTCTGGGAAAAAATTAAAAAGTATAATTTTATCATTTACGGTCAAGCTGTATAAACAAAAATTTTCAATGTAAGTACTGATTCGTTTCTTGCAAGTTCTTCTGAATTGTGATTTGAGCAAATTTTTAAGAACCACCCTTCTTACCGTTTGTGAATTTTATTTTGTGTATAATTGATGGCAATGTTATTTTATTGTTACATTATTGGAAATGTAAGAATGTATTGTTTGCAAATGGAAAGAGAATTTTAATTTTGTAAGAAAACATAATTGAACCAATACAAGTCATTTTTGATTTTGAATTGTCCATTTACTTTTTGAAAATCTGTGCTGTTTAGTGATTGCGAACCAGATAATACAATTTTTCCTTTGATGCCCATTTCCTCTGTTGTTTATCATAATGTGGAATAAATAAAAATTGCAGTTTCATCAACCTCAGTAATACAAAGAAAAGTGAATTGAGTTCAAACTGCCCAATTTACTGGACTGCAAAATAAATAACAACCATGACGTTCTTGCAAGTGTGAATCTTTAATATTATTGTCCTCAGAAATGTCTACTTTTAGTTACCGTTTGAAAATATCACGAGAGAAATATTTATTGGATTTGTACTTTCTGTAATTGCATCATATGGAAATATAATAACCATTGTAGTAAACGGAGACTTTTTATTGTAAAGACATTATTTTAAGTATTATAAGTTAATTTAAAAATGGTAAGGACAATATTATGATAAATTTATGACAATGTCAGAGTGAAATCAAATTCTATTTTTATCATTTCACAACTGGGAAGACAAATTGTAGTGTACTTCAACGAATTTTAATTATTTGAAATATGTTTGATACTTAGAAATAAAAAAAACAACAAACAGTAGTTCTAATTTCAAAGTAAACATTTTTAATTGACTGTTATAGCGATCTGCAAAAATTTTTTAAATGCCTTTTTTGTTTAATTTGAAATACAAAAATTAAGACTACCAACCTCTCTTTTGAACTTGCAGAGAAAATGTGAATAGTATTATTTGTGAAATGAACTTGTTTATCAAAATTTAAGTCCTACAGCTTCTTTTCTTTCTTAATTAAATTCTTATTTTATTCATTCTTTTATTTGTGTATGAAAAACTTATTTTTCTGGAATTCCTTTGGTGCAAGCGATTCTAATTTTTATTTCTCTTTTTGATGTTGCTTATTATCCACTTCATTGTTTCTAGGCCCAAAGGAAAAATTATTTATTTGATTTCTACAGTTAAAATAAAATAAAATAAAATATGAATGTATTTACCATATGTATTTAATGACACCTCAAGCGTTTCCAGGCAGCAACTTTTAGTTACTTTCACTCTGAATTTCATAGAATCTGAATTGCATAGTGATAGTTTTACTTTTGACTATTGTGAACTAAATTAAGTAATTTTTTCACTTTCCAGAAATTTGCTACATGGGTACAAACAGCCCTAATTAAAAATTGAAGTTTACATAAACATCATGTTTCTGTATTTTAAATTTATGACAATAAATGCTCAAATGTGGTTTGTTTCTCATGTTCACATCGGTAAATTCCATTTTAATATGGTTATAGATTTGTTATTCTGAACTATCTGATTCTATCAGTTAGGATTGAATTTGTTCAATTTGAGTCCCAGAATCAATGGGGTATCTCCATACCATGATTGGAAAATATTTGTCTTTGTTCATCCCATTCCTACATAATGATGAAGAAAGATTAATGTTTCCCTATCTTGGAATTGAGATATCTCATTGATTTCTAAATGGGTTGGTGTGTGTGTGTG